ATCTCTGCTGTTCTCTACTAGTTAACTACTTTAGGAATGGGGTGATATAGTCCCTGGACTATATCTAATACTTACTTAAGGCCTACTAACCAGGTAGCCTAATAATGCAACAATACAACAATCTGAATAGGATCAAGGATAACCAAAGGTAATATAAGAATAATAATAGTAGAGATAGAAGCAAGGCCTATTAAGTACATATACTTAATAGTAAGAGAGTAACTAATAAATCAGACTAGTGAACTTATACTTAAGTAAATAACTTGTATTAAACACAAGGAACTAAACTAAGAGTGCTAGATAATAATAATAAATATCCTTATATATCCATAGTTCTTCCAGGTGATAGTGGTGATATGTGGTATGGTGATAGAATGGTAGATAATTATAATACCCTTCTATCATTAATTCTGTATACCCATCTACCACATCACGTGATAATGGTTTGTTAGGAAACATGTTTAGTCATGCCCTACTAAACTGTTTTTCTGTGGAAACCTATCTAGATTAAGTATTTCTCTAGATTGTGTCCTGATCACTCCGGGATTGACTGGTGATCATTAATCCTCAGGTTTCTGCCTGTCACACCCGCCCTGTACTAGTGCGGCTGTGTCAGTGCCGTAACAAAGATATCATAGGATTATTGGGACTCTGCAAGGCCATATTATCAATTACATAAGTATAGGACCATCTTTACCCCTAATAGAAGGGTACTTGGCGCTATAAAAATAATATAGACTACTTATGCCATGTGCTCTTTAGGAATTAATTTATGCTAATAAATATACTCCCTTATAGGTAAAATATAGTGAAGTTATAGTCTCACTACTCTAGTTTCATCTTATACTTACTTTTAAACTGTGGGGAAATTTAAATTCAGCTGTATATTATGGAATTACAAATCATCCAGAGGCATTATTTAATGATATATTAGTAAAATTTAGTAGTGAACAGATCTCCCTTTAATGACACCTAGAGCAATGGTTTAGAGATCTAAAACAATCCATAGTTTGCACCCAGTATTTAGTTAGATATAAATCCACTTGTCTGAGTTATAGATGAGAAGAATAGAACCCTGATGTAGTTAACTAATAATATAAATGATGATAAATCTCCTAATGCTAGCGTACCTTAAGATAGTACTAACTATCTGAATGGAAAATGAGCAGTGGGCTCTTTTTATATTATTATAAAGGGAGAGAACCGTATTTACTTATACTTTTATTTAAATAACCCTGGTTGCCATGAGCTGCCTAATAATAAACTATAAGTGCTAGCTATTACTTAAAGCTTTTAAGTATTGCTAGAGTGATGATCCTGCATGGCTTAACTTAACTTAAAAATAGTTAACAGACTTATAGTTGAAATAGTACTAGATGTGCCCATAAGCATCTGAGTATCTAACTAGTTAGAACCAGATATAAAACCAGCTTAATAGCAACACAGGTGTTTGATTACTAAATCTTAGGACTCTATATAATTACTATGCACTAAGCACATAAAGCCCACTATTATTATCCTTTTTATGTAAGTTCCTAAATGGCTAATTAATTAATGAGATTATTAGACTACCTTATAAATAGCTAATATTATTTAATTCCTAGTAGTCTCTTAGGGTGTCCTGATATGGTATTTTATAGTATTATTGTTGGTGAGAACCATGGTATGGTTAAACCTTAATAAGAGGCAAATAGTGATCTCACTATGACAGCATAGTGATATCACCTAGCTACCCACTGCCTATAAATATGTCCTCAAGGTCACTCCTCACCTAGTTTTATAATTAATCAAGGGATTAAGAGAAATCAAGGAATTAAGACATTCAGCTAAGATATCCTTAGCTACTTCCTTCTACTATTCTTCCTTCTTACCTTGGCAAGCTATCTATTCCCCTTTGCTTTAGTGAACTCTACTAGTTAGTTATACACTACATACTACTTATCCATTCACATAGGTACCATATAGGCATAGACCATATGTTAGTAGTTACTACTAATATCTAGGGAGAATCAGGTGATTATTAAAATAATACTTCCTGTGGTGCTAGTATAGTTCTCTAGGCAAATTAGTTTAATCTTGATCTGCTCTAGTTATAGCTTCTAGGTGAAGTATTCAGCTATAACTACATAAGATATGCATCTAGTATTGGGAAGGATTCTATAATTATATTCCTTATTAATGATCCCTAATACAATGAATTTAGGAGTATCAAATCTGATAGCTTATCAGAACTATCTATAACCAGTAAGTATATCTTCTTTCTTAGGGTATAGATAATGCTAGCTCTTTAGCTGCATTAACTATTTAACTAGCCCCTATGAGAGTCTTTTTACAGGAGTAACTAGTTTTCTACCTTATTTACTTTATCATCTTTAAGTAGGGGTCTGATAGCTTAAGAAGTACTAGTAGCTTTAGCTCCTTACTCTATAGGGGAATAGCCCCTAGGTACTAGCAGCCCTTAATTATATGGTCTAATGCCCCACAGTATAGGTATCTTCCTTTACTATAATAATAGGATAACTTATTTTCATCAACCCATTTGGCATGGTGCTGCTAGTGGGCTAAGGTTATAGAGGAAGGCTCCCAGTCTATGATATTATTGGGGTTTATTACAGCTGAGATAGGGTTTACCAGGGGTGTAGGAATATAGGTAATATAACTATAACTAGTAGTCTGTATTTTCCTTCTGTACTAATTAGAGCAGCTAGTTCCCCTTGCATGTAGGGCTTCTACTTAGTTAGCTACTTACTATACTTAGTGGTAGTAGTCTGCGAAGGTCTCTTCCTTCCTAATACTAGTAAGTGCTTCTTCTACTTCATAGTTTAGGGTGCTATCTAGATAGTTCTTCTTTACTTTATTAGACTAAGAATAGCCTCCAGCTTCCATCAGCAGTTAGTTAAGGTCTGCTAATAGCTTATTAAATGGGCGGCTGCCTTAGCATAGGGTTTATAGTTCTTGTAAGGCCTTCTCACTTCTGCCCTGGTCAAGGAATATAAGATTAAGTTAGTTATATAAGCTATTCAATGTTGCCTATGTCATATTTAGATTATTTCTATACTAATCTATCTAGGGGCTAAGGCTGCAGCAGTATTTCCCTTAAGTCTACTAAAAGCATACTATAAGCACCCATAGAAGGAACTAATTGCAGCTTAGTTAAGTAATAGCTTTACCTATAGCTTAGCATGAAAGGTCTAGTATGTAGCCTTATTAGAGCTATTATATATCTCCACATTAGGTAGCGTGGGCTTAGGTCTTCTCATTAGGTCTTCCACCATAGTAGCTAGTAGGGTTATCTGAGGAGTAGATGCTGCTGTGGTAGCAGTTATTTATTATTCTTTAAGTTAAGTTTAGACTGGCTGACCCAATCCGCAAATCCATATCCAACCCACCCAATCCGCACTTTGGGTTGGATGGGGGTCGACTCTGATCCAACCCATATCCATATGGGTGGATGGCATCCTACCCATATGGATATGGGTAACCCATTGGGTGCACATGACCGGCAGAATAACAGATATTCATAATATTCTCTTAAAGAGAGGTCTTTCTACCTACTAAAAGTAGTATAGTCTAAATTCTTAGGTCTTTCCGCCTACCAAAAGTAGTATAGTCTAAAATCACGTGTATAATATGGGTAGAATGGTTATCCACAACCCAATCCGCATGGATATGAGGGTGGGTTAGATAGGTGGTGGATCAACCCAAAACCCATGCGGGTTGGATTGAACCCCCTGCGGATCCATCCAAACCCAACCCACGACCAGTCTAGTTAAGTTATTTAATTAATAATATTCTGTAGCTGTTGGGCTATTTAGGCCATGAGATTCATCTGCATATTATTCTGCTGTGATGGTTATTCTTTGCTAGGTCCTTTAGGGGATGTTAACATCCGCAATAACATGTTGTTATAGTTCATGCTGTCTGTATTGCCCATCTGGTTTGTCTGGTTCGTCTGGTTTGTCTGGTTTGTCTGGTTCGTCTGGTTCGTCTAGTTCGTCTAGTTCGTCTGGTTGTGCGAGCGATTTCTAATGTCACGGGCTAGAAGCCGGTTCAACCTATGACCTAGGTTTGGACAGTAAGAAATTGCTAAGGAAGAAATCTAGCTAGGGCTGCGGCGGCCAAACATTAAAAGGAGTATATAAATAGTTCTTGTGGTCATGTGACTGGGCAGATTACTACATTGATTAGTATGAGGTCATGTGACCTGCAGCTAGTGTCCAGTTTGGATGTGACTTCGCGAGGGCCGTACGATTTGATCGAACAGCCTGAGCACCCAGCAGGCCCTGCCCGCTACATGGTTAGCTTAATAGAATAATCACGCTAAGCTTCTGGCAGTGGGGCTAATAAATAATTAACATGAGTTTAGGGGTCAGGCTAATTTTAAGAATCTCTATAAAGGATATGTCAGTTATGTCTACTCTAGAAGGAAGAATATACACATTATACTATAAGCATTCCTTGTGATATACCCATGGAGTTATAGTCTGATAGGGGATAGCATCTACTATTACATTCATATAGGGAATGGGTGGATGATTTTGGGGGTACTTAGCCAGGGTCAGAAGTAGGGAAACTAGCTAAGATTCTATACTAACAAATTCCTTGATTCCAGGAGTATCTCCACACTACTAAGATTATCCTTACTTAACATGGATCACTGTCAACAGGATACCCATCCAATATTAAGAAACTGATATTGCATCCCGGTGTGTCTGATGTGGAGTACATGCAGTGGCTATGATGTGCATGTCTCACCTACCACCTGTATTGATTAGCAGGGAAACAGATACCTAAGTGGTAGCCTAATAATCTAGGACATTGAATAGGCTAGGGCGCTGTGATATCTTGGATGCTCTTCTTGGATGTTCCTTATTAGTAACTTATTAGTACTGCAGTATTTAAGTAGCAGAGCTATATAAAGCCTAGGCTTCCCCTTATTTAATTAGGGGTGAGATAGGTACTTTAACTATTCCTTGCTAACCTTTAGACTAATATCTACCATGAAGACTTCTCTAATTATATTTAGTACCCTCCTTAGCCTGACCTCTGCCCAGAATGCCATTATAAATAATAACTATAGCACTACTATATATGTGTAGTTATTCCCCTATAATAGCAGCGCCCCTAGCCCCCTAACCATTATTCCCTTAGGTGGAATATTCTTAGAGAAATTCAGAGCCTCTGGATTAGTACATTTATCTGTTCTACCCTAAAGCTAGATAATAAGAGAGGCTGACCAGAAGGAATACACAGACCATTAAGATTGCCAAGACTAAAATACTGGATAAGCCTCTCTTCTTTAGCTATTCATTCTCTTCTAACCCAGACTATGTGTACTATGAGTATTCTATATCTACTTATCCTCTATGAAATCTTCTACTAATAGCATTTTTTAGATGAGCTAAGTAATGAATGGGGTAACCCCTTTATAGTAAACCATAATATGCTAAGCCCTGGAGAAGGCTGTAAGGAAGTTAACTGCGTGGCTAATAATACTGGCTGCTACAGTATGCTAGCTTATAAGAAGGTCTATAGTTGTCCCTAGCTAGTTACTTTGATAGTATCACTGTGTGTATAACTATCCATCTTTCCTATACTATATAATGATTTAGGGGGATAGTTATTACTCTACTTACTTCCCTGAAACTATCACACTCTATCAAGGTCTTTTGTAAAAGTAAAATATATAATATACACAGCTATTGGCCCCGCCCTAGTCCTATGAACCAACTGTACCTTTTAGTCTTAATTAATAATAATCTGATTAGTAGTAGTCTTATCTATGGCTGGTTCTCAACCATACTTAGTAAGTATAAGAGTTCAGATGTAGAGCTTTCAAGGATGATATATTTAATAGCTTCTTGCTCTGCCATATCCTAGTTGCATGGGTTTTAATTGCAGGCCCTAGGTGGATATTGTACCTACCCTTATCCTGCGACAAGAAGCATGTGACGTCATTAGATAAAACCATAATTAGCAGCATCGAAGGTGCAGCTCTATAGCTAGCTATATATATACAATCTACTGGGCGGAGACATAACAATACCAGCTAGAGGACGTTGGACAAAGCTGTAGACATCCCTCCAACCGTAGTGCTTGACCATCTAGATAAGAGTGATACACAATGACGGCAGGTTGCAACAACCGTTCATGACCAAACTAAGCATATCACACTTAAAGTTTGCGAATGGCTCCTAGCTAGACTCACTTGCAAAACTAAGCACATCAACAGAGCCACCCAGAGCCTGGGTCGCGTAGTTAAAGATTCCATAACGGTATCCCATAAAGAAAAGATAGTCGGTGGTAAGAGTATAGGCGTCTCCCAGCTCGATGAATGTGCTCCCATCTAAGCTGTAGAAGAAGTGCGCTTCGTGGGAACCCACGGCGGCAGCATCAAGACTGACCTACAGCCACACCTTTGTTCGGATAATCAGAGTTGTTGCTACAGTTGTGCGTGTGCTTGTCGTTCCTCTGTATGTTCCCATGGCAAGACCATGGGTAACAACCACACGATACTCGGTGCCATTGCGGACTATGCCAATCCAAGCACTTGCGTCCTTCAACGCTGCTAGTCCGGCATGGTCGCCATCCGCCATATTGCTGAAGTCGATCTCCACTACTCCATAGGGATTTGCACCATGAAGATGGCGCGTGAGCGTGTTTCTTGCCCCATAAAGATTGGCTGTCACAGTTGCGGTGTGCAGAGTCAATCCAGGATTATGAAGGGAGAATTTTGTCGTGTCCGGATTGTGGTTCCATTGCCAGGCTGGACCAAGTGTCTCCCCCGCGAATTTATCCACTCCAGTCCATGCGGGGGCAAGGAGGAATCCGCCCGGTGGTGACCCCAAACCCTAGCACCATACAGATCCACTGAACCCGATATCCGCCGCACCTCCGGCCCCGTGGGGCCTCTGGGGTAGAGTCACGTTGTCTGGCGGCGGCGGCGGGCCGATAGTTCTTATCCACTGGAATATCAAGTAGTAGCAGAAGAGAGAACGGATGATGGGGCAGTCGACGGAGTTGAGGCGCAAAACTTTTGATCATCTTGTCATGTCTATAAGGGCCCATCCATCCCTTGCGATCCGCACTGATGATCGTAAACATCCGTTTCTCGATCCGCTGGATGTACTCCGCCACCCGTGTTTTCTGAGGTTCAATCCCCTCTTCATCAGACGATCTGCTCGTCAGTATCGGCCGTCCCCTCGGGCTCGGTGTCGGGTGTCGGAGTAGTGGTCGGGGAGCGTGGCATGGCGGCAACGGCGCTGGAAACATTGGCCCCGATGCTGAAGGATCTCATATTTGTACAATGCAGAGAAGCATCCGGCTGCATGCGGTAGCGACCATGTTTCAACCGGGCCCGTAATTGGATCGGATGGATCGTGAATCCGCTCCTGTATCTCAAAGATTAGCCGGGACGGTTGGCGCCCTGAGGGAGATGGTCTCGGAGCGGCCGACGTCCATCAAGTGCGGAACTCGGTGAGCTGCTGATATAGCTCACTGTCGGAGAGATGAAGAAGCCGTTGCTCCGGTTCAATTATATAGTCCGGATGGGACAGGGAGGGTTCAGAGTGGCCCCAGGGCTGAACAGGGTGATTCTTGATATAGGAGGCTTGGAAGAATGTTAAGAGGACGTCCAGTTCCTTATAATACAGATCCAGGCCTCGGTGGACGCTGGACTGCCACATGACCTAGCCACTCTCCTTGAATTTTCGCATGAAGCTGTTGTTCTGGGGATAGGGCAGCATCCAATGGCCCTGAATAAAGGAGTCTTTCAGGCCCTGTTTCCACTGACGAGCGGCGTCCTTGCCTTGGATTAGGGTAATCACCTCGAAGCTCTTCTGATACAAAAGGCGATAGGGCTTATGGTCCCAACCTTTTCGCTCAAATCGGCCGTCCCGCCACTCCCAGAGCTATGTGAAGAGGATGTTAATATGCTTGACAGCCATCCGGTTCCCCAAAGTGATGTGGGGTGGCCGGAATCGCTCCTGGAGCACGTCTTCCAGACTAGGCCAACAGAGCAGGATGTTACCGGCCAGGGCAGCGGTCGCGGACTCCAGCTTCAGCAGTGCCTTAATCTGCGTAAAGACATCTTTCCGGAAGGCGCGGAGGCAGAGCTACCGCAGATATTTCTGCAGATAGTCTTGGCAGGTTGGAATGCTGCTAAACTCGGTCATCCACTGGTGCATCGATGGAAGTCAATGATCAAGGCTTGTTTGAACTCAGCTTCCAGAGAACCTTTTCAGTAGTTATTTACGGCGCCAAGGACTTCCACCCCGGCCAAGCGGTGTAGTAGTGTGGTCCTAGCTATAATTAGTGACCCCGAACGCAATCATGTGCGCCCCGACATTGCATTAGCTAAATTGTGCCCAGTGGTGAGCGAGTTTTAACCATCTGATGCCCGCTCTGGATCCAACCTGAAATTCATCCCTTCTCTCCTCCGGGGCAAGACGCGCCCTGCTATCCATACTTTCAACGTGGTGAGACTTACTTATCATGGTATATCTATGTTTAATTATATTCTCTTGCGCTTATATCCCGTAAGTATACTCACTGAGTTTGCTCAACGATAGTCCCTCCCCTTACTTGCTCCGGGCACCGGCCCACACGGCAATGGAACTCGCAAATGAGGCGACCTGAAAGCTGCTGGTTGACAGCAGCTTTGGGGGAGACGAAAGCTGGCAACAGATTGTAGGTCAGCCAGCATCCGGTGCAGCAAGGAACTGGAAATCCATGCAGAGTGGAGAGACATGACGCTCCCGTTACTCATAGTGAAATGACTAGAAATAACCAGGTGATGTCCAGGTGTGGCTAGACCAGTTGTGTAGACTATACATCTTCTTCTCTGGGGCCTTCTCGGCCCACCCACCAGAGCGAACAGGAATGGTCAAGCCTCTCTCCATGTTCTATCGGAGCCTGGCTACCGCGATACAGTTTCCTTTGACCAGGGTCGAAATCCACTCATTGTTAGAAGGGTAATATGGTTTTTGCCAATTAGAGTTGGTCAAGGGGAGGTTAGGTGATTTTTTTTGGCCCATAAACCGACAGGAGCGGTTCGGCGATTCCTCTGCAAATTGAATGGGTCAAGATCCCCGACGAGTCAGCGCAGTGGGCGTTTAGCAAGGTTTGACCTGGGCAAAGCAGACCACAGAAATACCCAAACAGTAGCAACTATGGATAGATAATATTAACCAGCCATATGCTCCAAGTGCTGGTTTATCGCGGTTAAGACACATCTAGTAGGTGGTTGTTTTTGACTGGTTAACCAGGGGTGACGCCAGAGGAAAAGCCCTTTTTAGCTTACAGTTATTTTGACTATACAGGATACTGGGATGCGGCGCTAGGCCACCATAAAACAGAAGTAGGCCAAGCCTATGAGCTCTAGGGATTAGTCAAACTAGATACCCATTGGAAAGCATCAGTAGGTGAACCTAACTCCAAATACAGCAAATACTATATTACTGAACAATGACGACATTGTGGAAGCATTATTACATGGCTTATATGGAAGGAAGACACCCAGATCTTTGCTAGTCAACATGTCAAAGGACAAGCACGGCATTTCATCTGGGTTGCCCAGCTCCCCAACCTCGCGAATCCTGGGTCACCGCCTAAGTGACCTAACCCGCCTCTAACACCTTCTTGTATAATCTGTTTAGAAACCATCACTTGTATGGGGCAGGAGCGAATATCCATTGAAGATGGTGCAGTGTATGAAAAGACAAGGAAGAAAGATTAGCTGAGACTTCATTGAGCACCTTGGAAACCACAAGAATGAGGCTACACTGAAACCCACTGACTAAAAGTGGGTTGGTGGAAGAGCACAGTTCCACAATCTTTCGCAGGAGTATAGACTGTATGAACTGCCCTGAAATTTAACTAAGTGTCGCTTTGAGGTTCAGCCTGTGGGAACTAAGGTCATCTCAGAAACACTGGACACTCTATAAGGGGGAAATTAGTCAAGCCCACCAGCTGTAACCGTTACTTGGAGCAACTGGTTGGGAAACATTGTTTGTTGAACAGAGCTGTTGCGAAAGTAACACCTCCTGATAGTGCTGTTTGTAATAAAGGGAAACTGAAATGTAGTAAAACATAGTAACCTAGGTGAAGCAGAAGAGTAATTAAACAATCAGAACACTAGGAGAAAATAGCAATGCTTTTAGATTATTGTAGCATTTACCCGCATGTAAAGCAATAGCGGGAATATCTGATGTGGTTATAGAAACAATGACAGTGAGTAAGATTTAACTATTTTATCAAATATGCGAGGGCCAGGCGAAAGTCTGCAGATGAGCTGGGTATCCTAATCTGTTAATTGGCATTCTCACTGCAGTGGGTCGCACTTCTCCCTGCTCTGGTGCGGTAACTTCCTCGGCATCTTCAGCGCTTACTGGTCGGATATGGCCTGTTGCTGGTCAACTTTCAATCCTCTTAACCAGTATGAATTGCTCGGCAGGGTAATTCAGTTGATTGAATCCCCAGCAAAAATATCAGGTCAGGTCTTTGAGCATTGTACACCCCTAAGGCTGAGAGATGACGCCTCCTGCTGCACCATTAGGCTGCTCACCCCAGCTTAGTTCTGCTCAGTTCAAAGTCCAGATCACCCAGGAGCGCACAATGTGCTTAGTGAGCGCAAGGTGAGCAGCAATGAATTAGCTGCAGCAGAGGCCACATACCACGATGCTTTGTGCTTATTTCTCTCTCAGGGAGAGAATGATCATACAGTCTGAAATAGTCTCTTTTCAGCTTGCAAGATCTAGGTTCGCCTAACTGCTAGGCTTCAAGTCTAATACTCTGCATTTGTTGACTCAGTACTGCGTGCTACTGGCTCTTGAACACATTCTCCTATTCTGAATGTTTACTCTAACAGATGAAGCTATCTATGTACGGTCCATTGATATTAATAATGTTATACAGTATCTGTACTATTCTCAGAGTTCACTTTTTGAGTTAGATGATACAGGCCCGTAGAATGCTCAGCACTATGCAAGCCAAGCTTCCTTGTATATCTTTGCTCAGACATGGACATTTGTTCTGGCCTATAAGCGTTGCCCTAGAATGGCCAAGCTGTTCAAGAAATAGGATATAATTGGTTGTATCAAGACATGAACCTGTCTTTTGAACGCGCTCATCTGCCATAGAATGAGACGCCGTACAGTAAGAGACTCAGTTCTCCGCTTTCAAGCAAATTATTCCACTGTAAAGAACCCAGGGATAGTCCATTCAAAACTATCTTTAGACAGAGACATTATTTCCTACTACATCTCATTAAAATCAACTGGAGATCCATCCACTAACCTCTGCTGTGGGTGACCTTGCATAACTTGTCCCGTGGGTAACCACCACATGTTTAAGAAGGTTACTTTGTGTAATATCTCCCTCCCTTGAACATAACAATCTCAGCTACTTTGGCTCACCAAAGGAGATCTAAATATATTTCTAAATGCCTTATGACTTAACCAGCCGCTGTTCCACAATCCAGCTACGTAGGGGACGATTAGGATCACAAGCAGAGGAAGTAGATTTTTGGTTGTTGCTGTGAAGACTTAATCAGCGCGCTATAATGCCTTCTCTGTGTGCTGTTGCTATTTAGCAGTGGGACAGGAACTGCATCATTTAGCAAAAGGTGATGTGGAGATTATATTATTTAATGAGTGAACTATTCTTCATACTCCATCATTCCATGGATGTCCATTGTAGCCTGCAAAAAAACAAGGATAATTAGTAACTAGATCATCCTTCCTTTCGCATCAGTCATACTCCCCCTACCCTACTCCCCTCTGGTGTTACATCTGTGACCCACAACAGTCCACTGGCGAAGGGTACATGCGTGTGATTAGCGAAGGGTTGCTGCCATAAAACGCGCCTGACTGCAGTAACCTCTTTTTCCCAACCATGACATCCACTGCCTTCATCAAGGGTGGATGATCAGTCTTTACCTCTGTCATAGAGTGCATGCGCTCCTCAGACACGTGCACGTATAAGCGCCGGCTATAGACGGTTCTTCTCCACCTCATCTTTGTCCACAACCTTCGTTCTCTAGCGCCTTGCCTGTAACAATCTTAATGATAATAAGGACTCGGATGTATTCAATCCCGGACTCAGAAGGCGCAGTGACCAGACCTCTGTCAAGGATGTTGATCTGTTGTTCCATTATTCCATGATAGACTCTCGGAGTGCCCCGTTGGCATAGTAAGTGTGAAAGGCCAGAGAGCTAATATACACCCATTCTTTATGTTCAACCAGGAACACAGAGAGCTTTAAGACACTGATTACTGATCATATGGTTACTGTCGGAGCTATTAAACAGAGCAGCGGCTCAGCCGGAAGAGCTCAGGCAAGTGACCTGCTTTTTTAGACTTATCAGGTTATGGCCGTGGGAAATGGCCATGGGAAAGAAGTAGTCATTTGTTCTCTTGGTCATTGAGTGATATTGTAGGAGTGATTGATCACAAGCTTCTTTCAGTGTGGTTCAAAATTGGTTATCTAATCCTCTTCTTGAGGGTCATACTCTAGTACACTTAGATTGAACCTTGACTCCGGCCTGGATATTAGTCTGAGAATAATCTCATTACCTCTAACCAAGGTCATTTCTCATCCCTTCTTAGCTTCAGCAGCAGTTCCACCTCTTCTGTAGTCTATGGTTTGCCCTTCCTGGAGGTCCCATGGGCCTTACTAATATCCTACTGCAATTATTCATCCACTGCATGGATGGTTGAGCAACACTATGCCTGTGTATTTCTTTCCTCACATGTGGGTACAGAGTTAGGTGTGCATTATTGTAGGACACCTTCAAACAGCCAGGATAGAAACTGCAAACATCTATTAAGTAGTAGGGTTAAGAAATAAGAACAGAGGCCAGTAACAGAAATCTCTCTAGTCTGTAATCTATTAGAAACTTAGAGCCATTTTAGAGCTTGTCCATCTGATCACTGTTTCTAGCACTTAGAGTTTTTAGACAGCTCACTAGTGCTGCTTAGGTGGGACAGGTTAGGTTTAGTGTTGTGATTAAACAAGCGCAAATCTGGATGACTGTGGATGTGTAGATAATAATTCATCTAAATACCAGCATTGCTGCTGCCTGCACCTTCACTATAGTCTTGATGACTCTTATATGTGTTGTGAAGAATAGGTGGAGGTTTAGGATATGGATAGGTTGTCTCTGAATTAACAGCGCTGTCACATGGTGGGACTGGCTGGTGTTGATTGCTAGCCACCTAGGACCCATTGTTAGCAAGCATCACAGGGTTAATGGGAATAGTGCCCTGCATATCTGTGAGCCGGAAGATTTCTTTAAAGCTATCTTCTAGGCTAGATATGCTTGGTGATGGCAGGGCAGCCTCTATGATCCCCCCTAGATTACTGGATATGTTAGTTAGGGTCCTAGTGACTTCTTAGGAATCACAGTGTGCCCTATCTGTGTTTGAGGTGTGAGATGTTTAAGGTGTGTGAGGTGCTAGTTTGTGAGGAGGTGTTGTACTGTGCTTCACGCTCTCCAAACTTAGTGTATTTAGTGGTGTTATAGGAATCTCCCCTGTGTGATTTCGTGGGCTAAGGGGTGCATATGGCTGAATTTTCAAACTTAGATGCATGCAGACCTCGGCCGGTGGCTACACAGGGAGGTGATGCTGCGGAATAGGCAGAGTGCTTGGGAAGGACTCAGGATGATTTTTAGGACAAGGGGAGTTGCTGGTTCTTTGGGAGTGTGAATTAGGTGATTTGTGAGGGGGGAACGGCTTCCCATAAGGAGGAGCCCATGGCTTGAAGTTGTTTACTTAAAATATAGGGGGCATATTGTATTGTGCGAAATTAAAATATTTAGGGGTTGGGGAGGGGTAGTGTGCTGGGAAGGTAATTAGAAAGAGGGAAGGGGAAGGGCATGAAAATTAAGTAATTACTAGAGATTTAGAAGCTCTGTTGGTCTCCTTATAGATGCTCTCTCAGGCTGTCCAGTCAACCTTTCTGTTTCTCTCTCGGAAGAAGCGAACCAGGGGAATTTGTGTAACCTACAAATCCCAACCAGTGCTGCTGACGTGTCTATCTGCGTCTAGGAACGATGCCTCAGGTCTGGTATCTGCCGCCTTGCGCCCAACTGTATCCAGTTATTGCAGCTCACGCCTCGCCTGTCAAACACAGAAATGAAAGAGATGCGGCATTTTTGCTATTAGCTCATGACCAATGCAGTGATACAGAAATAGATTTGATCCTCAGAGCTCAAAAAACAGGCGTGGCGGGGGAGACAAAATCCAGTTCACAGGCGTCAAAAGGCGCTGCAGACTGGATGGAAGCCAGGGTGGGTACCCAGCTAATCCAGGAAGCTTCCTCTCCATTTGTGTTCCGGGCGCGGGATTCATGGAGTCACCAAAAACTTTTTATCAAAGTAAGAGCACAGATGATCCTCATGATTTCAAGGTGAAGGTATTATGGTATGGGATGTTGGAAGCAGCATGTAAATTACTGAATAGCTGGCGTGCCTCGTGAACAAGCCGCCATGGGTGCAATGACTGTACACTGAAAGCTATGGTAATTCAGTAACAGCGGCGAAGGTTGAAGTAGATAGCTCAAGCCAAGTCAAGCAACAGTACCAGGTCTCAGTCATTTCTAACTACCTGTCGGCGACTCCGTAGCTGCAGGGGCGAAAAGAGTGGAGTGGACGGCACTATACCAGGAAAGGGCAATCCTCAGATAACACAGCATCCCAGAAAAGAGACCAAAGCACCAATGAGTGATACAGTAAAGGAAAAAGGGGACAATGAAGTGCGTTATCATTCAAGGAAGCAGTATCAGCTTATATAGACAGAGTGCATGTGTCGAAGCGGCAGGAGAAATAGGGCAAAAGCGGCGAGACACAGCGCTATACTAATCTAGATCTAAAATATGAATTCAATATCTATAGGTTTGAATGGGTGGTGGTTAAAAAGTCATTTTTAAATATGGTTATTATCAACAGTTGGTCATATTGTCACGTGCCGAACCACCAGCGTACCCCAAGCGGGCCTGCTCCCTTGCTTAGATAATAGTTTGCCCGAACTCCGCACACGCAGAATAGAAATCGGGGAACCGAACGGCTTAGGGGAAACCAAGCGGTTTGTTCTGATCATTACACTATATATGTTTTTGTTAGCAAACCTATATATTCCCATAACCTAGTAATCATAGCAGCAACTTGCAGCCTAGTTGACGATACCTTGCTGGCTAGGAACCTCCCTAAGTAGCCGACCTCGCGGCTCCTTACAGGACTAATGAGGGATGTCCAAGCACACCGGGACCGGGACGACTGAGACAGGGCGACGCACCTGCGGGAGCGGGAGCACGCACCGGCGGCCAATGGCCGGGCCGGAAAGGCGACCGTACCCTTCGGTCGCGACGTACTAGGGTATAGCTTGCGGAGGTTAGTAACTGCTTTCCTCTAGTCCTTACTAAAGGGGCTTTTGATAAGCTCCTTAGTAAGGTCTTATATAGCTATAAGTAGATTAATAATAGGCTTTAAGATTCCTTAATTGTGAGCCTTGAGATGGCTTAGATATATGCTTGTATTGTGGTAAAGGTCCAAGATGTGGTTGTGCAGAGTTTTCTGTGGCCTGTTGCAGGAGACCGTCAGCGGCGGCCACCTGGGTTTCGACGACAACTAGCGATCGAAATCCTATAAAAATAGGCTTAATTGGTAGCTGTCGTCGTCATGAGAAACTGGGCGAATTTTCAGTTCAAAGGAACGTGGTTTGGGCGAGAAATTTAAAAATTTGTTCTGCGTTGAAGTTGTTTTTTCGGCAGGTGGATCTTCATCACTACATCCAAGTGAACTGCCGTCACCGGCAATGTCTATGTGAATTCGCGCTAATGGCTTAACAGCGCGTTGAGCGGCAGTGGAAGGAATGCTGCGTTTGCATCGCTTTCCGGTATCACAGAACGGCATAGTCTTTGAGCCTGTAATGCGAATGGTACCGGTATTTGCTAGTTTGAGCACGTCACGGAAACTAATATGACAGAGACGTTGATGCCATCCAACCATCGTGAGCGCTGGAGTAGAGGACTGGTCTTTCTTGATGCTAGGTTGGTCCTCTTCTGGTGACTTTCGAGTAGTGGCCGCCTATACAGGAGAATTCTCCTTAGCATTGACCTGAAATGTGCCACAGGTAGGATTTGCATATATTTGGAATGATAAATTATCCGGAGATGTTACTTGGAGGTGCTTGGGAAAAGTAGTTACCAAGGAAATGTCAAATGCTTGTGCCTCAAGAAGAGAAAAGGACAACAGTGAAGCATGGATTCCAGGGATATGCCGAACATCCCGTGCTTTAATTGTGCCTACCGGTATGTTAAGCTTTACTATTCCAATGCTGACAACATGATGGGAGTGATTGCCTGCATCATGAACTGGTTTCCCCTTGGAGACTTCCTGGTATGTGAGGGAATCATGTCTATTTGGCGTCATGTGCCAGGTTGCGGCTTATCAAGGAGCCATGTGTTGGGAGATCGTACGGAGTTGGCTTGGGCAGGCTTGTCTAACGGAACTAGTTCCTTGCCTTTGCTTTCCTCTGTGTTCGCTGATTTGGAGGTATTGTATCTCTCGGGTTCTCGTCGACGACGCGGTGGTACCTTCTCAGGGTGTTTTGTGGCCAGAGGTCGTTCCTATCTGTAATTGTCCGCTAATAGAAAAACGGAATACACTACCGCAACTGATACCTACGCCTGAGAGCTATCCATTGCAGTTGAGATTCCTTGGTCAAAATCAGACAAGCCACTGGCTGTTTCGTCAGTTGGGTCGCGCCAGCCCTCCCTTTCATCCTTGATCACCCTCACAAAGAGCACATCTAGTATCACCGCCGCTAACGCAATTCCGGCTCCAAAGAATAGTGCAGCTCTGAAACCAAGTACTTGGTCGGTACGATATCTGCTCACCTGCGTCTCTATGGTCCCAGCAAACCCGAGACCCAGACTATTTCCGTATAGATTGAGCGTACCGATTAGGGAGGCGGCAACGCCTTGTTGGCTGCGCCTGACGCTGTTGCTAGCCACTATTTGGGCCGCGACATAGACGAAGTCTGGGCAGAAAGCCATGAATATAGTAGCAGGAAAGACTTGCGCCCAGTAGATCTGTTGTTCTGGCATCGTAGCCAAGAGTACGTTCGCAACCATAATCGCCGCAGAGCCGATGGCCAAAATCCATTGTGCGGCGAGACGAGGAATTAGCCACGCCGCAATAAACGTACCGATGGTTGCGACGACTCCGAATGGAGTCCATTCAATTCCAAATTGCAGTATACTCTTGTCGCGCAGAAGCTGTAACCACGCTACCAGGTACCAAAGAAAGATACCGTTGGACATGAAGCTTAGAAGTACGACTAAAATAACAGCCGCAAAGGAAGGCGCCGTCCAAATGCCCAGTGGCATGATTGGGGTTTTGGTGATCCTGTACTCCCAAATACCGAATATGGCAAGCACCAAAACTGATGTAGCGAGCAAAATAATCTCGAAGGGAGTGCTCCATCCACTTGCAGGAGCCTGGCTGGGACTCTTTAGGTTATTTCTCAAATTGCACGGAATTTCCACTTACTTCCACGCGACATTGAAAACAATCAGACCGCTTGTGCCCAGCAACGCACCGATCCAGTCAATCTTACCATTTCTATCCACAGGAAAATCGGCTGGTAGCAGTAGAGCGAGAAGTCCGAAAACGAAAGTGCCCAAGATTGCCCTAGAAATATTTAGGTCCCGAGACTCCTTATCGAGGATGAATGGACTTACAAGCCAAAGAAAATCCATCTCCAGCTCGAATACTGAATAAAGACACCAGCCCATATAGAACCGAGGTGACTCCCAATAGGTGCTGACGCTCCAAAAAAGCCGAGCGTCACGTTACGCGCTCTACCTGGTGGTATAGTCGTGCTTATTAGAGCCACGGCGTTGGGCATAATCAAGGCGCCTCCAATACCGGACAGAGCGCGAACAACGTTGAAGGATAAAAAGGTTGTGCAAAAACCGTTTGCAAGAGAGCAGACAACCAACCAGGCTGCTCCAGCGATAAGAATGTGTCGGTGACCGTATACGGCCCCCAGTCGCCCACTAATCAGGACGAAGGTCCCTTGCGTCAACCTGGAAAACATATTGTTATTATGAGCGCTACATGGTTGTCCATGGTAAAAGGAACGAACGGATAGGACGCTGCAGCCCAATTGGCCTTGCCAGGACCAACTGCAGCACCTAATATCTTGCTAATCTCTAGGCCGGCAGCAAGACCAACCATGTTGGATATCATCTGGCCGTCATAAGAATGCGGAATTGAGGAGAGTAGCCTGGTAGTCTCCTCACCTGAACCATATTGCTCAAAACTATGAATATAATGATTGTCATCCTGCGTCTTTTTGTTGGGACGTCAGTAGGCACAGCCTCGAAAGTCCGGGGATGCCAGTCATGCGATGGTTGTGCCATGTCGGCCAGGTTAATCGAGACACCCCGTTCAGAGAGTTGCTCCATCTGTGGTGCCTGAGGGAAAGGGAAATCACAGAGCTCTTTTTTGATCGGTTGTAAAAGGGACTGGACTGTGACTACCTGACAATGACTGAGTGGCACCAGCTGTTTTATATGCCGTATAAATCAATGGCCACATGTTTCTTCAAGGGAGCTGGTTAATCTTTCCAGTCGGTTATGGCGCTTGCCAACAAGAGCTCATGTCGAGTAAACGGCCCGAGACTCCGAGAATTGCCTGGCGAGCCGGTATGTATTTTTGTCCAGTCTTAAGGCATGAATGAACCAGAGAACAGCCGAAATTCTACCGGCGACCTATCTGGTCACTCCGCTCCAGTACATTGTGGCGCTCACGCAATTCGCAGTCCTCGGAGGGTTTAGTTAACGTTACTTCGTATTTGCTTGGTAATCAAACTGGGCCGCATTAAGTTCGGCGGACGCCGGTGCACGCCCACGCGCCGCTCCTCAAATCCAAACGCAAAATGTAGCGGTTCCACAATGGTGTGGATGCGCTCTTCAGATCGAGTAAAGCATGCCAATGCCACTTTTAAACGTTGGAGGGCCGCTGCAGTTAATGATGCCCAGCCTGATTTTAGAGCTAATCGGTAGAGGCGAGCGTGACTCAGGAGTACTTCGTTGCAAACTTCATCCAGGTGCACATTGGGTAAAGTATTATCCAAGCAGTACAGAAGAGCAGAGACAAAGAGGCTGGGCGCCTTTTTCTGGCTTATGTGTTGAGGTTAGCTGACCGTTATCGATCGGGCTAGTAAAGCTGGGAGGCTCTGATGATCACATGCTCCGCATGAGAAAGATACGAACGGAGCCTCCACTACTAACCCCTATCCAATTGGATCAACGACCGAGGGGCTAGGAAATTTACCGCTGCACCTTGAATAGGTTCTCTGCAGTCACAATAGATAGTGGGCGGTTCTCATCAGCTTGGCCCTCCAATCGCATGGTTAGACTAAAAAGTAGCCCAATGGATAGCACAGAAAAGGAACGCGGATCTACGAGATCACTATTTGTATTAACTATCAGATTTTTGCTCATAATATCAAGTCTTTATAGACGGATTAGGCTATTATAAATGGGCTAACTTTAGGAGGACAGACTGGTCTCCCACAGTGTGGCACCTGTCTAGGTTCCCTGATTCAAGCGGGGTTAGTGATATTACGGATAGATTCTCCCAGCATATTACTAGAATGGCATTTTGTTGGCACAAATTTTTTAAGTATCGACTGATGCTAGTATGTTCGAGGATGTTGTCAATCAGCTTCTCTACCCTTATAGTCAATGGCCCGAGCCAAAGTCTCTTCTTATTATAGATAACGTATATTCTCACTATACTCACCCATTAATGGAGTAATACTTACTACTGTATACTAATGTCAATACATATCAATGACAAGAGAGCCCAATCTGGATCGTGATAGATGGTGATTGAGCTTTGCTGTATTCAGATTCACATATCGTGATACGTCCTGGCCGTGAAGCCTCATATTAGATGATTAAGAGACCTTAGTGAAGTCCTGCCCTCAAAAAATATTTTTAGCATCAGACACTAAGATCCTTTACTGATTGTGATGAAAGCTCCTTAACATATGATGCAACATTTACTATTTGCAGACAGGCTGATTTTAATGGACTGACCATCCATTGTCTTCTTCAGTCCTAAAGACTGCACGTTTGTCCCACCTTGAACAATCTACTGCCTGATCAACTCAGTCACGATAACAACGCTTCCTACTCAAATTGACAACATCCGTTGCAGATAAGTAGCCTGTAGCAAGGTATGGTTCAAAAAATTGTTCGCCATATTAGTACATAATAATCCCATCCGTTGTCTACAGTATAGATGTCCCGTTCGATAGCGTATTGTAAGATACCTAGTGGTGTATGTACGCCCGCCGACACACCTGGTAGTTGTACTTGGTACCCAAACCAGCAGTCTCAACGTGCTATGTATAGGACAGTATACCCATCTTTGTGGAATATATCGCAGATGAACATTTCAAACACAGAATCCGCCCTGTCCTCTTTCGGCTCGCATCAGTCTACAAGACTGTTTTCCGGAGATAAAAACTATCTTGTTTTTGTCAGTCATGCAGAACATTGATTCTTGCACTGCCCTGGGTCAGTAAATCTTGAAGTATTACGCTTCAAGTCATAATGTGCAAATGTCTAAATCACAAAAGAACACACGTCTTAGAGGCTATTAACTTCAATCTTCACCCCCGCATTGCTAAGTCGGTCGATGTATTCCTGCCCTAGACAGGCAGGCGTCATGATGCCACCTCCGAGCTTGCTCAAACAGTCACTGTTACCCCTCAGCAGAACCATCGCAGCCTCAGCAAGAGCTAATGCCGTCAACAGGTACGGGCTTCCGCTCCATTCGAACACAGCAAACACTTTCTGACGCTCTGCCGTGTCAGCGGTGGCGATGCCATGGTAATTCGCGTATTCCGTCTTCGCTGAGGGCGCACCATGCTTAGGAGGCACCTTACAATAGATGTATCTCATAACCCAGCGAAAAGGCGGGAAGCAGAATAGCAGAATACACATCTTCCACCTCCAATGGAAGAGTAAGGCAAGCAAAGGGTCTTCAAATCGCATGAGCTCTTTGAAACGGAAAGAAGGGCTGTACGATCTAGGCAGGCTCTCTGCGAGTAATTCCCGGCTGCGATGCACTAGAGCTGTGTCAATCCTGCCCTGAATGCATTCTGACAAGACCCCGAGTTCATGGATGCGATGGATGCTGGTGAGTCCTTCAAAGAATGCTGCATACTGAGAGATTGTGTTTGAGATGTTGAAACGAGAAGATAATGCGTATGGGCTTAAAGACGTAATAAGTTCGTTAAGTGTATACACTTCAGCAAATGAGAGCAGCGTTGCAATGGTTCCGGAGGTTAACTCGTGATTAATCGAGTGAATACTAGTGATAACCTCAGAAGTTGGAGAGGAGAACTTCTGTTGGATATGATTCACCATAGCCAGTGTTAAGATATCGGCAGGGACGCTCTCAATACCGCAATGTGTAATCATCTTTTTGAGAGCTTTGTTAGAGACAATATTAAGACCACGCATATTAGAGTAGATCTCACGCACTTACCATTGCGCCGTTTGCTTTCGCAGTGTGATGGTAACTATGAATCATCTGCCTCACCCAAGGTGTCTCGCCCGTGCTGACAGTTGTTAGAAGAAGTCAGAAGTTTAAGAGTGGACTGACCAATCTATATAGTGTGTACCATTTACTGCACACGCTTCAACCACTAGAGAGCCATATCGCATATATGGCCCAATGGTAGTGATCAGAAGACGCGTTCTCTTGGCTAGACTATGAAGCTGGCCAGAGTTAAGCTGGATCACTTCAACTCCTGTATAACTAGAGTTGGCGTCAGACCTCCCAGTGGGAAGGCAAGGCTCACCTGGCGGTTTTCGGACCGGGTCGCGAGCTTTCAAGCACTCAAATAAAATCGCCAACTTGTTGGCGTCTCTTCCGGCTATTGCCCAACGAAGGTCAGGTGGTAGCTTAGCAGCAATGTATTCGGCACAAAGCTTTCCAGTATGACCTGAGGCGCCGAGGAGTACGAGTTCATACTGGGCTAAGTTGGTTGCCATTACCAGATTGCTATTAGTATGTTGTGCAAAGACAGAGCACAGTTCTGACAGTGAGATGGTCTCCAGTTTATTGAGGTAAGTTACTTGGCTTCTATCTATAATTTCCCAATTTCCAAGCCACCATACGCCCACAGGGTGGTTGAAAATGGAGAGAATTTGATTGGAGACTTTCGTGCCTGAAAACCGGTTTTTCTGGTAGGATACTTACCACGCCCTTCGGACGGGTTGTATGTAAACCTCGTATTCGTGGCTTCTGACCATGCCCAGTTAGCGCATAATTTGACCAACTTAGCAAAATAATGCCAGCCGCCTGAAGCCTGTTTAAATTGAGGTTTAAGGGCGCAGGGCCCATTACAGTAATATGAATGCGTTGGAGTGCAGTGTAACAGATATTGCTGCCATCTTAAGAGCGAATATACAGATGAAGCCCTACACCGCCAAGCTGATACCCAACCAGCACCAAGACTGCTAGCAATGGAAAGGCTGAACATTGGGTGTGCAGGCAAACTTTCTGTATATGCATGCAGCCATCTTGCTTACGCCTTCGCAGCGCATTTGTGAGAAGAGTAGTTGACTGGAGTGGGCCCAGTAAAGAAGGACCGCACGTATGATTGGCAACTTCTGAAACCACCTATCCCACTTCAGAACCAGATAAAGTATATAATTAAAGCATGGAGCAGCAAGGCCTGAGTCATTACATGCTTTCACTTTTCTCTTGTAATTCTTTCGTTCACTTCCACGGCCTTACTGGTAGTTAACCAGGCACGAAATTATATATTTCAGTTCATAAACACCCTTGACACGTTGCTTTAAGGGGTTGCCAACTAAATTATGAATAGTATCAGACAGTTTGAGCTCAATACAGTAAGCAGTCGTACCCATTGTCTACCATACCCAAGTTACTTAGCCGAAATAGTGGATCGACACTCATGAGAATCATGACACGTTGGACATGTCAACAACGGTTTCGTCGCCTGCGCTGTCAATTGACGATCTAATTGCGTTATCCACTGATTCCCAGGCAACTAGAAGAGCATTGTCACTAGGATCTGTTCCTCTGACCTACGGAGAGCCTAATGGAAGCGAAAACCTGCGACATTCAATTGCTTCTCTTTACACAAATCCACAAGTCACAAGCGGACATATAATAACGACTAGTGGGGCCGTGGCTGGCAACCACATTATTTTCTCTGCGCTGATATGTCCTGGCGATCACGTTATCTGCATGTATCCAGTATACGAGCAACTCTATAAGATCAGCCAAGCATTGGGTGCTGAGGTCACTTTCTGGAAGCTCGAGGATAGTAATGGTTGGAGCGCGAACATGCAATGTCTCCGCCAAGCTATTCGCGAAAATACCAAGATGATTGTCCTATGCAGCCCAAACAACCCAACTGGTGCATATCTACCAATCGCAGTGCAGCATTCTATCCTGGAATTGGCAGAAGTCCATCGCATCATTCTAATGGTTGACGAGGTTTTCAGACCGATGTTTCACTTCTCACCAAATCACGAGGAGGAGCCAGCCTCCTTCCTTGAAAGTGGATATGAAAAATGTATTGTCACAAGCTCTTGCAGCAAGTCATATGGGCTTCCCGGTATCAGAGTTGGCTGGATTGCGACTCTCTCCAATGACTTCATACGTCGTTTCACTCAGATTCGTAACTACACTACTATAAGTGTTGGCCTGGTTGACGAGATTATTGCCGCAGAAGTACTCTCACCAAGATGCCGACTAAGCTTGCTTCAAAGAAGTTTAGATATGGCAAAGGAGAATCTTAGATTTCTCAAGGAATTTGTTGCCAAGAATCAACTGATCACTTGGACACCTACTCATGCTTCAACTTCAACTTTAATAAGGCTTCATAACAAGGACGGATCTCCCCTCAATGATCATGAGTTTGCTCTAGAGTTCTTGAAGGCGAACAATATCTTATTCTGCCCCGCTAGCCTCTGCTTTGAGGAGAATAGCCAGGGCGGCCTTCAGGGCTATCTTCGCTTGGGTTTTGTGATGTCTCCCGAGACGTTTCGTCATGGCTTGGAGAAGCTTGCAGAATTCCTGGAGGCATGGCCCATCTTTCAATAAGGCTATTTGTGGATAACTGGGGTTGTGTGATTAGAATGACTGCGAAGAGTTCCCTCTACGCCCGGGAAAAAACATATTCTGCGGCGGAAGATATTAAAATACGGCGACGTCGAACTGGATCGGATTAACCTGGAACGTGCCGGCAATGGGCCGGGGGCCTTCCAAGTGTAGAGCTAGCCTCGAAAAGCCTACTTATATCTTAGATTGAATTCAATCTACTTCTCTGCAGAACCGAGCCTTGTTGTCTTAGTCTTCATCTTGGACCGGCTGGCCAAGGGCACTGGGCTATCCTTCAGAGCGGACTCTGCGCGTGCTAAGAGCCTTGTGATCATTGCCATACTCCTTGTGCTTGGGCCAGATCATGTCGTGTCCGCGATCTCCGTGCCTTCGTCCATCCACTCCTTCTGGTCTTCCGTTTCTCGCGCTCCATCCCTATTCGTCTTCCTTCGCCGGTGGGATAATCGTGATGGGTAAGGATTGGAGATACATAAGTAATTAATGTAAAGAAGCAAAGCTGGGTTCCTGATAGGTCTCATAGACTAGCCAATATTTTTTAGATCTATAAGAAAATTCAATATGTTGACTCTGCTGGAATAATCTCTAAAGGAACGCATGATGTCATGGCATTTGACCTCACACCTTTACCAGCTCGGGTTATAATAATGTTGCCGTAACCGACCCCTGCAACGTTGCGGCTTAGTAAGACTAAGCCTTAGTATTCGGGGTCGCGCGTTGCGCGACCCCGCCATCTCACCGATGAATTTTCTTAATATCAAACTATCATGAAGAATTAGGCAACCTTCCTGTCAAACTTTACTAATAAAATATATAGAAACAGCGACTACTGACTTTATCTATCTTTCGCCCTTTTCTCTGCCTTCGAACAGTGATTCCTCTAGCGAGGCAGTAATCGAATGCTCTGCTGCCCTGGAGTCGCTCTGGGGTTGACGGTAGACTTCAAGGTTGCCCTCCGTGGAAGAAGACGCCCGAGGATGCGTCGCTGCACCGTCCTCTAGGTCGATTCCCGAGAGGGAAGTTAATTCGCTGAGAGGTGTAGATGCTCTTCCCATAGTGAGTTCCGCTGAGGCATCGACAGCTTCTGAAGCAGTCAATGTCCCAGATGGCGGACTTTGATGTTCAGGCCAAGATTCCATCAAATAGCACTGCTTTAGCATACGAGCTCGCTTGTTGAGAGTCGCCAGAAGGTGCCGGTTCCGTCCAATGACTGTAACCACTAGTCAGCTCTGCATTTGTGAAAGTGCCTTCAATATAGGACTGGATCTGCCTTGCCTTGCATACATAGCCCGGTCATTCCATTGGGACACATCCGCAATGGTAGCTTCAATAGCGGTAGATTCCGCAAGGAGGTCCTTCGGATATGGCCGGGGAGCGATCAGTTTCTGATGCAAGCCAGATTTAACCACTTCATAGTCGAGCTGTGTGAGGTGAATAGCCACTTCTTGCATGTGGCAACGATAGGTGTCGTCCTCGTTACATTCAATCCGATCAAGATCGGCATGGCGGAGAACATAAACCCAGGATATTGAGATGTTTTTCTGGTCACTACTGCAGAGATGAATCTGACGTGGGTGGGGAGTGCTAAACACTTGCCTTATGATCTCTCCCAGAGCGTCGCTTATGAAGGGCGCACCAAGATACCGGGAGAGTAATGCGCCCTAATCTGACAAATTTTGGTAAGTCTGCGTTAATTCAAGACAGGAAATTAGCAAGCTTGGTATGTCTCGAACCGATGCAGCTGGACGTTGTTTCTGGTAGGTACAGGTTTGAAGAGTCTACCAAGAGGCACAGCCTTTGGGGAGTTCAGAGCCCGACCAGTCCCACTCATTTGAAAAGTTATTTGCCAATGAAGAAAATTTATGTCAAGGCTGGGATAACAAGCCCGTTGAATTCCAAACCGAATGAACGATGCAGTACACCTCAAAAGATATACAATACAGCGACGGTAGTAATAAAGGGGAGGGAAGAAAGAACAACCTCCTCACACGCCAGAGTACCCCCATATGCCTTGGTCGCTTGCGCGTCTGGGATGCGTGTCAATGCATAATCAGCGGCACGAGCCAGAAGTTGACCAATTTCTTGCTGGATGAACAACATTGAAGGTGACCATGGTGATGAACATCAACAATGCATCGAAAATATATAAATAGATCTCGTGATGTAAGAGGTACCCGTCATTTCCTTGGATGTATTCAGCTAATCGGAAGATGGAGCGGATCATGATCAAGAAGCTTGTCACATAGAGTATGTTTAGATGTTTGCGCCACAGAATGTCCGGAGAGCAGGAGCATGGGATCAGGTATCTCTTGAGCATCTAATAAAAGTGGGTCGCGGTGACGATAAAGAACCCAAAGAAGAAGATCTGAATCAAGAGGCCAACAATGATAATGTGTTCGCTGTTCTTCATACTGTCCAGGTTCCCACTACTCTGAATGCCGCCACCTAAACCATATCAACAGGTTGTTTGATGCTATAAGTCCTCACTATGAGATACCTACTAGCTCCTTGCAATAAGGATGAAAGCACATCCCCTGTCACAAAAATCTTGGTCAACCACTTTTTTTTCAACAACGCATGCGATTCGGCCTGTAACACCAGGATAATGCGACCCAGAAATATGTATATTAAGGCCGCTAGGAGAGCTGGCGCGAGCAAAAGAAAGAGTGTCTGCACTAGATAAGGTCCGAGGGTCCAATCTGGGCTCTGCCTGCTGGACATGGCACGTCCGATATATCCGATAATCTCACTAGGCAGATCAGCACGATTCCGGGCCCAACGAATGAAGGAGAACAGACAGATGCCCCGATAACAAAGGGAAAGAAAAACCATGTGTGAGTCTTGAATATTCGAAAAATATGATACGCGGTTGTGCCTATGAAAAGCAGGACGAAAATAACGGCGCCGCCCATGCTGGGGTCGTAGCGATAGAAGGCAAAGTCGACCCCGTTGGAATCCCTCAAGTCCACCATTTTGATGTGTATGGAAATCGGGCCCGACACCAGTTGCCACAAATAAAAGAGACAAAGAGACGGAGAAAAAGTATGGATTTCCAGGAAGCACGTCGCCAATGGCACCGATACAGGTCAGACTGGAGGTATAGTGGTGTAAAGAAAGGGTGGAAAGCCTCCTAGGACACATGAGAAGGATCATGTTGCTTTATAAGGAGCTCAAACTCCACGTTACATATTTTGAATTGCATCAAAAAGGAGACATAAATTGTGAATGAAAGTAGAGAACGGATCCGCACTAGCAAGGCAGAGAAGTATTGTAAAATATTGTGTAATAGTCTTAGGCTACTACTATGGGGCCAATGCTGAGTCGTGCTACTTCAACCTCTCGCACCAGCCGTGCCAAGGCTTCATATAGCTGAGAGAACATACTAAGCGCCTCGATGCAGTCTTCCAAGAGACTTGGACTCTTTTATGATCACTCCGATTGAGAGACATCTGATTTGCATTGCAGCCGGGCCGGAGAAAACAAACACGGGTGGGGTAGGGGGCCGGCGGATCCTTCAGTAGGTAAGAGAAAAACCGACTGCGCAAATAGAAACGGAGGCAGTGACGCCCGGGGGTAGGAATACCTGGGCAAATGAGTACAGGTATGGATTCGAGGCAACCTTCATCGGAGGATAGGCAGCGCCGTGGAGTAAGTGTCTGGAAGCTTGCCGCCAGATCACGAGCGGATTGCAGGGTACAGGCCTTCTGAGTTGAACATGGATGTGTCCATTTAAACGTCTTCTCAACTAGGCCAACCAGCCGAGGACGGAGTTATCCCCGAGTCCTTACTCGCCTGACGGCCGTCGATAGCGACGAGGTAAAATCATTTGAAAATTATGGTAGGACAGCACCACGGCCTCAATCTTGCCATGTTGTAATAAGGAAGGTTGATTATCCTTATCCTTATCTGAAAACTCGAGGTTTTAAATACTAAGTTAAAAGGTGAACATCAGGTTGATTTCCAATTAATCGCTTTGTATGCGGAATATATCCGAAGCTCTATTGTTCTTACTTGATAGATCCTCAATTTCACAACATGCCGGAATATCGGAATCAGCGTGACATCCTTGCGCGCTGATACAAACTTGAACATTTGAGGAAATACGGGAAAAATCATCCTCAGGATGTCGATCGCTTTTGCTTGTTCGCCAACGGCACCGCCCGAGGTTGTTTGTGATGAGAGCAATGTTGGAAAGTCGGCGAGGCGAGACATATGGTTCTATGGTTCCTAAGGACCCAACTGGTGTCCAGTTGGACTTTAATCGGCGATGGCTTGGCCCGGGGCACTGGGCGAATTCAAAAGGCGCGGGGGAGAACGTCCGAGCTGTGTCAAAGATGAGGCAAATAGTAGGTCTTTCTACTACCCATATTTACGGCAGTATCGCACCACCCGCTTGCGGCCGCAGCCTTTGGCTGGGCCACTTCTCATGGATCACGGGTGGAGTCTACCCAACCCGAAGGAGCGAAGAACCTGCATAAACCACTTAGGCATTCGAGTTGCAGAGTGGGGACATCTCTTCCCTGGAGACCTGAAGCCCTCACTGAAAATGTTTCAATTGCACGTAGCTGACCATCTCTGATTCATCATACGCCGCGCGGGCGCCGAGTTTGACTTGCGGGGTGAATATGTGCATGAGGTAACAATTATCTCCAGCAAGATCGGGTAACATCTCTTGCCAAACATTGCTTCCCTTGGCATGAAACGGCATCTCCTTGACCATGTGCAAGGAATGAACCAGTGTAGACAGAGATTATTGACCCTCGCTGCGTCGCGGCCAGAGTGCTACGGGGCTTTTGCGGCGCAGTATGTCCGTGGGCGCTGCTGCGAACACGGTATTGTCAACTGGTTTCGCTGGAGCCAGGAACGAAAATGGCCTGGAGGCAGCGGGAAAGCAGCCAGTTACCTTCTAATATTGCTCCAATAGTGGAACGTGCAAAACTCTCGCCAACCGGTTGGCATCGACAATGATGGCCCGCGGTCTGAACGACCAGGAGCTTGCCAGTCTAGACAGTGCTGTCGGCAACCTACCGCAAGATTAGCCAGTGATCATCATAACGACCACGTACGACCGGCAACCCGCGGACGATGCGAAGGAAGTTTGTTATCTGGCTTGAAAGCAGTATCTGTCCATCTCTCCAAGGCGTCTTCTATGCAGTCTTTGGCTGCGGTCACCAAGACTGGTCTAAAACATTATATCGCATCCCTATCTTGATCGACAAGCTGATACAGAAGGCTGGAGCCACACGTCTAGTAACACGAGGCAAAGCCAACACCGCCGTCAGCGATCTCTTCTCGGCTCTCGAAGCGTGGGAAGAAAACATTCTGCTGCCTGTCATCCGGGAGAAGTTCCTCCTTTCCAGAAGCAACGACGGTGAACTACTCGACCCGCATCCGCTTCAACTAAGCCTCGGCAAGCCCATGAGGGTGGGAATGCACCCGGACATTGTTGAGCCCAGCGTGACGGGTGTCCGGATCCTCGGCAGCCCCGGAACCCCCAAAAACGTCATGTAGAATTCCGCGTCCCCAGCGAACTCTCCCTCCGCCCAGGCGATCATCTGAATGTCCTCCCGGTCAATCCACCAAAGACGGTCTCGAGAGTCTTGGCTCGATTCAACCGCGCCGGATCACACTATCACGATCAAGTCATTCATCGCGTTCTGTCAGCATCACGACACGCCTGTGTCGGTACTGAGCTGTTTAGCTCGTATCTGGGGTTGTCCCAACCGGCAGCGCGGAATGTGAGGCAATAAGGATCCTCACTAGCCTGACTTTAACTGAACGCAACTCGCTGACTGAAGAAACTCCAGAACATCAACGCCCTCGCTTTTGCACAGTCAGATCAAGACTCGCAAGAGCTGCTCCATTTTCACGATTCCTACCATTCGCTAGTCCGAGATAAGCGTGTCTCGGTCGTGGGCCTCCTTGAACAGTTTTCCTTGGCTGCTCTGCCCGTTGCCACATTTATCTCTGTGCTCCTAGCTTTGCTCGTCAGGCTATACTCCCTTTCCATGGCTCCCACGTTCAAGCCCCTGCACGGTTCGCTCACCTTCTCCGTCGCTAACGAGCTCGCATGGAGCGGCAATGGTCGGCACTTGGGTATCGATCAAATTACCTCGCCTCGCTCACGCCAGGATCCAGGAGCTACACATTCCACCCCCCAGCGAAAGACGCTTTCCATCTACCAAGGGATCATTCCAGCACACCAATCATCATTCATCGTGATCTGTGCGGGGAGTGGCCTTTGCCCTTTCTACAGCTTTACCCAAGAACGCATTGTCTGGCTGCAACAGGGCAAAGCACTCGCGAAGGCACTGCTGTTCTTCAGTTGTCGCGGTTCGAGCCTGGATGATCTTTATTACGACGAATTATGCGAGTTTGAATCTGCTGGCGTGGTGACCGTTCACAGAGCGTACAGGAGAGACCCGGAACATCACCTGGTCAAGAGATGTCTGTATGTGACACATCGGTTAGTGGTAGAAGCCCAGGCCATCAAGAACCTCTGGGTTCATTGCGACGATCTATGTCTGCGGGTCGAAGAATGTGGCTAAGGGGGTCAAGACCGGTTGCAGGAGACACTGGGGACAATGCCTGAGGAGCGATATGTGACGGAGATTTTCTAGGTGGTAACGCGTGTTATCTTCATTTATCTGGGGTACAAATTTAATCTGAGCATATTGTTTCTAGAATTTATGTGAATGGTCATTTGAAACGGATGATATCTGGCATGTTTACATGATGATGGAATGAGATGTCAGTGGAGAATTCACATTGCTGAGATCCGATCTACCGATTCAGGTCCAAATCCTGGAACAATAAACCCAAGCAAGCTCTGGAGATTAAAGGAAGTCGCTATCGAATTCTCATCCACGCCAGGCACGCTCATCTCCGGCCTTACAGGATAGTATAGATAGTCCCTTGGTTCCCAGGACTCCATGACAGTATCTTGCAAGTCGTCATTGCTATCATTGTTATTGCAATTTGCCCGATTCGGACGGATCGGAGCCTGGTCAGAGTTAGACAAGGAAGGAGAGTTATGCGATACAGGACGGCGGCCTACCTCGGTGTCAACCACTGTGGGCGCAGGAATCGACATGTTTAGATCATCCAGTGACTTCTGTTGTCGAAGTTTACTGGCAAATTCCTTGACATACTGTCGCGCTTGAACGACGAAGAGGAGCTACGCCTATTCGCTTCATGAAGCGGTATACCGGGTCTGAATTGCACCGGTATCAAACAATCTATGGCTTGTTTGATGATGGGGTGCTGCAAGACCTTTGCAGTATGGGCTACACCCATTTGAAAGCCAGTCTTATTAAAGTTGTAAACATCCTGTTCAAGAATACCATATTTCACTATGGTATTCTTAGTAAGATTAAACCATTAGTTGAAGACTCCTGGGTCCTTCCATTTTGCACGCTGGTAATGACATTTGCGGGTATATTTTGATATAAGATCATCATGCTATTTAATAAAGTTGCTGACCCAGTTCTTTCCAGTAGACAGACCTGGGATACCAATGAGGTAGTAAGATATCCACCATTTTGCGTACAGTATCCTGAGTTGGTGATAGGCCGCACTCATCCATATCTAGAATCCATTTCTTCAGAGAACCCTCTTCTAGACTGTTAAGCTTCTGGCAGTTAGCTGGTATATTAACCCGTGCTTTGCGGCCGCTAATTCAATGTAAAATTATATCAAGGGACATCATATGCTGCTGCTGCTGCTGCTCGTATGCTTTCAAACTGGTCATTTTGGTATGCTTTGACCGCAAGAGGTATGCGATCTTCTAATTTAGCTATTGATCCAAGTTATTTTGATGCCATATTCGATGGGAAATCTAAAGGCTGCAAGGTTTCAGGGGTTCTGAGGGTGACTCGTTCGCTTGGGGCTCGTTCGGTTGTGGATTACGTTCTCTCATATCTTATCTATCTCCATCTCTAACCTTTCCATCCATATGATACAGCATAATTACAATGCCTCGCCCTTCTATTAACCTTGAGCCATATAAGGCTGAGCTATTCCATCTCTATAAGAATCCGGTGCATCTCCCCGGACACACCTTATTAAGGAGCATGGGATTGAGAATACTACAGGTACGATTGAATTACGCCTACACAGGTGGGGTATTAAAAAGCAAAAATCGTATGGCAAGCTCTGACGCTATGCTGCATGCCCCTATCAGGATCCTTTTCTTCCAGGCTGGACAGAATGAGAGCAGATAAGGAAGGCCGAACAATGTCTGACCCCAGGGTAGAGCTACCAATCATTGAAGCTTCATAGATCTGGGATGCGAATACGTATGTACATGTACAGGCCAGAAGGCTTTTCGACGCAGGGCCCCGTTAGCAAAGGTCTCCAGCGTGCTGGCGAGTGCAACAATCACCTTACAATAACTCTAATAGGCTCGTATTCGTAAGCCCTACCGGGTGTCCTTGTCAGTGTCATCAGATCCAGGTGGATTCCGCTTTGATCAACGGCATACCGGCTACCTTCATCGCGGTACAAGGATTTCTTTCGACATCCCTTTTCTTTCGACTGGGTACTGTGGAGGTGGCCGCTTGCGGTCATGTCTCTGTAGAAGACATCGGACAAACGAAGGACAGGTTAAAAATGGTTTCATGTAGGATGCTTTTCTTGCCATATACGGCACTCGAACCAGAGCCCTAAAATAATTCTATTTGTCAACGATGTCTTCTGGAGTAGGCCATTTGTAACCTGATGCGCGGCATAATCGGTTCACAGTAATTTTCACCCAAAATAGTCATTCTGAATGTACAGGTTCACCGTTGGCTTGACCTGCTCAACTGGGAAGCGAATCCGAAGGTGGTTGAAGGTCTAACCAAGAAACAGTATGTGATTTTGTTGTTCGCTTATGTGATTGTCGCCCCACTCGGTATACGTTATAGGAGTCTCTCGTATTCGCATTCTTACTTATTGATGCAGTACACCAGCGAGGCTCTTAGCATCTCAGTTGCTCAAAATTTCAGGGACCCGGCGCGTAAGCAGTATATATGTCGAATGCAAACAGGATTCGTTGTACCTAATGGCCCGAGGAAATTCTTTCTTTCTTTTCACCACCATCGGCTCCAACATGGCCTCCACTGCTCCCATGACCTCCAGTGTGCCATCTTTAGCGACACTTGGGCTCCTTGCCGTCTATACTGTCAGTGGAGATACCCAGCTTTAGTATCTGTTAGCTCAATCATGACACTAACGACAAATGTCCGCAGCTGATCATTTACATGTTCGGTAATGTGGTATACAATCTATGGTTTCACCCGTTCAGACAATATCCGGGCTCGAAATTCGATGCAGCAACCCGTCTTCCGTATACTTTTCGTCTCTTGCGGGGTTCGATCACCCCACGAACAAAGGAGCTACATGATAAGTATGGTCACGTTGTCCGTATTGCTCCCAATGTCCTCTCCTACACGTGTGGCGAGGCATGGAATGGTAAGCCTCTCGCAAAGGACTGCACCGACCATCTCAAGCTTTCTCTGATCGAATAACATCCATGAAGACATCTATGGCCTGAAGCAAAGGAGCATGCGTGGCGGTTTCCCAAAGGATCCCAAGTACTACATCAAATCTGCTAATGAAGCAAGTAGCATTGTACGGACTATTTGACCTTTGGGTATCATACTTATTCAGGTTTGATGTTACACGACAGCAAAGGACTTTATCAGTTAGTCTGCTCTGCTTTGAGTTCCTAAACAATCAGGCATCTTTGATTCTCTAACTAGCCAACAGAATCAGGCCTTCATATTTTTGCATTTAAGTACATGCATTCACCCTACACATATTATTGACCCTGAATGGCTGACAAAGGGGAGACAGAAGGCTCAGTGAGAGGCACGAATCGAAATTTACAAAAGAATATTAATGTGTATTAGTGCAAGCGCTGATATCAGCCAGAATCAGTATCCGCCACTGGAGAGAGCGTGTTGATTCTGGGGGCCGTTATTGGTTTCTCGGGCAGACAAGATGGCTAAACAGAATATGACAGAGGCTTTTATTGTTTGAACCAGGTCTTACTTCAGCTGTGTCTACGAGGGAACGACGCGGAGACGGACTAACAATGAAGAGTCAAGCTCAGAAGTACGACGCGAAGAGGTACTAAACGGATGCTTTCCACAGCTCCTACGTTGAATGAGTCGATGATTCAGGTCTGGCAAAATTCAGTCTCCCGTCAGTGGACAGAGCAGGAAGATGCATTTATGCCAATGTGCACGCACCGGTGGAAATTTGTGTTACGCCAAGGCCTCATAGTTCAAACAGGAACCCACAGAGAACATGGCCATCATTCAACTCTGCTATCATCACTACCATCACCATTGGGGTCCTCCATCATGCAGGAACCCTGTAGTATCTCCATCACGCACGATTGTTATTGCATGCTTGGCCTAAAAGTGTGAACGTGGCCAGTGGCTTCGACTGATAACAGATTTGTTGGTAGACCAAAAGCTTGAACTTAACACGAGAGGAGCACGATAGAGTGTTGGTCTTAGGGTTTGGGAGGAGCTCCGTCCGCTAGGTTCTAATCGACCGCTCAGTTCCCGAAGAGTCTTATGTGCAGCAAGAGTATACTTCATGGCTCTTTGGATGTTCATCCTTGCATATCAGACGTTGCACTTGACTTGAATACTCTTCCTGCATATTCACCGGACAGCAATGTCTCTCTGAAATCCGCGGCCGACTCGCTCTTGTCACTGGTGCATCAGGAGGGTATCTGGAATCGAATCACCATTTCTTTACACTATCTTAGCAGCGAAAAAGACTAAACGTAATAATACTAGAATCGGCGCCGCGTGTACTGAGCAGCTGGCACAACATGGAGTCCACCTCGCTCTGTCCTACTCGACCAACCAGACCGCGAATAACGAGCTCGTAGCGTCTCTACGATCCCGATACGGGACCAGCAGCTTCGCATATCTACTCACCAAGTTGAGGTTGCATGTCCAGATCAGATTGAAGCGATGTTCGAGCAGATCGATGCTTACCACGGCCACGGACCGGACATTCTGATCTCGAATGCCGGATACGGGAAACGCATTACTCAAGTTTGGGATATTGGTCTGGAGGAATTTCACAAGATGATGAATATCAACCTTCATGCTTCGTTCATACTTGTAAAAGGTGTTGTCGAGCAAATGAAGAGCGAGCGATGGGGTCGCATCGTGTTCATGTCATCAATTGCTGCATACGGGGGAGGGATCAATGGATGTCGTGGGTATGCTCGTTTTCTTATTCTGGCCGTGGATTAACGCCCTTTTGCCAGACTGCGCGGACTTCCAAGGCCGGATTGACTGGGATGATGAAGAACGTAGCTACGCGACTGGCCAAGTATAATATCAGCGTCAATGATGTTGCTCCTGCAATGATTGGGGATACGGGGATGATGGCCAATGCTGCAGCTGTTCCGGAGGTAGTAGCGGGTATTCCTTTGGGTCGGCTAGGGACGCCGGAAGAGACAGCAAATGTCGTGAGTATGTTGGTGAGGACAGGATACATGACGGGCCAGAGTTTACTGCTTGCTGGAGGGTTAAAATAAGCAGTTGACGCCGAGAATTTGAAAAAAAGAAAAGAGAAAGAAAAGCTCATTTGCTAGAGATGCATCACAGACTCGGGAAATTTTATCATGCTCGGATGACAGCGTAAATTTGTTTCGTTGCTGTAAGCGATAGAGTCAGGGCCAAAGTGTTCGAACAGTAGCAGGAGACTCGGCAGGATACGGGACCATGAGCAATTTCCCTGGAATGAGTCTCTTATCAAGAGTCTCACGGCAAAGATGACGATCACCAATGGCCAGAGATAAGATAGGGGAGACATCGGTGAATTGCCGAGAGTGCAGCGGAGCTACGATAAGAGACATAACAGACATAAAAGACCAAGCTGTTAGATAAGGTACAGGACTTTCACTATCTCTCCTTCAAAGAGAAACGCATATTTCACCAGAGCAACTGATCGTTCTCCTTTTTGGGAACTACCTGGCATAGTACCTACCCAAGGCTCACTGAGTGCCCGATCGCCACCACATCTCTGTTCTTGTGCAATATTGCGGGGGTGGAGCACGTCCAGTAGAGGGTAGGAAACTCGCGCTGGCTCGTGGCCAGATAAATAGACGCTCTTCCCCGCAATTTTCCAAACTCTATTGTCAAGCACTTCCATCATGTCCGTCTCTCATTCCCCAACACCACTACCGCCGTATCAGCCCTTCCAATGTGCCGTCTGTCATAGTCGGTTTACCCGGCACGAGAATCTAAAGCGACATGCAACCCTGCATTCTCGGTCTCTGGGCCAGGCCTTGCTTCCCTGTGACTATTGCAAGACGACGTTCTCTCGGTCTGATCTGCGCCATCGCCATATTAAGAGGAAACACCCGGAGCATGAGCTGAGACGACCTACAAAACATGCGAGACATTTACGTGATCATCGTGCCCATGACAACAGCAATAACAGGGAGAAATCAGGTTCTTCTGCAAATAGGCCTGCAATCAACGACGCGACTGGTCTTGGAGAGATTTTGCCAGATGTACCCGAGCTTGATTGGGACATCCTGCTCGGCGCATCGCTGGCGCCTGCGCTTCAAAACCAGAAGACCGATTCCCCGTCGCCTTTATCCAATGTGAATCCGACAAGCTTCCTCTTTGATGCGGATCCGGCCGATGACCCACTACCACATAATCTAACCCGAGTAGAGGACAACTGGATCCCCTCAGCTGTACAAATAACACAGGGATGCCACCTCTTCTTTACTCACGTTTCATGTTTCATCCCTTTCCTTCACAAACCCACTTTCAAGGCAACAAAACAGCCCCCCACCTGATACTCAGCATTCTGTGTCTGGGCTATCAGTACGGAGAGGATCCTGAATGCAGCAATCAGGCGGGGTCCGGCGCGATACTGTCCGCCCGCTGCTTCAACCAAGCTCGTTCTATTATCGCTTTCGACGACAATACGCTGAATGATCCAACACGAAGCCTTGCAATAGTTCAGTCATATCTTCTACTTCAGATCTGCGCGATGATGTACATGTGCGGCGACCACTCCGCCCATGGTTTGAAAATGCATTCCAATATGATCTCTCTCGCTCGGTCAGCAGGACTTATGCAACCCTTCGCTGCCTCATCACTTGCCACCGAAGACCTCAATTCCTTATGGCACGAATTTATCCAGGGCGAGACCCGCAAACGAACCCTTTTCACCGTCCACCAGATCGACGCTCTCTGGTATCAATTGCTCTCCATCCCGCGGTCAATCTCCCACCTAGAAATCAAACACGACCTTCCCTGCCCCGAGGACCACTGGACTGCGTCATCAAGCGCGGAATGGGCGCACCGCCAGCTTATATCGCGATACCATCCAGGAAGCTCAGTCCAGTACGCCGACGCTGTCAGGCGGTTCCTCTCCTCGGACGGAGACCTCGCTTCCATCCCGCACTTCGATCCCTTCGGCGCTATCAACATCGCCCACTTCCTTATCTCGAGTGCACGCGAAATCTCCGGCTGGTCAACCATGACGGGGATGCTGAGCATGGAGCGATTTGGAGCGTTGCGGAACTCCCTCATGGCACTATCTCCTTTTCTTTGCCAGCGGAGTCATGCGGATGAACTCACCGCGACAACGACAGCTACAACTCCAGCCGCTGCCTCCTACGCAGCAGTCTGGGAAAGCGCCATGCTCGAGCTACAAATGTGGTCTCCACTGCACACAGGCGGCGTGGTCGGAGCCAGCATCGATGCTTGGTTGAGTCAGTCGACGCAGATGGCGCTTTCATCTTGCGAGGTTCTATGTAAAGCCGATACTGCGCAGTCGATTCAGCCGCATGTTGACTGGTTCCTGAGGTACCTTGATACGATGCCGGCGCCGGAATCTGAGGCACCGTGGGTCACACTGCATGCGTACAGGGCGTTTCTGATTGCCTGGCAGTTGGTGAGAAACGGGGTACCTGGGGCAATGCAGGTTGTTGGAGTCGAGGATGGGCATGAGCACGGTGCATTGGAATGGGCGAGGAAGGTATTTCGAGGGAAAGAGAGATGGCAGATTGGAAGGCTGATTGCCGGCTGCTTGGATGGATTAAGGATATAATCTAAGTCGTATATACTTCTTATGTGACTATTTCGGGTACATGAACTCTATTCCAAGTTCTCTCATGATCTCGCAATATCAAACTCCGCCATGTACCAGTTCTGAATAGCCTTTGTATCGCCCGTAATGGCAACAGTATCATACCGCTTACTTGCGTCCTTTGCCAGCGCCCCATTGTTCACCATCCTCCCAATCCACTTCCCATACTTCCTCCCCGCCGCGATAATCTTCTCGACGGCAGCCACAAACTCTGGCTCGTCGCCGCGCGCAGGGACATATCCCAGAAGCGACTGCGCCAGGTCATTGGGACCAATAAAGACCATATCCACGCCAGGCACAGCACAGATCTCATCAACGTTCTCAACTCCCGCTCTCGTCTCGATCTGGATCATTGTAAGGATCGTCTCGTTCGCAGAAACCATATATTCTGGCGTGGTCAACCCGTGCCCGATAGCCGGGAACGCCGAGCCCTGGCCACGCACGCCCTGCGGGGAAACTTCGACGAGGCAACGACCTGTCTAGCTTCGTCCGCGGTGTTGATCTGAGGCACCATGATCCCGTGGGCACCAGTGTCGAGCGCGCGCTTGACGATGTCATGCGCTGGGCCGCGGATACGGATGATCGGGGAGACGCCGAGGGAGGAGATGGCTGCGACGGCGTTGTGCATTGCGTCGTCGCTGATGTGGCCATGTTCGCAGTCAATGATGATGCCGTCCACGCCGGTTAGGGCGACTATTTGCGCCATGCGTACGGAGGGGATGGCCATGAATGTCATGAGCGGGTATTCGCGGGCTTTGAGTTTGTTGAGCAGCCGGAGGCGGGGTTGGTGATGGTGGTCGTGTGCGCGGTTAGATAGGTCATTGTGTCGGTGTTTGCTATTCTGGATGGTTTGAAAGAATTCCATTATGTTAATACTAGCGAGGCATGCCTTTAAGTATAGATTTCCAGGACTTTTGCTCCCTGAGTGGTGTCAATGTACTGCATACTCCCTCATACCAGCCATCGCGGTATGGAGCACAGCGAAAGCTTATCGAGAGGAGCTCCTCCGCACTAGTGTAAGGCTGGCTCCCCCACTGCACTGAAGAACGCCGGGGCTCCTCCCTTAATCTTTTGACTAGCACTGCGGTCTCTTGGTGGAAAGCAAGACTTTTTGAATGGATAAACAGCAAGACTTTTTGTGTTAGGGACGGTTTGAGCTCTGAGAGCAGTAGATGACCGTCAAGGTGCTCTCTGGCTACTTATAAGTCATTGCTGTCCGGGAAGGGAGTCCGAGGATTAATACCTCATACAGACAACTTGCTCTGGACTTCGACAATGGACACTAAAAAGCACCCCCGTCTGTCCAAATCGCGGACAAAGCATCATGTGCAGAAGGACAAATCTCACCCCTGCATCGGATGCCTGAGACCCTTCGCAGCCTCAGCGATGATGATATGCGTGATCTCAACCGGAAGATCGTGCGCAAGGTAGATTTACTCGTCCTCCCGACTATCGGCATCCTGTACATCCTGAACTACATCGACCGACAGAACCTTGCCGCGGCCAAGCTCCAAGGGATCACCGAAGATCTGCATATGACCACTGAACAGTTCGCCACGGCCGTCTCCATTCTCTTCGTCGGCTACTTGCCATTCCAGATCCCGAGCAACCTCCTCATCACGAAGATCTCCCGTCCAGGCATGTACATATGCTGCGCTGTAACGGTCTGGGGCTGTATCTCGGCGGCGACGGCTGCAGTAAAGAGCTACGGTCAGTTGCTGGCGGTGCGAGCCATTCTGGGCATGGCCGAAGCGGTCTTCTTTCCCGGAGCCATCTACTACCTCTCGGCGTGGTATACGAAAAGAGAGCTTGGAAAGCGTATTGCGGGGCTATATATCGCACAACAAGTCGGCAACGCGTTTGGAGGACTCTTAGCGGCGGCCATTCTCCAGCTCAACGGTATGCACCACATCGCCGGCTGGCAATGGCTCTTCATCATCGAGGGTAGTGTGACGGTAGGCGTAGGCGTCATCTGCAGCCTTATCATGCCCGAGTTCCCTCACAACAGCCGCATCCTCTCCCCGCTGGAGCGTGACCTCGCCGTCTGGCGTATCGAGTCCGAGGCCGGAGCCGCAGAAGGCAGTATTGAGAACGAGCATGAAAGCGTCCTCCGTGGGTTTGCCAATGCCCTCTCCGACCCGAAGCTCGTCCTCCTCATCCTGGCCAACATGCTGTCGCAAACCCAAGGCTCTATTGCAAACTACTTCCCCACCCTCGTCGCCTCCCTGAACTTCTCGCACACGGTGAGCCTGCTGCTCACCGCGCCACCGTACATCCTCGCCGGCGGTGTTTATTACGGGGTAATGTTCTACTCCGACCGAAAAAACACCGTGTACCCTGTCATCCTCGTCTGTGCCGCTATTTCTATCACAATGTACATCATCTCCATGACCACCCTCAACGTCGGCGCGCGGTACTTCTCCATGATGGTTTTACCATTTGCGTCCGTCGGCCCGCAACTCCTCCTCTACAAGACTATTAACCTGCACCTGGCCCGACCAATCTCTAAGCGTGCGGCTGCCTCGGCCCTGGTCAATGCCATCGGCGGCACGTCGAATATCTGGGCCTCATATTTGTACTACTCGCCCCCGCACTTTTATGCGGCGTTTGGTGCTCTGATGGGTGCGGCTGTTTTGCTGGCGTGCACAGTAACGGTCTATCGATGGTTGGTTCGGAGGGAGAATGCGAGGCTGGATTCGGGGAAGCCAGAGGAAATTGCCAAGGTTGTGAAAGGGGGTGTGACGGAGGAGATGGTGCAAATGGGGTGGCGGTACGAGATGTACTGATTAAGTGCTGAAGGGGATGTGCGGATGCTCCTCTGATTAGCTACTTGCCTGATTAGCTACTTGCCTGATTAGCTACTTGCCTGTTTAGTGTCTTGCTCTGTATTTTTGTTCTGATGTCCATTCTGTTGATTTAGCATATGTGATAATCATTATACAGGAGTCTGGTATTGCTGTATAGACACATCCAGTTTTCGCTCATGCCAGTCTTCCCTGGCAGCAAGCTAGGTGTAACCTCATGCGGCAAATTCGGCTTTATATGTCTTCACTTATGCTGTTGTCTGGTTATTAACCATATAGTGAACGAATGGCACTATACTAATCAACAACTCATACGCGAATCTTTCTACCAATCAATTTGGCACATCGGAAACATATGAATTCTTCTCTTGAATGAGCTTCCAAACGGCCTAAACCTGCGCAATACATTCTATCTCAATCACCGTCCCGTCACCAGGAGGCAGCGCCTGAAGACACGAGCGCGAAGGCATCGGCTTCGGAAGAAAATCAATGTACACTTCATTCATTGCCGCGAAATCCTTCATATCGGCCAGATAGACATTGTACTTTACCACCTGTTCCAGGGACGATCCGGCCAGCTCGAGGACTTCCTTTAGGTTTTGCAATACCATGCGCTATACGGAAGATGGTTTAGCGTCAGGATGATTGTTGAGGTTGTATACTGCTGCATGTGAAGACTCACTGTCGCTTGCTTAATCTCGCCAGTAGCGGTCTGTCCAGCACAGAAGACGAGGCCTGGGATCTTGACGGCAGGACCTATAGGGATTAGGGATCCTGGCTGATTTGATCGACCGGTGAGATTGAATACTCACAGTTGTGTGGCTTGGGAGGGTACTTTTCGCTGGAGATCAATTCACGGGACATCGTGACAGACTGGGTAGAAACTAGATTGCAGTGATTGAAGATAGGATGTGAGATGATATACGACCGTAAATGACTCCTCAGCCCCCTTATGAATAAGGTTAACTAAAGACTGGTCCTCGCGTCTTCTACCTAACGTGTTGATTCTACTCCTCCCAAGGGGCGCTCCGCCCTAAGTTGGGAGGAGCGCCTCCGCCCCACAGTGCTGATCGAACCAGGGCTGTCCTCTCTGTCAAGGTTAACCTTATATCAAAGCTGATAAGATCACGTCTGAATAGTTGCAAGAGAGGAGCTCCAGAGGGAGAAAGGAACTGATGGAGTAGATTGATTGTTCACGAGGATGGAGGTGCAGAGGTGGGTATGGGACTTGTCCTGCCGCTCATATGATCAAGTTGTCCATCTGGAGATCAAATACGGAGAAAGTAGTGCCAATGTAAACATGCGACGAAATAATAGTATAAAGTGGCCGGGGAATTCATCGGATCTGTCTTTACAATCAACTACACTTACACCGTCAAATTCAATCAGACTAAATCAACCGAAGTCATGGCACCTACTGCTCCGTTCAGTCCCCCTCCCACTACTGGTAAACCTTTTGTCCCCGAATGGATCCCTCCTCCAGTGACCAAGGAAAAACACAACTTCGCACAACTCAAGTCGATTGACCTCTCCCTGCTGGACTCTGATGACCAGACTATCGTTGGGAATCTCATTCAAAAGGTCAAGGTAGCCATCCGCGATGATGGATTTCTGTTCCTGGAGAACTATGGAATTTCCTTGGAGCAGGTAGGAGCTCTCCTAGTTATAGGCGACGGAGAAAGGAGATGGCTGACAACTACCTCATGGCACTTAGCTCCATCGTCAATTTGCTCTAGCACAATATCTCTACAACAACATCAGCGAGGAAGACAAAGAACGCCTTCTTTTTGACCCCGACACCGGTGTTTGGTCCGGTTATAAGCACCCTTACGGATTCAAGGTTGGCCGCTACACTGTATAATAGCATTTTAATGATTATACTAACTATTGGTTAGCGCCATCGCGGCACCCCGACGGCATCGAACAATTCAACTGGTACAAGCCCGAGTGGGAAGACATTAATCGCGTACCCCGATGCCTCCACCCCTTCATGGAGGAGATCGAGGCATTCTGCAACTACCTCACCCAATCTGTCAACCGCCGGCTCCTCACCCTCTTCTCGCGCGTCCTTGAGTTACCTGACAATTACCTTTGGGACAACGTGCAGTCCCACGGCGGCCCAACGGGTGAAGGTTACTTTCGACACGCGCTCTTTCGCCCCGTCCAAAAACAAACCGAAGAGGCGTCCAAGGGTCTGCGCATGCACGGCCACACCGACTTTGGACTGACGACTTTGCTGTTCTCTGTCCCGATCTCATGTCTTCAGATCTGGGGCCGCGATGAACAGTGGTACTATGTGCCGTATAAGCCTGGTGCCCTGGTGATCAACATCGGAGACACACTGGAGATTGTCTCGGGGGGTCATTTCAAGGCAACTCGACACCGGGTTTTCAAGCCGCCGGCGGATCAGTTGAATGAAGAGCGTTTGTCGCTGGTGTTGTTTAACAGTTCGGTTGGGGATTTGCGGATGGCGCCGGCGTATGGTGAGTGTGCCTGTACTCTTTCTGGGTATATGGTCGTGCTGATATTGGAGTAGAGTCACCACTCATTCAACGGGAGGGCTGCATCGAGGAGCAAGGCGTCTACAAAGAGTTCAAGAACCTCACTGCTCAAGGAAAGCTGGTCCCTACCAATCGTCAATGGCGCGAGATTCAGATTGCCACCTGCACGGATCCGACCGATACCGTTCGCAACAGGGTCGGTGCAGACCAGGTCCTCATTGATGGCAAGATCATGCATCAGAGGGAATACATGGGTGTCAAAGTTGTTCTGCCTGTTTGAGAGTGACCGGCCTGGGAGGAATCGGATATTAAGGAAGATATTGTCTTACAGTAGCTAAACCATGAGGTTAATTTCAAATTATATTTCAGTCTTATCTCAGACATATTCCTCCCTTGGATTTCCCACTTTTGGCTACGACAGAAACCTGCTCAGTTTCTAGCGGAGTACAGGCAAGGGTACATACTATTTGGTTACTGCTAAGATTATCATATTCCTCTGGCTCTGGGAGAGTTTGGCTAACATCCTAAGTGAAAAGATGGTGAGAGATGGTACAGTCACTAGATCTACTCTTCTGGATGTATAGTTGATTGCCGGAGCTTATTCCTGGTAGATATGAATGTAAATAAGCCAGTATTTCAATCCCAGGGTTATATACCTATGTAATCTTCGATCACAACAAGAATTATATCTTTCAAGTTACAATGTCATTGCTCACTAAACAAGCCTGATATAGAAAGGGACACATGGTACTTGTAAGCCAAGAGATCACGAACACCCAGAAACAATCATAATCCATGTCAGAATTGATATAGCCTGATCCGGTATTTACATCTTGGCCTGACTTACTGCTAATGCATTTATAAGAGACAAAAGACTGTCTTACTTTTCAGGGGTAAACTCCCATCTATTAGGACCTCTGCAGCCACCACCTCCTCCCTTCTATCTCTTCTTCCTAGTGAAGATGTCTTGCTAAGGACAGTCTTTATACTTAGTATAGGGCTTCTGTTTTTTGGTTAACTCTAGGGATAATTATCTTGGAATGGCTTAGCAATATATTTTCTAACGTTGGGGAGAAACTTTGAATGTACTACCCTAAAAGTTATTATCTTATTATAATTTTGGGCGGTACACATACTGCCTAGTCCCGCTGGTATTAATAAATAGATTAGATGTCTAGGGCGATAGTCAAAGATGAAGTCACCTATTAGTGTCTTATTATACTAGTATAGGTAAGTCTTCTTAAAACCTCTGTCCACCACCTCAGGTAGGATCTTCTTAAGGCTAATAAGAAGTCTTACATACCCTCCGCAGAGATGAAGTTTGCCCATGTAGAGATGTCCTAGCTGGGTAGGGAGGAATGCTAAAGACGCCTGCCCGGACAATGACGATACACTGGTTCTTGTCCATGATGTATGAAGTCCATTCCGAGATATAGGGTTCCCTTATATTGACCCTTTTTGGCTTCCGTTCTCACCCTCAACGAGATCAGAGGCTTTTTCAGCCCTTCCCCTCTCTGATTCTGTCTGACAATTCTCCTTATATCGCGATGACACCATTCTTCCGAAAATCCGTTCAGACAGCACCCGACCCAGCTGCATGATCCGACCGCTTGAGCAAACCCTTATTCAAAACAGTCACGAGCCTTCAGATCTTGCTGTTCACCCTCATAGTTGGTCTTCCAGTCATCACCACCTTTCCTCTCACTATGAGTAACATTTGGGACATGATCCGCGTTGTTCTATTCGGGTCGCACAATGATGCATCTCGCGATGGTGCTCCTGCTTTTATTCCCGCGCAAGATATCCCGTTGATGGCAGGCAAGGTCATCCTCCTCACGGGCGCCGCAGGTGACCTCAGCTGACAAACAGCCATAGAGCTGGCTCGGTATGGCCGGCCTAGCCGCATCTACATCGCAGATCTGCCACGCAGCGATGACGCCAAACAAGATCTGATCCGCCAGATTAATTATGAGGCTTACAGAGACCCCATATCCATATCCCCCCACCATGGAGACGGCCGTCACAACATTGACTGAGATCTGATTTCTTGCTTTGGACCTTGCATCTTTTAATAGCATTTGAGAATGCGCCCAGAAGTTCGCTGCTCAAGAACAACATCTGGATATTCTCATCCTGAATGCAGGTATCATCCGCGTCCCTCCTGCAACAACCATGGAAGGCTACAAGATCCATTTGGGAATCAACTATCTTGGCCATGCCCTTTTGACCCGCCTGCTAATGCCAATACTGCTTCGCATAACGCAGCGACAGCCCGGCTGATGTACGCGTTGTTGTTGTATCAAGCAAGGGACACATTTCAGCGCCTAAAGAAGGCGTTGATTTCGACCTTGTCAAAACCAACTGTTCGAATCTGGTCAGTATTTTGTTTCTCTCTTCGGATGCTTGGCGTAGAGGAAAGAAGACATTGAAATCTAACTTTTTTTTAGCCATATCCAAAGAGCTATGGCCAGTGCAAAGCAGCCCTCATTGGCCTAATGAAAGGGCTCAGCCGCGACTGTCCACAGATTAAAACAGTCGCTATACATCCAGGGAGAATTCCTACTGGCATGGCTACGTCATTGTGGAAAGAAAGTAGTACTTTGACCAAGCCTATTGCACCGTTCTTCTGTGTGCTTGTGACTATCGGGATCAGAAATCATCTATGGGCCGCCACGAGCCTAAAGGTGGTAATTGGCACGTATTATGAACCTGTGGGCGTACCTGGAAGGTTAGAGGATCAGACATTTGCGGACAGGCTCTGAAAGTGGACCGATAAGGCCCTGGGCGGAATCGAGTCTCTTGAGTATCTTTTCCGTCCTACCGAGAAGATGTATGATCTGTTGGCTATAGCAGAATGATAACGTGATCTAATTCCAAGCTTCCACTGCTACTACTGAGGTACATCCACCAGCTTCTCGTCTGTGAACTCCATATACAAGTGCTGCTACGAAAGGCGACTGAGGTTTGGCAAGTGGAGACTACAAGGCTTCAGAATATAGGCCTTAACCCTCTCAATTCGAATCCTATACTTTTGCATGGAACGCTCCTCTCGAAATCGGGTACAAGCTGCCTCCCCTTAATCAGCACTCCGGGATAAACCCTTATTAATAAATGAACCACAGCCCTTATACACATCTTAAGTACCCTTCTTATCAAAGAACTAACTTTGTAATACTAGCGAATCCCGCAAAGAATCGTTCTGCAAAATTCAGCACAGAAGTTTTCGTAGGGCGTGGTGACAGAATTCCATCTGACAATCAAATATAGAATCGCATGAAATCCTTAACTGTAGCAAGGTCAGGTACCAGGTGGCCTTTCCGAAGGCCCCCATCTCTGAGTTTCTCATCCTCTTCAGATGCCCATCTCACAAGGCAAGAGAACGTCAGATTAGCAAAGACGGACATATGGAGACGATATAAGGACTCAAATAAAACTCACTCGGTATAATATCTGGGGCCCTGTCCCGCAACACTCCAGGTATGTGGTACTGTGCGCTCCGCTTCAGAGTAGATAAGCCGCGACTTCTTGACAGTCACAGTAGATCCTATCGTAAGACTAACGTAATTCCCGGGTCAGCCGGCCACCCCATCCCATTTCAACGCGTTTACACTTTCGAAGCTATCCAAATCAACCAAAATAGAGTATTATCTCATTAGATCTAGCTAGTATTGCGTGTAGGGCATCTAACTCTTGTATGCCCTATAATAAAGTAATTTAAACACCTTGGTGGCGCGCGTTTTGGTGGTTCTAAAGGTAAAGGCGCAGAATTATTAATGACCCTCAAACTCATTCCCTTGCTCATTTCTCGCCTGGATGAGATCCCTAGCTTCCTGTATACTGAGTCCTTCATTAGGAGTTATCTGATGTCTAGCTTGCTTCCTTTTCTGCTTCTCCTTCTCATTGGCTGAGCGTAGATCATGGTGGTCCTTTGCTAGTAGGGCCGCACTGTGCATAGCCATTTCGCAACCTTTGATAAGCTGCTGTATAGCTAATTTTGAAAGTGTTAAAGGGCTTTGAGAGCGTTGTTTTAGGGGCTCCTTGACTGAGGATGCTTGCTTGTGTAATTGCTAAAGTGTATGAGGCGTAGCAAGCCATGATGAACTGGTTGATTAACTTGCATGGCTTGAAGGGGAGTAGGGGTTGATATATAGATTTATAGCTTCTCAAGCACCCTCTTTGGAGGAAATGGATGAATTTTAGCTGCGGCGAAGCCATTCTGAATATTTAGAGGTTTAAAAACCTCTAGATGGGCTGCTGGATATGCTTTAAGGAAGTTAAACTTATTAATATACTTGTATCCTAAGCACATCTTTTGCTCAACAAGGCTGCTGTAAGCATGCTTTAAAGGGCCAAAATAACCAACATCTAGTGGTTGTAAGAGATGAGAAGAATGAGCAGGCATATAGATAGTGATAATATCATTATCCCTGCAGGCCTTATTAAACCAGGTGTTAGATGGCTCCTGTGGCCATCTAGAATAAGTAGATGATATCTTCTAACTGTACGGCTAGTTGTTGCAGGGATAAAGACCTTTTAAAGCTATTAAACACCTATCTCATCTATTATCTATCTATTTTAACTGACTTTAATTCTCTAGTTAGGTGGTAAAGTATGATCTTAATACCATCCCTTGATATGAACCTTCCCCTTGAAGATTATATAAGACGGAAGCACCTAGCTAGTAGTATTAATATATTTCATTATTATAACCCATTCCTGATTGCCTGGCTAAATAAAGTGAGGCTTTCCAGGCATATTAACTCTTATTACTACCTTAGTAGTCGCAATCAAGCCCATCACGAAGCCTGTTTCATCAAAGTTATAGATATCTTTATTGGAGATGCTGTATTGCATTTAGATCTATTATAGGTAGTTAAACCACCCTTTATGGATCCTCGCATTGAGCTTGACTGTAATTATATTATTAAGCATATTGAGTTTTGATCTCATTATGTTGTTTGATAAATGTAGACACCCAGTTCTTGCTAATAGGTTTGAATCCAGAGGTATTGTCTGCTTAGAGAAGGATATTGGCCATTTCCTGCATATAAGATGGCCTAGGAGGCACTCTGCGCAGATCCCTAGATAGTATCCATTCACTAATAATTCTTCCTGCGTAGGAGACAGTCGGTGATTATGGCTGTTTTTTTTTCAATTCGATATTGGCATCCATTCAGTCGGTCTTGGATAGAGTTGCATTTGGTGCGGGTTCGGGCGGGTTCAAGCCTAGTTGGCACCAAACCGCTGCGGTTTCGGGTTCAAAATTTAGAACTCGCACCAAACCCGGACCCGATGCGATTCGGTTGCGGTTTTCACCGCAAAACCCGCTGCTAGGCCTAGCTAGGCCTAGCTAGGCCTATACTAACTAACCATGGTTAGATTCGGTTCAGTTTCAGGTTGGTTAAACCGCTAATTTTAACTGTTTTAACCCTTACCATTCCCCCCTTCGGGGACCCCTCTGACGCCCCTATCAAGCATGCTTATATAAAATTATGATTTTTATATAAAATATATGGTAATTATCATCATATTAATCTAGATCTAAAATATGAATTCAATATCTATAGGTTTGAATGGGTGGTAGTTAAAAAATCATTTTTAAATATGGTTATTGTCAACAGTCAGTCACATATATATATAAACTACCACTACTTTCATACCAACCTATGACAGAGAGGAAATTCCCTTATATCTCAGCAACCACCAGGTATTTTTGAATAATATTTATATCACTAGATAGCCTGAATCAAAGGCTATCTAGTGATATTAATATCAATTAAAAATATCTAGAATTCAGTAATTTCTAGGTAAAACGGTTGCGGGTTGGTTAACCTAACTCGCAAAACCGCAAAAACCGTAACCGGCGGTTTTAACCAAACTCGAAGCGGTTCCACCCTATAGAAACCGAAACCGGTGTGATTCCCTAGGCTAGGAACCGAACCCAAACCGCTGCGAGTTCGGTGAGGTTCGGGTTCGATTTTTGCGGTTCGGTTATGCAACTCTAGTCTTGTAGGGTAGATCTAGGCACATTAAATATCTCTGTAGCGCGGCGAATGCTTGAAATTTCATTCTTCTTTAAAGTAGATATTGCTAGTTGAATCCTTCCCTCTTGCTCGACCAATTTTCCATGGGTTTGACGCGGTTTTGATGGCATGGTAGCTGTTTGGATAGCTTCGAAGGTGTAAACAGGTTGAGATTGGATGGGGGTGGCCGGCTGACCCGGGTGGCCAGCTCACCCAGGAATTACGTTTATATGAGTATAGGAAAGACAGAACGGCTGACATGACACTCCACTTGCTGCCCCAGGAGATGTTCGTATTGTTGCATCTCGTTTTCTGCGTACAAAAGTACATGAATAAAAATTTGACCTGTTCCTTATAAAGTAATAACAACTTTCCTGGCAGAAACGCCTGCTCTCTGGATTGTCCAAGCCATAGTGAATCTTATCCAACCCGTGACCGACTACCATCGGATCCGGCTTCGGTTTGAACTGACCACTGGCTAATGATGCCTCGGGCAGATAATCTCGCCAAACTGTTTTGCCTATCTTTTCTTTGGGAGGAAACGCAACACCGTATGAGGAAACTGATGAGTCAGTCAGCCAAGAGTCGATGACGCCTAGAGGGAAAGAAACTCAGACAGCTTTAAGATAGATACATATCACAAAAAGTGATTCTTATATTGCCCTTAAGGAGACTCAGGATAAGTCTCATCATAGTTTGGTTACACTAAAGCATTTATCTCAGTTCGATGCCGGGTGAGTAGAACCCTCCTTTAGACAGCACGCACTCGGAACAAAGTACGCCTACGCTATTACCGTTGCATCCAGGATCTTTTGGATAGGCCTTACCTATGAAGAGCTTGGCGCTCAAACCTGGAATCATGTCTATGTCAATGGCCCGTCAATATCTGCTGGGTCAACTCCAACACCATGCGAGGATGATGTCGGTGTATAGCGTCAGCATGACATACTAGAAAACGATATCGTCAATGTAGGTGGGTATTAATCTCATGGAATGCGCTAGGTATGCATGGAGTCTCCACCCAGCTTGGAAATGTCTTCATTATTTACCTTTTCAGGGATTGATCGGCGGCTGTTACGAACTATACAAGATCCACGCCAAACACACAGACACATAAGAGTAGTCCATAACATGCAGTACCAGCTCAGTGGTTGCAGATGAACACATGTTCATAATCATGATGATATTAGTTTACACGGCGACATACTGTTGAAATGTAATGCTCTGGACAAACATAAAACCACATCTCCCTCCATTACAGCGCAGCATTTTCACCAGACAACAACACACTCCCGCGATCAAATACTTTCACATCAACACGCTCCTGGATACCTAAAGTTACAATGGGCCGCACCTATTGCACTCAGAACCCTAAATTCTCCCCCAGCAACACCGTCAACCTGCACAGCTACCGCCGCAGCCTGCCCTTCCAGTGTGATGATGCTGGCTATATCACTACTTATAATAAGCTCCTCACCACAACCCATAAGAATGTTGAGCATTATAATTCCTTGGGCATGCTGTACACAAATGCCACATCCGCACTGCAGGGCAACTGGTTCTACATTGAGCAGGGCGACAATGGATTCCAGTTCAAGGAGACTGAGATGGGCAAGTATCTAGTGCTGAAGAGGGAGTATATTTTCTTATTCTTACATCATATTAGCACAAGCTGACTGGCTAGGGCTTAGTTGGATGGGACTTGATGATGAGGGAACAGACCTCTGGTTTAAGGAGTGGCTGGTTAAGGAAGGAAGGTATATCATCACGCTGAGAGGAGATAACATCTACCCGTTAGATAGACTGGGATATCATCTGTGGTTTGAGGGGGCACCGGACGCGGTGTTTCAGAATGATGAGGATGATCTGAATGTCAAGGGGGAGGGACAGCATGCATTGTTTTGGATTGATACGGTATTGGGGTTGTAGATTGTTGATCTGTATAGAAAGTGCTCTGCGGCATAATACTTTGCGTAGAGTGAATGAGTTCTACGAAGCTAGCCCACAGAATATATGACCTAGAAGCACTATAAGTTAATTAGAGAGGATGTGTCAACCATCAAACTACTACGCTAAAAAGGTGTCTAGACTTCCATTTCTAGCATAGTAGAAATGATAGTGCATATTTTGGTTGATACACCCCCCAGGTATAACGGTATAACTGACCTTCGCATACTAGCTTCTCTGGGTTAGAGTTGCATTTGGTGCGGGTTCGGGCGGGTTCAAGCCTAGTTGGCACCGAACCACTGCGGTTTCGGGTCCAAATTCTTTACATATATCCCTTGAACTAAGGACTTTCTGATTATGCCTGCTAAGCTAGTGAGTGTAATACTATATGCTGCTAACTTCTTCTAGAGCAGCCTGGCTCTACCCTTTCTTACACTGCCTTAAAACTACGACATTAGCTCATGACTGGCAGGACTGGGTTAAAGTGCTTGTAGGGGTCATATAGTGATAGTATACAAAGGCAGCCACTATAGTCTAAGGCTTTATAGAAAGCTTTCTTTATAGCATTAGCTCCCACCTCCATAGATTAGTAACTATCTCTCAGTTTCAGAAGGTGTATGGGGTGACAAAAACAAATTTTATCCTGCTCTATTATCATTATATATCAAGTCTTAACCATTGCTGATGTATATATACAAGCACCTTACTATTCTGACGAAAGGGAGCTGAGGAGCTTTTTAACTAAGTACTATGTGATAGCCAATGCTAATGCTCCTAAGGCGTGTGGTGTTTATGCACCAAATCCCTTACTTTGGCCTTAAACCTGCTACTGATGAGTATCTTTAAATTTATATACATTGATGATGGTCTACTAGATTCCAGCTAAGTTAGATATTATCAAGACCTGTGGTGATCTTGATGTGTTTGACTTTAGCATGAGGATCCTTTGCGTTGCAACTTCACGTGAGAAACAGAGCACAAAAAATAATATTCTATATGTCTCCGATGAAGAACTTTCCATGCCCTGTTTATTGTCCCATTAAATTTGAGTTGGCATCCCCAGGTTGATGTTTTACGTGACAATGGTATGGTATGATTAAGGTCCTGGGGCAAGATCGGGGCAGGCCATTGTGTAGAGGAATTGCGATATGACTGGCACGTCCTCTTTGAGGAGCCAAAGGCTCTTGTAATCATTGTTAAGGCCGCCCCTTGCCCGAGCCACGCATGCTATGCATTGTTGGTAACTTTAAACACTTAGTTCATACTAATGACCACGGCAGCATCTGAGCCTTGATGTTAACCTTTACATATCTCTCATGCGAACAGTGCTGAGTGCTGGAGCAGTTCCAGGAGTCTCTATAAGACTCCAGATACAGCCACTGAAATGGTCTGTATAAGTATCGTCGATAATACTGAGCATTCTATCATATCATGCTCATCTTAATCTATATATAAAAATGCGCATATATATATACACTCAATAAGCGACGAATAAGAATGTTTCCTTAATCATGATGATTCTCCAAGTTTATGACTAGGTACTGTATATTTTTTCACGTCTATGCCACACTCATTCTAATCCGTACCGGAATAATTACCCTCAAACAAGCAACTACTTCGTAGAGGCAATAAAAGCTTATATTCAATGGTTGCATGGCATGAGTATTAATTTTGTGGATTTTCAACAACGAATACCATATTAGTTTTGTATAAGCATGTAGTTGGTCGCTTATAGTGGTGACTTTATGAGGGAAGAGAATCAAATGTAAATTATGTTCAATCCGTATCGCCAGTAGAAAATTGCACATTCCACCCAAGTACCTCTATGTCCAGGCTTCCATGGCATACAGATTAACTGTTTTAAATCTTTGGGCACCAAGGCTGCTTTTTGGATATTCCTCATATGTTCAAAGTCTTCCAGAATCTACGTACAGCAATCACTCAAAAAATAGATAAAATGAAAGAAAATAGAATAAAAGATCATTTGATAATAATTCAAAATAACTGGGATGCCGCATGCCAAGCTGTCGTCGGGCCGCGCTTTAGCTTCCGCTCCAGCCATTAATACAACCCCATCGCATAAGTCGGACCTCGTGAATTAGTATTCAGAAACAGTTAGTTGTTTTGAAACTTTTCAAGACAGCCTACTACTTAATCTTTATCCTAGTAGATAGGGTTTCCAAAAACCCCCAAATTGGAGAATATACTGGCCATGGTTCCATGATACGGACTGAAGTCATACATTAGGTGTTTATATTAGCATCAACGACGTTTTCGGCCAATTACTAGATTAAGTTTAGCCACTGGTCAAGGTTTCTTGCAATGTTGCGAGGTTATTGTCTTGAATAATGGTCTGGACAGTTGGAGATCTCTTAGTCCTAGCACTAATGACCATGAGATGGGTTTCGTACATCCCAAGAAGTTGCTTATTCACTGGCTTGACCCAAAAAACACACCTGGCAGGGTTACATTATACATAACCTTAAATAGCTATGTACCGAATGCATACTGTATCTCATAGTATGTTACGTAGCAGTTCGATCATAAGCCTTCAGGCGCCCTACAATGTCATCATTATAGTAGATGTCATGGATAATGTCTAGACAGAATGCAGATCCATGAGCACTAAAGATAAGCATAAATAGAACGCTCTTTCCATTGGAATTGCACCATTTATCAGATTAACCGTGCCATTCTGGAGAGTATTAAATCAGATTTCTTCCTTCTTCCTTCTTCCAAGTCAAATAATATCATATCCACGTGGTGGTTTCATAACGCCTCTTTATAATGAAGTTCTCTACAATCCTTTTTACAGCTGCCACCCTCCTTTCTGGGGCAATTGCCGCAATTCCTTATGAAGAAGTTCACTCTACCGATATCTGCTGGAAAGCGTGTTTTCCACATAAGCCCCATTGTCCTCATGGATGGGTAAGCGGATAAAGTCTCTATTTGTTGCCTTATAAAAAAATGCTAATACTACAGACGCAGCATGACAAGAGGTTTCGAGTAAGAACTGAATCCGTCGAAAATTTTGTCCCGGATAAAGTTGCTAATATGGAATGGTAGCACTGCTGGACCTGCTGCAAGGATTCACACTCAGATGTGGACGAAGATTATGATCTCTATTGAGAGGCTTAGGCTAATATACTATTTCAACTCGCTGGTGTCATTGAAGCCTGGCGACAACTGTGATGGTCTTCCTAAGGATTCACGGCTATTGGGAAGAAAACTTTAATTTAGATAGTATCTTGAAGTTCGTGAATTAAGATGCAACATGATCTTTTGAATTGTAACGGATTAAGCAGTGCTATGCCTTAACCCCTTATTGTCATTATTTTCAGCCTTCTGTTTTCAGTCTTCTGCTTTCAGGCCTTGGACTGTTTTCATATCATCACCACAACCATCTAGGATATGCAGTGAAGATATATAGTGTCCCCTTATCAGATATTAGAGAAGACAAGGATTAGTCTTATTATTAAGTAATCTAGTATTTTCCCATACCATCCTGACCTAACATTTTATTATTCCTAATTCTTACCTAGTTAATAGGCTAATCTACATTCCAGGCAGTGCAGAACCTATGTCACCCCTCTGGCCAGTACATCCTGGGAGGAATATGTCAGAAGGTAAGGGCCCTAGGGGCGCGTGGGCTGCCTCTAAATAATATATAGATACACTAGGTCCCTACACACATAGGCATGGCGGGGAATGAGGCTGTAGATAAGGCCGGCGCAGGGGAGACATGCAGCCTAGTGGCAGGTTGCTTTAGTTATGATTTCTACATTCTTTTCAATATCTCTTATGTCTTATCTGTATTCGCGGGTTATAGGATAGGCGTCCAGATACTAGATTCCTGCTTCATTTGGCAAAGCGCCTGCATAGCTAGTCGCTTCTATAGACGGGCTCTAACAGGCTAATAGAAACTTGATTGATTGATAGCAGGCCTTGGTGTTTGATGTCGTTCAGTTGGTCGTTGACAATAGAAGTGACGGCCTGCGTTCTCTTTTCATTATCATCATCGTCTGGAAAAACAAAGGAGGTAAAGACGCGGTAGGAGTCGATGGCGGGGAAGGCTCTTATGGTTTCTTTAGACCACTGGGCAACGAGGATTTCATGGAAAAATCGCGTGGATGGTTCGGCCAACGATCGCCGACGAAATAGGGACCTTGGTTGATCTTGTTGGATAGAGTTGTTGATTTCAGCATCAAGCTCTGCCTTATTGCCATCGTAGTAGGCAGTGAAGCGAATTTTAGGGCCGGTCTCTCTTTCCCGCAAATCACGCAACCAGGTGCTTGCTGTCAATGGTCATTCGATTTGACCAGTTTGTCGTACAGAACAGTGTCATTGTGCGTGGTTTGTCAAACAGAGGGACAGCGATTGCATCAATCGCGACGCCCGCATTCTGTCTTCTTATCACAGCCCTTTTCTTCGAAGGATAATTAAGTTGTGTTGTTTCGCTGTGAGGAAAGTACACAATAAAGCCAGGATTCAGCGAAGTTCTTTTGAAATAGAGAGATACGCTTACCTCTGTAGTTAGGAATTATTCTAATTATTCCTAGATGTTATATACTGTTCCTTGCCTCTTTCTTATGATTGGAAAATACCCTATATTAATATCATATCCAAATTCCATGTCTACATGGCGATGGCAATTGGTTTACGGATGAAAACTGAGGGTCACCCGGCCCTTGGCCATCTTTCTAATCACGCCTGTTATTGTAACTATTGGCAGTTTCTTGATGCATGGTCTAAGCGTATATTAGGGTCTTTTTTTCTACCATGCACGACTCTTCTTTTAATGGTTCAATTCTATGGTTTGTAGGCAGTACATCAGTAAGATTTAATTTGGCAATAATCCTTTAGGCGTTCAGTTGGTCTGGGTGAGTGTCATAGAGCAGTCCTCAAGTGTTGAGCTGGTCTCTGCTGGTGATTGACGTCTGTCGCAGAGTCCTGCGAGTACGCCTTATGATAGTATACTCACTCATTAGCCATCCAAAGATGCTTGATGCAACGAATATGTAAAATTATTTGTTAACTGCATCCAGTCGCATCAACAATGTGGGCAGCACTTAGGTTTTTCGGTGCGTATCATATGACGAATAAGCTCAGCCTGCCATGCTTCGGGATATCATGCCTTGACCTACACTAGGTTGTGAGGGGACAGCAGCGCAAGTTGAGGGGTTGAGGTCAGTAAGAAATGTAAGCCTCAGATCAGTTTCAGACTGCAATCTCTTAAACAAGTCTGATTCCTAGTAACATCTAATAACATCAGGAAAAGCCAGAAGATACGATTATTCTTCTAGCACCTAACAGCAGCTTCAAGTGCCAGGGAGCCAGGTGCATACAGTCTAAGGCCCTCTTTCCACTGATCACAGTCACGTAGGACCATATCACGGATAAGTTGCTGCTTAAGCATTATAAAAAATATCAAGACTAGGTAGGTTCATATCAACCTTGAAACTTCTTTTGAGGAGAGGGGAGTAAAGAAAATACCCAGGGAAAGCTTGTGGTGTTTATATATACCTTTGCTATCCTTAACTACTTTTAACTAACCCAGCCTCCGATGATTCAAGTGCAAGCCTTTTTATCTATCATGCTTACAAGGCAAGCAGCCCGATGGGGAAAATATGGATATAGACTAGCCCATATGCTACCCTATATCGTTGAGCTTACCAGTACCACCAGTTAATTCAAACCAAAATCATATCTCTGCCCAGGCTATTAAGCTCTAGGAGTGACTGGTTAAGCAGCCATGACAATTGCCTCCATGCTTCAAGGTAAGCCACTTGACAAGCTCTAGCTGTTCTCCAGTTTCAATCTTCTTTATAAGGGGCTTGAACTTTACAATTGGGTAGTTCTAATACAGCTCACGATCCTTCCAGTAGATCCCCCACTGAGGAGACCTGATTGATGGGCATATAGATAAGATTCATCTACTCTTCTCCATATATGCATCTTAAAGTTTAAAGCACTCTTAACATAATATACTATTCCTTACTATATGTTTAGTACAGGGAATAGGAGATAAGGACACTATTATACTTACAACTAGGTTTTTGTATACTACTGTAGCATGTATATTCTTATATAAAGTGTGTTCCTTATAAATAATATAGGACTAAGTAATATTAAGCTGTATATTAATGCAAGATGAATGATAAATATACTATAGAACTTAGCTACCTAGGCAACTAAATATTAAGGCATAGTACATATCTATAGCTTAACTTGTGTCTAGAGGTTAAGGTGGAGGAAATAGGTGTGATTATACTGCTTGTTGTATTTACTAAACTTATATATATGCAGACTTGGATATAACATCTACTAATAGGAACGGAACTGGGTATAGTCATGTAGATGGTATTGGAATAATAAGATCTGGGTGGGTATAAAAAAACTAGCAGCCATTTCTAAGCTCATATCATTGAGATTTGGTAGTAGAAACCGTCATATAGTAAAGGCCCCTAGTGCACGTCTCATGTTCTGAAGGCCATGCCACGGCATTCAGGAGCCACCTAGTACAGAGGCATTTACTATATTTGGTTCTAGTGGGTGTGTTTCCGCAAGGTATCTAATGTAGTGATCAATATAGGCTATAAAATCAATAGAGTACAATTATTCGTTAGAGTTGGGATGTATGTTGATCATTAATGGGTCTAGATCTTTGAGACGGGTTGAATATTTTAGTTTCAGGCAGTGCTGTTATCCATTCATCCATCCATTTATTATGTGATTGTTTTATACAACAAAAGTGCAAAAGTAGATGCGCAAAACTTTTGTCAGGGCTGACACCATCTCATTCACTAAATATCTCCTGTTTATCATATATACTCATCAGCATTTCAGGAGTCAGCAGCCTTCTTCACCTCCCACTCATGCGCCAAAATGCCCATATAGAGTAAATCCCACCACCTCCCACCTTTCCACACACACTGCCTCTTCCGTCCCTCAGATACAAACCCAAGCTTTTGGTACACCTTTTGTGCTCTTTCATTCCACTCAGAGACCATCAGCTCAACACGGTGCAGGCCCGCAGTCAGAAAAGCCCAGTCCAGCATCCATAAGATAGCCTCAGAACCATACCCCTTGTCTTGGTACTGGCGCGCAATAGTGATCGCTAACTCGTGTGTGCGATTATGTGTGAAGCCAGGGGCTTGCTCTTTTAATGAGATCACACCAATTGTCTCGGGCACCTTATCGGAGCCCTCTTCGGGGATGATACATATCATGACTGACATGAATGCACCAGCAAGCCTTTCTCGCAACTCCTTCCGCTCCTTTGTGCTGAGCGGGCGTATGAGGGCGGTAGTGGCCATAGAACCGACTAAGGGGTCGGCGTAGAGAGCTTGGAAGAATGCATCGTCTGCTAGGTTATCCTCTGGCGCACGATAAAGGAGACGCGCGGAGCGGTAGGGTTCCAATGGGAAGGGATCCATTGTGACTGTCTGAAGGAGCTGGTTGAAGGCTGTGGGGCAAGTAATGGAGACTCAATATCTCAAAGGTCATTCAACAGAGCAAGGCGAAATCATATGCAAGGGCAAATTTCTCATCAGTGAGCTCTCGTGCTCAGATCTCCAGGGAGCTAGCCTATTAGTGAGTCATCAATAAATATGAACAGATCGCTAAGCCTATTCTGAGTCAGGACTTGAACTGAGACGACATTTGCGGGCGTGGTTCCACCTCTCATGCAAAACTTACCCCCATCCGTTACGCGTTGGTTGAGTCGATTGCAGAATGTCGAATCATGAGACATCTGTAAAGGCAGGGAACCAATCAGGCAAATTGATCAAGGGCTAAAATCTCACTCCCGCAGCGCGGCTCAGGACTACGGCAAGCCATTGGAACAAAACCGAAATATGACTCTAGGATTTCAGAGTATGTGACCGCCAGTAATTCTGCCCATGTGGGATTTGTTTATCTCTCCCCACAGATCTCCTTTATCATCTTATGGCATTTGATATCAGTAGGTGACATTCGATATTGATACTAGACGGCATATCGCTACTAGGTGGCATTCGATATCAATACTAGGCGGCATTCCATATCGATACTAGATGACATTTGATACCAATACTAGACGACATTCGATATCAATAATAGACAGCATATTGCTACTAGACGGCATTCGATATAAAATGTCATCTAGTATCGGTATCAAATGCCATATAGTATCGATATCGAATGCCGCCTAGTATCGATATTGAATGCCATCTAGTATCGATATCAAATGCAACCGTAGGGAGAGGCGGGTGGTGAGCTATAATTATCATAAAAATACTAGAAGTCCATATTGTAGCTATAGTCTGCTGTAGAATCAAATTTTACTGCTGGCAGAAAACATGAAAGTCTGACATACTGAAAGTCCTAATGTTGCTATTTCGGTTTCGTTCCAATGGCTTGCCGTACAGGACAATTAAGATGGAGGATGGCAGCAAGCATCTGGCTATTGCAGAGGAGGGCGTGGAGCCACTAAAAACTAGTGACAAGATCTGGAGGTCGTTTAGTGTAACTAGCTTTAAACTTATCTGGACTTAGAATAAATGCAAAAATCAATTAGTGAGTACTCATTAAAATAGTTTCTAGTGGTTTCACTACTAACTCCCTAGATCTGCCTCTGACCTGCCCAGTGCAAATTCACAATATCAAAAAATAAAACCTCACCAGTTTGAGTTCAGCGAAGGTTGGATTCGAACATTGGTGGTTCGGTTACTGCGACTCTACCGAAAGGTAAGAAATTAGTAGGAATTTAGAGAACTATAATCCCTAGAGAGTGAGAAATTAATAGGATCTAAACAGCTAGTTTTCCCCGTAGGGATAGATGATTGATGGGAGCCTAGTTTTTATCGCTAGAGGACCACCTAACCCATTAAGATCCTGGCCCTAACCCAGTCCCCAACTCCCCCAGCCCTGTTTGGATCTTCGGGTCAATTGCAATCAATTCGCCCGGCCTGATAGCTCCTTTTGCCCGCCACTCGCCGCCAATAGACACTGCTTCTGAGTTCTGAATATACTCAACTCAATGTCCCGAGCAACGTAAATACTCCGTGGAACAGAAGCGCAAAGAACTGTAAATCTCTAGGCCCTGAAGCTTAATATAAAAAGCATAGTCATCCTGCGATTCTCCCTCCCAGTATCAAGCCGCGAAAATGCCCGCCCCAGCCGACATCCAGGCCGCCACACTGAACAAGTTCCTCGCTGCATGGCGGGAGGGTAGTGCGCCGGATACAATGGCTCTTTGGTCCGATGACTTCAAGCAACGATTACTCCCCCTGTCGCTGGGAGAAAGCTCTTTCCGGTCGCGCGATCAGGCCGCTTTGTTTTACCCCGGGCTCGTGGAGAATTTGAGGAATTGGGAGGTAAGATTCTGCTCTTTTTCTCAGATTGGCGTATCCTACTCGTTGCTTGTATCGCAAGATTTCGTCCCCCTCCTTTCACCCGAACACCGGTAAGGGAAAGGAAAAGCTCACGGCCCAGTAGCTTCATATCAAGGAAATTGTGCACGACTCTGCTAGGGGCACAGCGGCGGTTTATGCGACTTCGCAAGCTGATACGCCGTTTTCGGGCGAGAAGTGGACCAACGAATACGCGATCTTTCTGTCTTTCTCTGAAGATGGGACCAAGGTCTGTAGACTGGAGGAAATGATGGATTCAGCCTTCTATCAAAGTTTTGTCCCTAAGTTCCAGAGGTACTTGATGGGGCTTGGCGGTTTGAAGAAGTAGATTCATCAGTTTTGTTTGCCGCGAGATGCTTGCTGTCTGAGGAGTCATGAAGAAAGGATGCCGGAGGAATTTGTTCAATAAGCTTAGTCCATGCATGTATATCGGCATATAGAGGAATGGTCCCGCCAGAGCGATGGTCCAAGACTGGAACCTGGAATGGTCTCCCAATTGATCACTGTAAACAAATATCCCATGCTCAGAGGCCTATATAGATACCCGTTCACGCCCCATGCGCGACATAACCCACTAGGCCATCTTGTCTCATCTCTCAGCGGCCAGAATGATGTTCCCCAGAACCTACGCAGTCCTCGGCTCAACAGGCAACTGCGGCACAGCGCTCATTGAGAATCTGCTTAAGACGCCTGATGCTCGGATTCACGCCTACTGTCGCAACCGGCCCAAGCTCCTGCAGATACTCCCTCAACTTGAAGAATCAGACAGGGTTACCATCTTCGAAGGCAACATCCAGGACGCCGAGCTTCTACAGTCATGCCTGCGCAACTGCCATGCTGTCTTCCTTGTCGTCTCAACAAATGATAATATCCCCGGTTGCCATCTTGCACAGGACACCGCCACTGCCGTAATCCAGGCGCTCCAGGATCTCAAACGCAACAACCCCACGTCCACCGTCATGCCAAAACTGGTACTTCTTTCATCCGCTACAACCGACAGTCAGCTCTCTCGTGACGTCCCATCCCTCCTACGTTTCATCCTCCACCGGTCTGCGTCCTACGTCTACGAGGACTTAGTGGTCACGGAGAAGCTGCTCCATGCGCAGAAAGACTGGCTAACCAGTATATTCATTAAACCGGGTGCCTTGTCGGTCGACATTCAGCGGGGCCATGCGCTGAGTCAGACGGACCAAGATGGCCCTCTGTCATACCTCGACCTAGCGGCCGCGATGATTGAGGCGGCCGACGAGGAGACGGGCTGTTACGACATGCAGAGTCTGGGCGTCGTCAATACAAATGGCAAGGCGAAGTTCCCTACGGGTACCCCGTTGTGCATCCTGGTTGGTCTGCTGAGGCACTATTTTCCTTTTCTGCACCCCTACCTGCCGATGAACACGGGGCCGCGGTGAGATTACGAATTTACGATAGACCCAATCGGATAAATTACTATCCGATCGGATGATTCAGTAAGACTAGAAAGCCGCGACGATAGAGGGGACGGTCTGGTTGAGGGCAAGTATTTAAATCAATAAAAACATACATTCTGTCCATGATGATCCATCTTCCCGACTACGTATCTGATCTCGTCAATCGCCCATATCCCCTATAGCCATGCCTGCACCAGCTGAAGTCCAAGCGGCAACCCTGGAGAAATTTATCCAAGGATGGGCCGGATGGACCCCAGACGGTTTTCTCGCCAACTGGTCCGAAGACTGCACGCAGAAAACACTGCCTTTCAGCTCAGGGGTGCCACTCCGCACCCGCGCAGACACTGAGAAGCTTTTTCCGGTTCTTATGTCCCTAATGTCCAATTTCACCGTAAGGAACGAAGCCTCTGTTGTCCAAAACCAGCAGCTAATGCCAGATGACGCAGCTGGATATCCATAACGTTGTCCATGACGCACCGCAGGGCAAGGCCGTCATTTACGCCCTCACCAAGGCGGACACACCATTTGGGCCGTACAGAAATGAGCATGCGATCTTTTTATGGTTCAATGAAATTGGTGACCGGGTGCAGAAGATCGAAGAGATGTTTGATGCGGTTGTAATGCAGGAGTTTCTACCAAAACTGGACAAGTATGTGGCTGACAACAAAATGCAGCTGGGAGCGAAGTTTAGTTAGAATAATGTGTGCATTGAAGTACAACTGAGTGAGGTTCAACAACTTACGCTTTGAATTTTGAATATGATTCTAAACTTTGCATAACCAATCCGGACATGATTAATGTAGTTCTAACAGTAGTTTGATATACATTATCCCGGTTAATATGTCAGTGACATTTGCTATCGTGTAGGAATCTGTTATAAGATCGGGCCTAGCCTATCTGATTAACGCGAATCCACCGAGACGCCGATTGTATTCCCTGTTCGCGCTGATCAGGGCTTGCTTACGTTCAGTAAATCAATTCCCCGAGTGCCGCTTACTTATTGGACTCAAGTCTACAAGAATTGAACGGCTTCTCGAACCATATAAAGCCAAACTTGTCAATCCTCTGTCCTCTACTTACCAGACTACACTTACCTGCCGTGATGGACTTCCAGATAATTTCCAGATTTACAGACGGAGGAGATTTCCAGTGGACGAAGTTTGGGACCGCTGCCTTTCTAGCTGTCCTCCTCAGTGCCCTGGCTTTCCTTTCCTATACCCCGCGAGTTCACCAAAAATCTCCTGCATTTACTTCTCACAAGTTACCGTTCATCGGCTCGTTGGGATTTACTACCGAGCAATGGTGAGTAGGAGTCCTTTACCTCGACTGGCCGGCACTAACAGGAAGGCCAGGAATTGGTGGAAAAGGGCCACGGCCGAGTCGAAAACCGGCAATTTCAGCTTCTGGCTGGGGCAACGCCATGTGGTTGGAGTGACCGGCGAGGCTGCCCGCAAGATGTTCTTCACCCACGAGGCGTTGGACTTCGTCAGCGGGGCGCTGATTAGACCGATCAACATTCACTTCTGGCCCCCGATCCACGACATCTTCAGGCCTGACTCCAAAAGCAGAAGTAAAAATACCTACTTTCTCCGGCGTCTGTATGAGTTGCAGAGCACCGAGCAGCTCAATCACTATCTACCCCAGTTACTGAAGGATGCGCGTGTAGGGATGGCGGGCCTCTCCCGTGTGACGAAGCCATCCGTGTCTTGCTGGGAGACTGTCTTCACGCAGGACGTTCGCCTGCTATGCACCGATGAGATCGTCGCTGATTCTAAGCTGCTCGCAACATTTGGACGCCAAGTGGAGACTCTTCTCTTTACGTTCAGCCATTACAATGTCTGCTTCCCCTGGCTGCCCTCGCCTTCGTACTACAAGCGCCGTCAAGCGCGATACGCCCTCTACAACCTCATGGAGGACATTGTGAACAAGCGACTGAAGAACGGTGCCCGGGGACCGAACGACCCCGTCCAAATCCTGCTCGACTACAACGACAAAGTGGACCACATCATTGAGTTCTTCATCAGCGTGCTCTTCATCGCCCCGGCGAATTCCCGCATCATCGGCGGCCAGATGCTCAACATCATGTCCATTTACCGGGACTGGCAGGAAAAGGTCTATGCGGACATCAAGGCCGCGGCAGCAGCGCATTCACCGGACAAGAACGCGCCGCTGGTGGACCAGCTCGCCTTTATCCCCCTGCATGCCTGGGAAAACTCTTTCCCATCGATCGACCTCTGCCTCCAGGAAACGATCCGCATGTGGACATCCTTCTCTATGGCCCGGTTGAACCTCTCGCCTAACCCGATCCCAATCCCGGGAAGCGATGAGGTCATCCCGGGTAACACGTTTGTCTGCTATAACTCGACCGAAGTCAATTTCAGCGACTCCCTGTACCCCGACCCCAAGAAATTCGACCCGGCACGGTTTTTGGACGGGCGAGAAGAGTTCCGGAATGAGGCCTACGGATGTGAGTGACTGTCCTGCTTTTGGTCTTTGTAATAACCCGGTTCCATGAGGCGATGCTGACGGATCGATTTGTAGTTCTCGGTTGGGGCCGAGGGCGTCACCCTTGTCCAGGGATGCGCTGGGCGAAGCTGCAGCAAAATATCATTATTGCTTATGCTGTGGCCATGTACGACTGGAGCAGTTGCGATGAGACCGGGAAGCCTACTCCCCAGGCGGTGCATGTTAAGGAGTTAAATGCCGCGCGTGGGACTGTCTTACCCTCTGCTTACTGCAAATTGGTTCCAAGGGAAAAGGTGTAGTTTCCATGCCTCAGAAGAACATTTGGGAATTATTGGGTGTATTGTGATGGGAAGGGGAGGATAGTAGGTGGACGACTGGTTGATAGCTTTCAGTATGTTTAGATCGAATCATATGTTCCTGCATATTTCTGTCCTTTTCCTGTATGAATGAGTACATTCCTTCGAACACTGAACAGTGAGTGAAGCAGATACCGACATACATCCTACAAATGTCTATTCAAACTAAACAACCAACCCGATTGTGAGGAACCTCCTATCTTGCAGAACCCTCTCCCTTAAGCCAATCAGTTCGTCAACATCCCAGTTTGCCCAGAGATGCCGTCCATGCAAAAAGGAGCTCTCCGGCCCGGCCAACCAAACGGCGAAATCCCCCGGCAGCGCCAGATCGTCCCATTTGTGCTCATCCTTCGTAAAGTGTTGCGCCACGGCCGGCGTGTAGAATGCCCCAGGGTGAAATGAGAAGATCCGCACTGGATTGCCGTCCGGCTCCTGCTCCTGCTCTACTGCGAAATGCTGCAAAACCTGTGCGGCAGCCGCCTTACTGGATCCATATCCGACCCGGCGCGTGGTGTGCACCTGCGCCGCGGCGGAGGAGATGTTGATGATCGTCTTTTGGCCCGAGGCTGGAAGGGGCGTCTCGAGGTAAGCTTTAGTGAGGTTGAAGGCAGCGATGACATTGGTGTCGAACGCGTCTCGGAGCTCTTGTTCGGTGATGGCCGTTGCCTTCTCGCGTCGGTGGACGACCGCGACGCCGAGAACCAAGACGTCAACGGGGCCTAGCTCGTGCAGGATTTCGGGCATCCGGACGCTGTCTGTGACAGAGGCCTGGAAGAGTACGACCCGCACGGACGGATAGGCAGCTTCGAGGGCGGCTTTGGCTTGTTCCTGCGGACTGGCAGACCGCGATACGATGGCGATGCAGACGACGCCTGCTGCAGCGAAGGCCTTGGCGATGCTGAAGCCGACGCCGCTTGCGCCGCCTGTTATGAGTACCACCTTGCCTTGACCGTTAAAGCCATGGTGCTTGGCGATACGATCGTAGGTTTCGGAGTGGTATATTTTGGTTGGGCGGGGCTGGGCTTCGAATAGAGACATCTTGTCGTGTATGGTTGTCCTTGTTGATGCGAAGCAGATGAGAATGTCAAACCTGGACTCAGGTGTCAGTATAGTTCCTTCTTCAGAGACATGTTCCCAGTCGGCTGGGCCTCGGGGGGTTGCGGGGCATTCGGGTGGTTTCTCAAATATGCCCCGCTGTTTTACACGCGATGATACAGTCACCGTGTTTTATTGAACTAGAAGCAAGGGAATTCGATGGAGAATCGAAATCAGATTGACTGACTTTCAGCAACTGTGGCGAAGTAAAGGGAAGAGTCGACGGTGTAGATGTGGTGATAGCATAAACAAACCTCATAGGATCATCATATTGCGAGTGAACACGGATGAATTCGACAATACACTTGGTTGGTCCAGTATGGACGCTTTTCGAAGCACAATACTTGTGTAGGATCGAAACATCGAGGAAATAGTAGTGGGCATTATACAAACAGTCTATTCATCCATAGTACAATAACTCGAATACCATATCAAACCGAAGAGGAGGTGCCTCTGTTGGCCACCAGTGCCCAGCATGCTCGTTCATCGCTGGACGTGTTCCAATCTCACGTTTTCTCAGTTGTCTCCTTGTCGACGTTCTTTGTCTCCTTCTCCCCGTCCTCTGCAGAGACCTTCCCTGCCGGCTTCTTCACGCTCCTCCACTCTAGGGCCGCAGCCCCGAGGACACTCAGACATGTCGGGATTAAACCGACACGGAACACCTCTCTCAGCGCCTCATTATATGCAACAAGAGCGATTTTACGCACACCATCCGGGAGCGATTGGAGCAAAGAAGTGGCGCCCCCGGAAGTGATCAAACTGATATCAACCCCTTCAACCCCGGCCAACCTCTTCACCAGTTGATTGGCGAGAACATTCTCTCCAGCCGATACGAACACTGACGCCCCCAGCAGAGTGGCGAACAGCATCAGCGCTAACCCGGTAGGCACGTCCTTCTTCGGCAGACTGGCCTGTGTCGCTAGGTTGGGTACCTGGAATGCCAAGCCCAGGCCGAGACCGTATAGGATCTGGTACCCGATCCATTTCCCGGCGCCTGTATCCACCTCGAACGTGGTGAGCAGTCCGTTTCCCACGCACATGAGGCATGTCCCAACGATGGCGAGCGGTGTATAGTAGCCGATTTTGGTGTTTAGGGTGCCACCGCTTATGGACCCGGCTACCATGGAGATCATCAGGGGGAGCGTGCGAATGCCGGACTCGGAAGCAGACGCTCCTTTGATCGACTGGAACCAGATCGGGAGGAAGTAGACTATCCGTTTGGTTAGCTCTTGCGTTTGGAAGAGGTTCATTGCGGGACTCTTACTGATGATATAGTTTCCACAGTTGATGGTCAGGGTCGCCCAGCACGCCGCAGCGACACTACGCTGCTTCATGATCCGTGGAGGCAGAGTGGCGGTCCTCGGCAGAAGGACTTGGACGGCAGAAAAGCCGACCAAGAGGACGCCGGCGAGAGTCAACAAGGCGATCACCCGTCCGTTACTCCACTAGAGATGGTTAGGTACGAGTCAAGCACGTCTAGGGTTAGGCCCACTCACCGGGTAGGTCTGTCCCCCCCACTGCAATGCCAGGAGAAGGCAGACGGTGCCCGGGACCAGGAGGACGGTCCCGGGGATATCCAGTTGCTTGATCTTTTCGGACAAGGGGGCCTGGGCGGTAGGCTGGTCGGGGATCTTCAAAAAGACCAGGATAACGAGCATGGCCACGCCCCCGACGGGCAGATTGATGTAGAAACACCATCTCCAGGTGACGTTCGAAGTAAAACCACCGCCGATCAACGGGCCCACGATCGAAGAAACCCCCATCAGGGCACCGAACATGCCTTGGATCTGGGGACGCTTATGGAGAGGGACGACATGAACGATGCAGACCACCTGGAAAAACCATGATTAACCCATGAAGAGTGAAGATAGTGACAAGGGGGTATCAACCTACCACACCGGCAAAGATTCCAGCCGCCCCCACACCGCAGATGGCTCGTCCCACGATCAGAGCAGTCGAGTTGGGAGCCGCTCCACTCAGGGCGGAAGACGCTTCGAAGATCAGGATACTCCACAGGAGGGTCCATTTGACCGAGAAGAGTGTATAGATCTTTCCGAAGATCAACTGCAGCGCGCAGCAGGTCAACAGATATGCGCTCCCGTACCAGCCGACGCTTGTGAGAGAATGGAATTCGTCTGTGATTCGGGGGATGGCCTCAAAAAGCAGTTAGCAGACGGCCGTTAAGATGGTCCTTGTGCAACTTCATACCGTGGCGAGGATGGTTCTGTCTAGTGCGACGAGGAACATACTCAGGAGCACTGAGATGATCACAATGACCGTCGTCGTCGTCGTCGTCGGCGGCGTCGTTGTCGTCGTCGTTGTTGTTGTTTTCTCGGGTTCGAGACTTCTAGGCTGAGTCGGTGCATCTGGTGAGGTTTCGGCGGCTTGCGCCGTGTCTTGAGTTTCTGCAGCCATGGTGATGGACTTTCTTGGACTAACACTCAGGGATAGTGCATGAAAACGCAGTTGGAGACTCGAGGCAATATAAATATCTATCATCGGACGTAGACCAACAAGTGCGGGAAGTGGCAAGAGACCCTCTTTCCGGGCATTAGTTGGACCCGGGGAGCCACAGATAGTCAGGGATGTCCATCCGGCATAGTTAACCTATGATCCTTTGCAGTGTGTTGTTCAATATTCACAGTCGCTGTCATGGGTGATCCAACGGAGGATAGTTCGGGAGTTAGAATACTCCGAATATAAGCCGCGGTTCATTCAAAAGGCCGAAGTAACCTCCGGCCGCCCCCATGTTTCTTCTGCATTTCCCATCTGCCCTCATCATCCTCGTCCCATCGCATCGCATCGCATTTACCATGTCCACAGATCATTCGGCAAGGTCGCCCCGCCTCAGGGCTTGTGTGAGATGTCAGCAGCGAAAAGTCAGGTGCGATCACAAATCCCCCTGTGGGAATTGTGTCGCATCTGACTCGCAGTGTGTCCCTGCAACGCTCACTCCGCGCCGTCGTCGATTTCAAGAGCGAGTTTTACTAGACCGCCTGCGCCACTACGAAGGCCTACTTCGCCAACATAACATCTATTTCGAACCCCTGCATCCCCAAGCCAAGCAGGAGCCTGTCATCGCGGATGTCCCTCGGGACTGTGAACGGTCAGAAACGGCGAGGGCACAGACCCCGGTCCAGTCGCAGGCAGTGTTCGACACCTGATTAGCCCATCTTTAACTACGGGAAGTAGCTAATTTTATTACAGCGACCTCTGGCAGGCCATTAGCCGAGTGGTATGTTTGATTCCTATTTGTCGTCTTTATACGGCAGCGGTTAACCCTAGAGAAGACACTTGAACCCGAAGATGACGACGGCGACAGTCCTGACGTGCAGGCCGACGGCGTGGAAAACGCCTGGGATCACCATGTCGACCAGCCGGAAGCGAACGATCAGACAGGCGACGATCTTCTGTTTGGCCAACCGCAAGCTAATGTGAATGTCCTCGCCCTGCATCCCGAGCAAGCCCAGATCTTTCGGCTCTGGCAGACGTATCTGGAAAACGTCAATCCCCTGCTGAAAGTGACCCATACGCCGACCCTGCAACCACGGATTGTCGACGCGGTCAGCGATCTTGGGGATATCCATCCTACCTTGGAGGCACTCATGTTTAGCATCTACTGCATCGCGGTCATGAGTCTGGCCGATAACGAATGTCACCGGCTGCTCAAATCGTCCAAGGAAGATCTACTGGCGCGCTACCGGTTGGGGTGTCGGCAAGTGCTGATCAAGTGTCGGCCCTGGCAGTTTACCAATGTCGACGGCTTGACCGCAGTGTACCTCTACTTGGTATGCGGACCGTCCGTGCTCAGAATGAGATGAGAATTACCACATATACTAACGGTTTTAGGTCTCCGTTTCGCCGCAAACCGACCCGCGCTCGCTCTCCTCTATGCTGGCCGCCGCCCTCCGGATTGCACAACGGATGGGGCTCCACAATGAGTCGACATACACTCGATATACTGCCGTGGAGGCCGAGATGCGCCGAAGACTCTGGTGGTCATTGGTGATTTTCGATCATCGCATGTGCGAGATGTCCGACTACAAGGTCACCACCTTGACACCCACTTGGGACTGCCGGATTCCGTTGAATGTCAACGACTTTGAGATTCGACCCGACACCAATTCCTGCCCCCCAACAGCGAGAAGCCGACCGAGGCGCTGTTCGCGGTCGTTCGTAGCGAGCTCGCTGACCTGATCCGGCATACCACCTTCCACATCAACTTTGTCAACCCGGTACTGGCGGCCGTGGCTAAGGCAAAGGATCCTGGCCACGTGTCCATTTCTGCAGACGGTGAGATGTTGACTATACAGAGGGCAATCGAGGAAAAATACCTCGCTTTCTGCGACCCCGCTGACCCGCTCCACTTTATGACAATCTGGACGACGCGCGGCTACCTGGCCAGAAACCGCCTGCTGGAGCACTACGCGCGACACTTGTCGTCGCCAGCAATGCAGCAGACAGACGCGCAGCGCAATGCTGCCCTTTCCTACGCTCTAGAGATGCTGGAGTGCGATACGAGACTGCGAGTCTCCCCTTTGACCTGTCGTTATCGGTGGCTCGTAGATTTCCACGTCCCCGCCCTGGCATACATCCACGTTCTGAACGACCTAAGGAAGCGACCCACGGAAAGCCACGCGGGGAAGGCCTGGCAGGCCATGAGCGAGAATTACGAAGCGCGCGCCATGCACCCCAAGCCCAGCGGGCAGGGTGTCTTCACCGTCTTTGCAAGGGTGGTTCTCCAGGCTTGGGGAGCGCGGGAGATATTCCTTCGGCAACGGGGCATGCCCGTGGAGGCACCCCAGATTGTGTTGGATATTCGCAGCAAAGTAGGGCAGACGAGTTCGGGCTCCTCCATGGTACCGAGCTGCAGCACCGGAGAACCGTCTCACAGCAGCATCGCGATCAGTGCCCATTCGGAGGCGATACCCGCACAGATGAACTTCACCGGTCACAGTGCCGACGGACAAGCCTTCCCCGGTCCAGATCTAGGTCCCAGCAGCTTCCCCGACGTCGCTGGACCGCCTGGCATGGACATTGATATAGATCAATTCTGGACTGCAATGGATTGGAGGTTGATGCATACACAGGCCTGGTGAGGTACGCATTTTCTAAGGTGGATGCTAGGTACTCCCAGTCATAGGACTCTCCTCTCTCAGCGCTTGCTCAATGATATCCCAATTCTGCGTTGTCCTTGTTCCGCTAAGCCAGTAATTTCCCTGTTCATCCTTCCCAACAATAGGGAACATCTCGGTGAACTTGTAAGGCGTCTGGACATTCTGGATATACTTCGGCCTCACCGGACCAGCACCCTTTAAAGCGGCAGCCGAAAAGTCCAACCCGAAGAAGTCAATCTTGGTCCAGTTGGAGAAGCTCAGCATGTGCACTGTCACGCATTAGCACACACACACCCTGTGCCTCGAAACCAATGATTGCATACTGGAACTATCACCAAAGAAGGGAGGCAGCTTGCTTTGACCGGACGAACGTAGCAGCGCGCAGTATGCTTCCGTCTGCTCGGCCGTAGTTTGCTGCTTAATGGCGCGTCGGATTTGCCATGCCGTATAACTCAGCGGTCGCCCGAGGACGTCTTTGACCGGGACAAGGACGTTGAAGAAGAAGGCACAGTTGGCGATGTACGGCTGGTCAGCGGGAAGATACTGTCGCAGGACCTTTCTGGCCGAGAAGGCGTTTTGAATGGCGACCTAGATCCGTCAATAGTGCTAAGAAATGGACGCATATTCCTTTCGGGGCCTTACTGTTCGGTCTGGATACTGGGATAAATGCGACACTGCCAAACGTGCCACCCACGCCGTCAGAATGTCCCCTTCGGACACGAATGGCCTCTCCTCACCAGGTCCGGGCGGAAAAGAAACCAGTTCCTTCATTGCTACCGCGTGCAGGTTCTCGACGAATCCAGCAGGTACACAAATAATGCGTGTTTCCTGGCTGCGAAAGAATAAGTCCGTGACATTGCTTAGCGCCCAGCGGATCATTCCCAGCGTGGAAGTCTTTCGGTCCGCCAGCGCATGTGGCGATAGGGGGTTCGTTCCAAGGTCCTTGAGCGCGTCCTCCCTGTAACTTACGGGGGTAGGAATCTGATCTTCTCTTCCCAGCATAACCAGATTCCACGCATCGAGGATGGCTTTCTTGGCTGTGGCGTCGAAGGCAGCATGTATCCAGTTCAGCGTGAGAACTGTCGCATCATGGAAGGAGACGACGTGTAGGCCGACAACTGACCGGTCTTCGTACAGGTAGTCGTCCAGCTTGGTTGGACAGTTGAGGCCCTCGTAAAGGGGCCGCAGGTCCTCGGCATTGCCGACAATGGCGGGCTGCGCAGATGGTTTTGGGAGAAAAGCCGAAACTGGGTGCTGTGACAGCGGCGTTTCATGATGAATATGGGTTTGCGCGATAGCTGGTCGTTGGCTTGAGAATTCAGTTGGGATGTGGAATTCGAGCTGACCAGCGGCCTGCTCCATGCAGATGTATATCAGAATTAGAACTTATTATACCAAATGACTTTTGAATGAGCACATACGTTCCTCCGGAGCCGAGCCGCTAGCTTTCGCCAACCTGCTCGCTGCCCCAGGCGCTCGAGCGCATCCTGTAGCTTCAAGACGTCAAGCGCTTGGTCGAACACGAACATTGAGTGCAGCACGAACGTCTGCAGGAGCAGAGTATCGTCGAAGAAGGGCAATTCGACCACCTCATCTCCGGCCACCACGCGTGGTGCTACTTTTGTTTGCTTGAAGAGATTGAACATAGCGAGTACAATACGACGGTCAAACCCAGCGTGGACGTGCAGTATCTCGCGCAGGACGCAATGTAATAATAACCATTTACTGGGGACACTTGGGAACATCTGGCCAGGTATCTGGTCTATTTGGGCCGATGTCAGATCCCCCTTGTATTTAATGTGCCGATACTCGGGCAAATGACTGAGGAGCATATCGAATTCACCCGGTTGACCGATGGACCAAACTACTGAACCAAAATCATTTATGATGTAGATGCGAGGATATAACGCTGAGCCTCGGCATTATACAGAAATTCCCATATCGAACACTCATATCGAACACTCACACAGACACACTACCATGGGCAGTATCACTGAGTCCCAGGAACCATTGCGCTTTTTTGCAACCGGCGATAAACATGAGTTCGATCCAGAGAACTGGACATCTCAAGATCCGCTTCCTCCGCGCGGCCCCCGACATACGTGCAGGTGCTGATTGTAGGTGCTGGCTTCGCCGGGCTAATGGCAGCGCTCGAATGCTGGAGGAAAGGCCATGATGTGGTCGGGATTGTCGAGCGCAACCAAGGCCCCAACTACAGCGGCGATCTCATCATCATCCAGCCGTCTGCACTGGAGATCATGAAGCACTGGCCCCAGATGCGCCGCGAACTGGAGGAAGACAAGGTCACCGTGGGCACATACTACTACCGCCATAATGGCGAGCTCGTCGATGGGCCCGCTCATCCAAACTACAATGCGCCCGAGTATGTGGCCGAGCGTGAGGCGCGGCCGGGCGGGTTTCCCTACGTTGGTGCTGTGCAGATCCGGAAAAAGTTCTATCGCATGCTCTTGCGCCAGGTTGCGAGGCTGGGCTTCCGGGTGGATTATGGTCAGCGCGTCGAGAGCTACTTTGAGGATGATAGTGCTGGAGTTGCCGGTGTTCGGATGACGGACGGATCCATTAGAAAAGCGCATGTGGGTAAGTACCCCAAGCGCCCCATTTATAACCATTTTGGGGGTCCATGATACTTAGTTCTGTGCAGTCGTCGCTGCAGATGGCTTCCGCTCTCGCTCCGAGCTGCTGATTGCCGATGAGTATCTGCCCACCCAATCCAGCGGCATGTCCGTGTACCGCACAGCCTTCCCAGCCAAGCTGGCGCTCGCAGACGAGGCGGTCCGCCAGCGCTGGGGAGGGAAGCACACCTATGAGTTCTGGATGGGGTCTGGCATGCACATCGGGTTATACCTGTCGCCCGAGCTGGCTGCGTTCGGCATCACGCCGCGCGACCATCTCCTCGCCAAGGACAAGGTTGCACGTGAGTCGTGGGACCCCGACGTGAGCCCGGACGAGGTGATCGACGTGCTGCGCCGGGCCAAAGTGCCAGGAGAGTCAGACTCCGACTGGCACCCAATCCTCGAGGCCCTCGTTCGCACCGCCCCCGCAGCAGCATCATCCACTGGCCGCTGCGCTGGCGCAACCTGCGTCGCGAATGGGTCTCGCCCGGTGGTCGTGTAGTACAGATCGGGGACGCAGCGCACTCCACAGTGCCATCCTCAGCCGCAGGCGGTACCCTGGCCCTCGAAGATGCTATTACGTTGGCTACAAGCCTGCAGATTGCCTCGAGCCCGGCCGCTGCCTCTGGACCAGGCGCTGGTGCCGGCGCGGGCGTCCCACTCGGCACTCGAGTGTACAACCTGCTACGGTACGAGCGCGCGAGCTGCACTCAGAAAATGGCCTTTGTCAATGCACAGGTTCTTGGCGACACCACAGACTGGGATGCTGTGAGAGCCGACCCGAGCAAGGTCCGCGTGCGCTATCCCAAGTGGTTCTTCCGCCACGACCCTGAAGGCTATGTGTATGAAAAGTATGGCCAGGCATTCGCCCATTTGGTCAGCGGAGCTGAATTCCACAACACAAATATTCCACCTGGCCATCAATTTGTGCACTGGACACTGGAGGGAATCCATCGGGAAATGGCGGCCGGGAAGAAGGTGGAGGACTTACTGGATGGAGATTGGACGTAGATGCTGATTCATACTGCATTATGACATTCCAGAGTTGTAACTAGAATCAGAGTAAACCGTCAGGGTCAGTGCCTGAGCACAATATCAAATGGCCGACCTCATACTCTTATTGTCCATTGCTTGAATAAGACCAGGTCTGAGTCTGGATTTTATCAGCATTCTACTCATTCATCTAAACCATATTTGAAAACACCAGGTTGGTATTAAGTTAATTACTGAGATTGACAGCAGCAAAGTTGGATATATAGATCGATATGTGCGATGATTCTTCTTTCAATAATGTGAAAACAAGTCCCATTTCACCCTTTATGCCGCGCCTCCATCCAGGGTTATGACCTTGCCATTAACCCACTCACCCTCCTTGCTAACAAGAAAACCAACGACATTAGCAATATCCTCAGGGAACCCATTGCGATGCAGGGGCGATGCATGTGCTGCCATCTGCTGCCTCTCCTCCGCCGTGAATTTCTCCCCGTTCGGGATATAATGGTGCGAGACTGCATGGAACATGTCGGTTACAGTGCCGCCAGGGGCGACCCCATTGACGGTGATCTTCTTGTCACCGCAGTCCTTGGACAGGATCCGCACAAACGAGTCGATGGCACCTTTAGACCCCGAGTAGACCGAATGGCGAGGCACGCTGAAGTCCTTGGACGTATTGGACGAGGTGAGAATAATCCGGCCACCCTCGCTCAGCACGCGGTACGCCTCTCGCGCGACGAAGAACTGGCCCCGCGTGTTGAGGCTGAACACCCGGTCGAACTCCTCCTCGGTCACGTCCTTCAGGTGCCCGAAGCTGACGACCCCGGAGTTGCTGACGGCGATATCCAGGTGCCCGAAGTGGGCGACTGCATCGTCAAAGAGCTTGGCGGTCTCGGCGACGCGGCGCATGTCGGCCTTGAAAGCGACGGCGTCTGAGCCGTGGGCCTTGATTTCGGCGACAACCTTCTCTGCGTGCTCGGCAGAGTTGGCGTAGTTGACAACGACTTTGGCGCCCAGGCGACCTAGTTGGATGGCGATGGCTGCGCCGATTCCGCGTCCGGAGCCAGTTACCAAGGCTACTTTGCCGTCCAGCCGGCCGGGAGTGTAGGGGATCGTCATGGTAGAGTAATAGCGGTTGTCGCAGGACGGGAATTCACAATGTATGGAGGATTTGACTTGAGGACGAATGCGATGTCACTCAGGAACCATCTAAGGCACTTTATTTATCAACAAAATCCCATTCACTATTGTCCCGAATTCGGCCCCGCGACAATGCAAATGTGGCTATCGGAACATTCCCAAGTATCGCGCGTGGCCGGGAGAAACGGTTTATTTATAGCGAGAATAAACTCCCCCTCAGAAATTGAAGGCAACCCCGTCTCACTCATCAGACACTCATCAACATGACCAAGACTGTTCCCCCGAAGACGCCGGCCTACGAAGGTGCGTCCAACTTGACCCCCTCATCCGAGACAGGAAATTGGACAGAAGCTGACATAGCTCAGACACCGTAGGGTGCCAGATCGCATTATTCGAATGGGCCGAGAGCTACGACACCAAAGACTGGGGCCGTCTGGCAAAATGCATCGCGCCAACCCTCCGCGTGCGCCATCCCTGTCCATATGCATTGTAGCGCCCCCTTCTAACTGCTCTAGATCGACTACCGGAACGTAATCGGCAAGCTGTGGGAGGCCATGCCCGCCGATGAGTTCCTGGCGATGGCATCTAGCGAGAAATTCTTGGGCAACGCGCGCATCAAAACGCAGCATTTTGTCGGCGCCGGGAAGTTGGTGCAGACCCATGAGGACCGAATCACCGGCTACCATCAGATGCGGGTTGCGCATCAGAGGTATAGTGACGATGCGTTGACGGAGGTCTTGTATACGGGCCATGGCCATGGAAAGGCTACTGTGCAGTTTTGCTTGGTCGATGGGGTGTGGAAATTTGCCGGCCTGGAGCCGGAGATTCGCTGGGCTGAGAATGATCTGGAGAAGATTTTTGAGTAGGTCTAGTTGCCCGTACGCTAGTATTCCCAATAGCATATTTATAGCGCTCGATCCGGAAGATCATAGGGCTCATGGATTATGAGTAGCATTCCTGGTGGATGGATAATCTCTCAGCACCCCCGTTTGCCCTCGCTCCCTTCCAGTCTTCTTTTCCTCTTGTTGTCCTTCCATAGCCGCTAACTAGTGTCTAGCTAGCCAATTAACCTAACCAGCCCCGTATTAGCTAGCTAGGTAAATCCCTCTGGTACTCGACTGTTACAGCAACAACTAAATTGTTCCGCGAGCGTAGTTTAGAGGTAACGACCAATTTGCCAAGGCTGTCCCGAACCGTGTCAATCGTCTCTAGCAACTCGAGCATCTCCATCTCGCCCTCGTCCGCCATCTGCCCGAGCGCCAGATCCCGAGAACGGGCCGTCGCCTCCACTTCAGGGTCAGGGAGGCTCCCGGGCTGGGGCAGAAGACGAGGCGTCAGGATCAGCAGGATGCCGCTACGCGACCGCAGAACGTCCAGGTGCACGGCAAGCTCCGTCATCACCGCACTGGGGGAGGACGACGCGAATGGGAGATGCAGGATGTAGACAGCTGCGCCCGCCGCCGTCTGCCGTGTCCCGAGGATCCGACTTGTCGCAGTAATCCGGGGATGGAACTCCTCTTGGGTGATGGCAACGGCTGGGTCGCTGATCTGGACGGTAAAATGGAGCGCCGGGTAAAAGTGCGCCAGGCGTCGAGCTATCGACGTGGACCACGAAGAGACGCCGACCTGCGCATGACAGTGGTCAACACGGGATATGGCATACTTCACACCCGTGGTTTCGTCCGGGAAAAGGAACACATGGAAATACCTCTATTATACTTCCATCGCGCCCGTTGGTCAGTTTGGGCCAGTCCAGCTGTGTGAGAACGGCGGCTATATCGTCGGCCGTATGTAGCCCCGCCGCGTGGTGAAGATATGCCAACCACTGACGATTCAGCTTTGGCCGCCGTTTGCAGGCGGTATGGAATTCCGTGCCCCTGGGCAAGGCCAGGTCGCATGGAGTACCATTGGATGGAGGCGAGCTCGATTTCTCTTTCACTTGGGCGGTTTGGGGCATCTGCAATGCGATTGGAGCTGCCGATTCAGAGAGAAACATGGCTGCATCCAGAAGAGAGGGGTTCGAGAAGAAGGATGCCGATAAGGGTGTATGGGCCACATGGTCCCGCTCTGGCTCGCGAAGGAAGCCCGCCGTAGCAGTCAACCGGATGATGCGGCGCAGGCGAGACTCTGGGACGTTGGTCAAGTCGGCGATATCCTTGATCGGCGCGCTCCCCATCAATGGGATGCAGGCCAGAATTTGGAACTCACCAAGCCACCGCAGACACGCGAGGATTTCGCTCTGGGAGTCGCGTTAGCTGAGTCGTTCAACGGCTTAGGCATGGTGGATGCACAACCTGGCTCGCGAGATGCTGCAGAAAGTCTGTCGGCCCGCATATCAACGTCCTAAGCTTGGTGGCAACCGCTAAGATGTTTCCCTTTGCTCTCTGGACTTCTTCTGGCTCAAAAGGCGACTGGTTATTGATTGCTTGCTGGGTGTTTCCACTTCCAGCGTAGCTCGCCAGGCTCGTAATGGCAGTGGCGAGCTCATTGCTGCAGCTTTGGAGCTGGGCCAGATCGTCCATCCTGTTGATGAGATGACGGCCGTGGAGGGACAAGCCAAGTAGACGTGACGCCCAAGACACTAACAGTGGGCCAGTTCCTTTCGGCTGAGGCTGTTGGAGCAATTTGTGGATCAACACGCACCTAGCATGTTACTTTTGGCCTATTCCGCGCGTGCCTCCATCTCCTTCTCTTATACGTGTCCTCGTACATGCACCCTTGCCCACGTTCGGCAATTTCTAATGTCCGAATTAAAGCGTGTTTCCAGTGGCCGAGATAGGTCATGCGGATCATTCTAGCCCCCGAATAGATTAGCATTCCACGATGTAACCATTATTAGTCATGTTTGTCCGTGCTTCCCAGAGAGTTGTTTATTATTATATTACTGGCTACCTCACATCCCAGCTGATACGACCCTGTTCCCCCTGTGGCTGACGTGTTCTTCTGCAGAATCCTTGCAGCGGACAGGCACCGAGCTGGCCGAAGTTGTTACTTCATGGATGGGGCAGTTCTGAGGCCTACTACTGTTCAAGTATAGCATGTGATATTTTCCTGGACCTTGGGCGACCGGTTTATATTAATGCTCATGCAATCAATGTTGGCCTAGTCGTGTGTAACTCTGTATAAGATATATCGTATTCGGTATTATAACTCAGCGCTCGCTTCGCCTAATATATGTACCCTATAATGATACGATTCAGGGTGGATTCCAATGATGCTCTTTGGTTTAGAGACGTGGGCTTGAAGGGTCCAGGCGGATGCCATACTCTATATACATATATCTATATATATATATATGTATATATAACCTCCCCGCAGCCCAGCTAAGAGCGCGTCGCTAAGATGACTTTGACCGGGAAATAGCCCTGTACAGGTTTCCCATCCGCGAGAAGATCGTCTAATTCTCGGTACATTTCCGTGAAGGCACCGGGAAACTGCGACACGAACGGGAAAGACTCAAAATGCTCCTTCACCCCCGCCAGGTCCGTCTCAAAGCTCCACCCCTCGTCGTCCTCGTAGATCTCTGCATCATCCGGTCCCGTGTAATTCGGTTCAGGTGTGGTTTGATGGACATCGTCTAGAGGCAGCATGCTCTGAATGCCCCGTCTGTCATGTTGAGGTGAACTCGCAGCGCGCCCGGGGCGAAAGTCCCTCGGGGCAGCGGGCAACGTTATACGTTCCCTGCGTTCGTAGCATAACCCGCGCAGTCTCAGTAGGGTCATTGGCTTTGTTAAGGAGCTGCCGTCCACCCTGACGGCTAATGCGATCCCACAGGCCCTGCAGCCGGACATCGTGAAACCGCGCAGGACCAAAGCCGGCCGTCACAAAAGTGCCCCCGGTCGCAATTGATGCGCGATAGCGGCCATGGCGATGTCTTGGGGGTCTGCGAAATGCATCACGTTGGTAGCGAAGACCATATCGACGCTGCCGGCCGCGATATCGTCGGCGTCTTGCAGCCGGGACGTGCGGAAGCTGAAGCCCTCCTCCCCTTGTAGGCGACGGCGGGCTAATTCAATATTGTTCGCCACGATATCGGATACGATAACATGGTCGAAACGGGAGCGCAGTCGCAGGGCATAGGGACCGTTGCCGGCGCCAACATCGTGGACAGTCCCAAAATGTCCGCCCTTGGCCTTGTGGTAGTCGAAAATGCGGTCGAAAAAGGAGTCAGGTACTCGTGGTCGGCCCTTCAGGTAGTTTTCCCAGAAGATATCGTCCTGCGCAAAGAACTTGTCATTGACTTCCATCTTGTGGTGTCTTTGTGGTGTCAGGTAAGAGAGCCAATCTTGCCAGTCTGCACACACAGCGGTATTCGCTACATCTTTTTGAGTACGGTTCGGCCAACGCCCTGACTACCTATGTATGTATGTATGAGAAACTGTCAGGCCGGCGTAATAACTGCGCGGTAAAGAAAGCCCGACGGCATTTACTCTTCGGACAGTTCACGCATGGCCTGACTTCGGCCCTTGTCATGTCGGGGTATTTGTCAAGGCCAATCGCGCGCGTAAGGGATGGAAGTTAACCGGTAGTATGCCATTCTAAATATCATGGTGGACGCAGTTAATATTCACCACATTTGTTTCCCACAGTACTATATGGATTAACCGTCAACAATGACTACTACAACAATTGAAGCCCCTGCCATAGCAGGCTTCCATCTCTCCCCCGAGAAAGTCCTCGGGCAGGTCGAACCCTACTCCCCAGGCGCGACCGATGCGGCAAGCACTCTGCTGCAACAGAACCACGAGAAGTGGCACATGTACTTTCGTGATGTTGCTGGTCACAACCACATCCCGCACGCCATTCTGAGTACTCTGGCAATGGGCGGGACCCCAGCCGACTTACAGAGGGCGTATGAAGATGGGGAACCCATTCAGCGGCCCTACCTCCTATGGAGGCCCCAACCGTCGGAAAGATGCGCGACCCAGCCGTGTTCCGACAACACATGCAGCGGCTGGATCAGTACTCGAATTTCCTGGCGTTCTTCGAGCAGGAACTGGAGCAGCCGGGGAGCTCGAAGGAGGCCGTTGTAAGCAGATACTGCTTTAGTCGCACGCCCCTCGCCGACTTCATGCTGGCTCAACTGTTCGAGGGCCTGTACCACCCGATCATCCATCTTGGCTTCGGGATTGAGTTCCATCTGCCTGGACTCGTGGCCGAGGGTCTCGCCCAGGCTGCGAGCCACGATCCCATGAAGATCGACGTCTTTTTCCAGGCAGCAGAGGCCCTGGCTGGGACCGGGTCGCTGGCCTCCAAGCCTCTGGTCGAGCTCTATCGCCAGGTGCGTGCCAGTGACACCCTCCGCACCGCAGCACGACTGTCCGACGGCCCCTGGAAGGTTCGTGACGGCGTTCTCGGCCGGGCCTTTGACGAGATCGTGAACGTGGCTGCCCAGTTCCAAGTGAGTTCCAACGAACACGATGTGCAGCGTGCAACGGTGGAGATGATGAGCTGCGCGGCCTGGGCGTGTGGTGGGCCGCATAGGCCGGGTAAGGAGCGCAAGATCGACTTCTTCTTGATGCACTGCGTGACCAGCTCCATTTTCTTCACGGTGCTCGGCCGCGCAACTTGGATCTCAATCGCGGACAAGGCACGCCTGGTGGAATGGAAGGCCCGGCTCGACCTGGTGTGGTACGCCGCGTGTGCAGCGCCGGAGCTGCGTGATGAGAACTTCCTCAACTACGAACCGACGCTCAGCCGAGGAATGGATTGGCGGCAACTGTATCACGCCTTGAACCGATACCACGACGACGGACATGTTGCCAAGTTTGTGCGCGCCCTCAAGAATGCCGAAGAGGTCGCCTTACCATTCGAGCAGGAGCACGCCGACATCTTGCCTGTCAAGGGAGATGCCTGGTTCCGAATTGCCCAGATCTGTTATGATTCCACCGCTTCGCATACCGAGGCTCAGAAGAAGTGGGTTTGGGGCGTTGGGTTCGCTCCCATGTGGGACTTGGTTCCCGACTTTGTGACATCTTCGTAGATATGTTGGACAGTACTAAATTCCTTTGATTGATATGAGCCGATGAGAACATTTTTTTGTGGATTCAAAGGTTACTTCAGTTGACACTCTAAGCCTAAGCTGATATAGTGAAGAGTAACCCTACTACTCCTTATTCGCATACATTTAGTCTGCAGTCCCGATAAACACAACACTTGCATCCAAAACTAGATATCTACGACTTGAATCCATCAACAGCTTCCCCATCTCGCACAAACTCCTCAATCCACCCGATAGTCACCCTATCGCGATCAGTAACAATGTCACCCCCTCCCGAGATGCTCAGACTCACAGCGTCCGCTTCGTATCCGCGAAGTTCTCATGGTCGCCAACCAGATGCTCCTGATACCAGGGATCCTGTTTCATCCGTTTATAATCCTCCACATTCTGAAAGACCACCTGACTGAAGCAGTCGAAGTCGGCGACATTTGCCATCTGCGGGTCGAAAAGCTCTGCCATCAATGCGCGCGTAGCGGCTTGGTTGTGGATCTACGTCCAAGTCTGGGTCAGCCCGAAGAGTGCATGATTCGGATATGGGCACATGTTCATGTCGAGAAGGAAAGGCTGACCTGTGTCCATCGCCTGATGCCATACTTGACCATGAGATGCTTTGTCATCGGCGCAGAGATGTGGACCATATGGTTGTGGTAGTCTTCCTCGGTCATGCCTGCTTTGCGGTAGCCACAGATAGTGAGGCATAGGTACTTGTTCTCGTAAGAACCAGAGAGCTCGGGCATTTCCGGGTGCGTGGAAGAAGCCATGTTGGGGTAGACGATTACTCAAAGTCGAAGTTCGCTTGCGCAGGGGGATTGGATATGAGGCAAGGGAAAATGAGGCATTTTCCTTTCACCCGACTGCAAGAATGGGGTGAGGACTTTTATCTAGACTGCAAGGAGAATTATGCCGAGGGGATCTATACTATATACCTCATCGAATAACTCAATCCGGCGGAATCCTGCTGCACACACCGACCGCCATGACGAAAGAAACGTACGTCTCAGCCACGGCCGTGGTCTCTGGATCGTTCCTGTCAGGTCAGTGCAGCGGACAGGCCCTCAAGCCGAATCGGTTCGGGCTAATGCTAAACATTGGTGCAGGGTCGATGATGAGTCTCTCAGCCTTGGTGATCCCCTTGTTCCTCGACACGATCGACGATGGACCTCAACTGCTACGGCAGTGGGCGCGACTCTACCACTACGGGAGCATCTATATGCCCGCACTGTGTGTCGCCACCTGCGGCATCTACGGGTATGTGGCGTTGAGCAAGAGGGCCGCAATTTCTCCTCTATGGTCCCCATATGTACTGGCGGCTGTGTCGACCTTAGCGATGGTACCTTTTACCTGGTGGGTCATGGTGCCGACGAACAATACCTTGTTCGGATTGCATAGGTCGGCGGAAAGCACAGAATTAGGTGTGGTCCAGGTTCTCGTGGTGAAATGGGCCTGGTTGCACGTTGTGCGGTCGCTGTATCCGCTGTTCGGGGCATTTCTGGGATTCAGGGCTTTGATTCGCGAGCTCCGGACTTGATGGCGCAATATCAACGCAATTTAGGCGCAGTCCTTTATTGCACTCGGCATAAAGGCTGGACGGTAGAAAGCGAGAATTGTACCGACGTTGGCTAAGCCTTGGAACGTAACCATGTCAGATGCTTACTCAAGCCTCGTGAGGAAGGCAAAACGTGTGGAACAACCATGTCCTATGGGACCGATGAATTTATTGTGCACTTTGTATGAATTGACGTACCCTAAAACTACGTACTTTTGTAAGAATAGTAAGGTCACCTGAACCGCTTGCGAGCCTTAATGTCAGGTATGGCTGTGTGATACAGTATCAAATGGTCATTACGGGACAAGAAATGGCATAGAATACTGTGTGTAATAGAAAGATCTAATCAGACAGCATGTATCACACAGCAAACCATTTTTTAACACCCCCCTCATATCGAATCCCACCGCACCATCCTCGGCCAGCTTGCGGAGCACCTCATCCATGAATGGCTCCAAAGCCAGCACCCTGATACCGTCATCGATTCGGTCCCCATGCACGGCCGCCACAAGCTCTTTGACTGTAAGCCTGCCTTTACCGGGCCCACCGCTTCCATTCCTACTTGCTTGTCTGAGTGCCTGCAGCGCCTGGCGCTCCCGGCGTAGCTTGCCGGCCAGTTCACTGCCAATTTTGGACTGCAGGTCGGTGATTACCGCTCCGTGGGCTGGGTAGCCCAGTTTGCAGCCATGGCTCTGCATTTGCTTCAGCGTCACCATCCACGTGCTGAGATGCTCAATAGCTGCGGTTCCCGAGCCCAGCACATTGTCACCCGTAAACATCGCCTGCTCTTCTTCCAAAACAAAGCACATGTGGTCATGCGAGTGGCCCGGGGAGTGGACTGCTCGCACAGTGGCGCCTTCTACCTTGAAGATCTGGCCATCGACGATAGGTTGCTGAGTCCTGTCTGGCGTGTTCTTAAAAATGCGTGGCGTAAGATCGGGGTACATGCGAAGGAGATCGGGAACTCCACCGGTGTGGTCACCGTGCCAGTGGGTGAGGAGCACGTCAGACAACAAGAAGTCACCGCCGGACAGAGTCTCCCTGATCAGGTCCGCCCATTCGGGAATTCCCTGGCCTGTGTCGATGATCAGGCGCTTCGTGCCTGTGCCGACAATATACGTATTCGTCCCTTGGAGGGTAAACTGAGCAACGCAGGGGCTGGTTAGCATATGGCAGAGATCTTGAATACATAGAATAGAATAACCTTTCCTGGATTCTGTCCTAGCACTCGAATTACACGCGGGCTGATCTGCTCCACGTTTGGAAGACTGCTCAAATGCGTCTGCTGGCTTTCGAGATACTCCTCGAAGGCACAAATATTCAAGGCTTTGTTGATTTGACGGTAGCCTCCTACACCGGGGGCCATGTTGAATTGACACTAGTGTAACGGTCGACAGTCACTGCTTGGATCAAGGGAATCTCGTTCGACATGCGATAAAGGGCGTGTCCAGCGCATCTAAACCACCGGCGAGGAGATATAAACCGAGAGATAGCGGGCTAATTATGAAATCCTGCTCTCGCCCCGATCCGGCATCGGGGTAAAGGTTGGGGCCTAGCGCATCGGGTAAGCCTGCTGGCTTGCTTGCATCGATCCGATGCTGAAGTGTATACAAATGCTGATGGATCTGGTTCACTTGCCACCGTCAATTTATACATCCTTCGTCGACCCTCCCCATTCCCCGACTTAAGACAACAGCAACCCATGACTATCGATATGGATTGGACGACGGAAACCCCCAACACAGAACCGTCGTTGGTCACTGCAACGCCATCGACCACCGAGTCGTTGGTGGATCCTGCCAAGATGAAGGTAGGATATTTTGGCAACGAATTCCCCCACGATGATCTGCACGATCTGTCTCGTCGGCTGTACAATTGGAGCAAGGACAGACAACATACCTTGTTGGCGACATTCATCAATGAAGCCACCGCAGCCGTGCGGCAGGAAGTCCGCTTATTGCCTGCTACATTGAGGACTCTCATCCCACCTTTCGAGACCATCTTCAGTCTCGTCAGTCATGCGGATCTCCGTCATGGTCCTCTGGGTGGATGTATCGATGGCATGCTACTATGTGCAGTTCAACTGGCCACATTCATTGGGTGAGTGGACTGGATGCCATGTCTTCAAAGGGTATTTCGTTCAAACTAACAGCTCATTTAGATACTATGAAGATAGCACCGAAGACACGTTCCACTGGCACAATGCCGATGCCTGCCTCGCCGGCTTGGGCACTGGTCTCCTGTCCACCGTTGCCGTGTCTGTCTCCCCCACATTGGCTGACATGCCAGTCACTGGAGCGGAGGTTGTCCGGATGGCCTTCAGACTAGGCATCTTGGTCCATGAGGTTTCGCGAATCCTGCAAGCTCCGACCTCTGACGGCGGCCCTGGGGATAGCTGGGCCTATGTTGTCCCGGATGCTGTTGCGGACGACGTTCAGTCCGAGCTTGACGCCTTCCACGATGCCAAGGTGCGTAAAAATTCGAGCCTCTTTCGCGGACCACTCAGCGTTGCCAGATGAATGACTTTATAACCCCAGAAAACTCCTGAATCAAGCAAGGTGTTCATCAGTGCCCTGAGCCGAACCTCCGTAACTATCAGCGGCCCACCAACTCGGCTCAAAGATCTCTTCCTCGTTTCGGATTACTTCCGCGACCGCCGATTCGTGCCTCTACCGGTCTACGGGGGGCTATGCCATGCCAGCCATGTATACACCAAGGAGCATGTTGACAGCATCGTAAATACCGAATCCAGCAGTCTTGTCTCACTAGATTCCCGGCTTGCACCGCGTGTGCCCATATTCGCCACCAGCAATGGAAAGCCCTATTCCGCGAAAACCGTGAGCGGCCTATTCCGCAATATCGTCGAAGAGCTGCTCACTCAGCGCATCGAGTGGGACAATGTCATCGAAGGGGTCATCCAACATGCTAAATGCACGGCAGTTTCTGAGGCGTTGGTGTTGACGTTTCGAACATCCCTGCCGGCCCGCGACTTGGTGGAAGCCCTGAACTCGGAGTCTCTTCCCTTCAAAGGACGGACGCAGGATCTCGTGCCATGGGTCACCAAGCCTCAGGCAGAGCCGCGAGGGCCGAGGGGTGCCCAGCAGGCAAAGATCGCCATTGTAGGAATGTCTTGTCGGTTACCTGGAGGGGCCGATGATACTGGGAAGTTTTGGGAAATTCTAAACCAAGGCCTTGATGTGCATAAAAAAGTCCCCGCTGACCGGTTCGATGTCGAGACTCACTGTGATCCTTCTGGAGAACGCCTGAATACAAGTCTGACCCCATATGGCTGCTTCATCGATGAACCAGGACTATTCGATGCACCATTCTTTAACATGTCTCCGAGGGAGGCAGTGCAAACCGACCCCATGCAGAGACTGGCAATTGTCACTGCATACGAAGCCCTGGAGCGTGCTGGTTATGTGGCTAACCGGACGGCGTCCACTAAGTTGCATCGAATCGGGACCTTCTACGGACAGGCTAGTGATGACTACCGCGAAGTCAATACTGCTCAGGAAATCGGGACTTATTTCATTACCGGGGGCTGCCGGGCGTTTGGCCCTGGTCGAATCAACTACTTCTTCAAGTTTTCCGGACCAAGCTACAGTATTGATACGGCTTGTTCTTCTGGCTTGGCCACCATTCATGTAAGTGATCCCCACATGCCCAAAGATTGCGCAGGGAAACGGACACTAATGGTGCATTATATAGGTTGCGTGTAATTCTCTCTGGAATGGTGATACCGATATGGCAGTGGCAGGTGGAATGAACGTGCTCACCAATTCGGATGCATTTGCTGGGTTAAGCAAAGGCCACTTTCTCTCAAAAACGCCAAACGCATGCAAGACATGGGACTGCGAAGCCGATGGGTACTGTCGAGCAGATGGTGTTGCCACTGTTATTATGAAACGCCTGGAAGACGCCGAGGCCGATAATGATAATATCCTGGGTGTCATCCTCGCTGCTGGAACGAACCACTCCGCCAACGCTGTTTCTATTACCCACCCCCACGCTGGGCACCAGGCAGACTTGACCAGAGAGATTCTATCCAAAGCCGCTATCGATCCGCTTGATGTTTCCTATGTAGAGATGCATGGGACAGGTACGCAGGCAGGTGATGCACAGGAGATCCAGTCAGTCGTCGACGTATTTGCTCCTTTATCAAGCACAAAACGTCGAGCTACAAAGCAGCCACTATACATCGGGGCTGTCAAGGCCAATGTTGGTCACGGTGAGGCCGTGGCTGGCTCAACAGCATTACTCAAGGTGCTGCTGATGTTGCAAAAAAAGACCATCCCGCCGCACGTGGGCATCAAGAACGCCATCAACCCGGGTTTTCCCAAGGACCTTGATAAAAGAAACCTTCATATCGCTTACCAGTCGACCCCTTGGGTTCGAAGCTCGAGCGACAAAAAATACGTGGCTGTTGTGAATAACTTCAGTGCAGCCGGGGCAACACAAGTATTGTTCTTGAAGAAGGACCAGTGCGGTCGATTCAGGATAGCGACAAAGACACTCGTCCAATGCATGTTGTTGCCGTGTCAGCCAAGAGCAAGGTTTCATTGAAGGGCAATCTGCAGCGTCTGATACATTACCTCGAGGCGAACCCAGATGTCTCACTTACCCATCTGGGATACACAACGACCGCACGGCGCCATCACCACAACCACAGAATAGCAGTGTCCACGTCGGCTGTTCCTCACTTGGTGCGCCAGTTGAACTCGCATCTCCAGTCAGCCGACACTCACAAACCTATTCCCTCAACTGGAGCCCCGCCTGTTGTTTTTGTTTTCACTGGCCAAGGGGCGGCCCATCGGTCTATGAACCTGGAACTCTTCCGTGATTCGCCTTGTTTTCGATCACAAATGTTGTATCTCGACTCGCTCTGCCAGTCTCAGGGGTTTCCTTCTATCATCCCTGCGGTTGATGGGAGCTATCCGCAGGATCACACTCACCCGCCTACTGTCACTCAACTGGCACTTGTTTGTATTGAGCTGGCGCTGGTAGCATACTGGGAGTCTCTTGGGGTGCGACCTGAGGTCGTTGTCGGACATAGCTTGGGCGAGTATGCGGCCCTGCATGTTGCAGGAGTGCTGTCTGCAGCGGACACGATTTACCTCGTCGGCCAGCGGGCCCGGATGCTGGAGAGGAAATGCCAGATCGGGAGCCACAAAATGTTGGCAGTCCGTGCCGCACTCGACGAGGTGCAATCAAAAGCGAATGGAAAGCCATTTGAGGTTGCCTGCCTGAATGGACCGAAGGACACCGTACTGAGTGGGACGGTGAGTGAAATGGAAGCTTTGGCTGAGGAGCTAGAGCAGTCGGGTCTCAAGTGCTACCATTTAGATGTGGCATTTGCGTTCCATTCTGCGCAGACAGACCCAATTCTGCAGGAGTTGGAAGAAACCGCACAAACCGGAGTCTTGTTCCAACCTCCGAGACTACCAATCATTTCGCCCCTACTTGCTAAGGTTATATTCGACGAGAAGACAGTGAACGCCAAGTATATTTGCCGCGCAACACGGGAGACGGTCAATTTTGTGGCTGCTGTGGAGAAAGCACTTGCTATGTCAACGGTGGATGAGACTATGGTCTGGATTGAGATCGGCCCGCACCCAGTATGCGTAGGGTTTGTACGGTCAATCATGTCCACTGTCAATATGACAGTACCGTCATTCCGCCGCGGAGAGAATAACTGGCAGACACTGTCCCAGAGCCTGGCTGCGGTGCACGCTGCAGGTGTAGAAGTGGACTGGAACGAATTCCACCGTCCCTTCGAGCATGGTCTGCGCCTGTTGGACATACCCACTTATGCATGGAACAACAAAACATACTGGCATCAGTATAATGGTGACTGGGCGCTCACGAAAGGTAATAATTTCTATGACTCCAAGAAAAAGTCGGCTGCGGCTGGGAGCCCTTTGGCTGCGGCGCCTGTTTCCAGCTTACGGACCTCATTGGTTCATCGGGTTATTGAAGAGTCATTCTCCGGCACAGCTGGAAAGGTCATTGTGCAGTCGGATATGATGCAGGCGGATTTCCTGGCCGCTGCATGGGGCCATCAGATGAATGGAGCTGGTGTGGTGACTTCGGTGAGTAGAACAGCCTCCCAGGAAAGCAAGGCAACAGGTATTGATGTGGTTTTTAGTCCATCCACGCCGACATCGCATGGACCCTGGGAAAGTACCTTTTGGATTCCCTGAAGCCCAATAGCAGGAAGAGTGTTGTTGACATGGAAATCTCCAACCTGGTTGTGCGCGAAGGCCTGGTGGCACAAAAGAACCGCAGCGTTCCTCAGCTCATCCAGGTCTCCATCTCGACGGCCGACGTCGACTCGGGCGTGGCCTATCTGGAGTGGCATAATGTCACCAATGACGGCGTCTCACTCGCCGATCAGGAGCCTATTGTGACGGCCCAGATACGGTACGGCACGGCGGGCGACTATCTTTCTTCTTGGGTGCCAGCCCTCCACCTCGTCCAAGGCCGCATCGAGGCGCTTTCCCAATTGGCGGACGATGGCATTGCCAACCGTCTATCAAACAGCATGGCTTACCTGCTCTTTGCTGACCGGTTGGTTGACTACGCTGACCGGTATCGTGGCATGCAGTCGGTGGTTCTGCACGGGCTGGAGGCCTTCGCCGACGTCAAGACCAAGCCAGACGATGAAGGCGGCGTCTGGACAGTGCCACCATTCTTCATCGATTCCGTCTGCCATCTCGCTGGCTTCGTCATGAACGTGTCAGACGCCATCGACACCAAGAACAATTTCTGTGTCACTCCTGGATGGGGATCGCTGCGCATGGCGCGTCCGCTGGTCGCCGGTGGGAGGTACCGCTCCTATGTAAAGATGATCCCTACTGCCGAGGATCCGACGGTTTATCTTGGGGATGTCTATGTGCTGGAGGGCGACGAGATCATCGGGGTCATGCAAGGGATGAAGTTCCGCCGCTATCCCCGAGTATTGCTCAACCGGTTTTTCACACCGGCAGATATCAAGAACCCTGCATCTGGATCCATGTCTTGTGCAAAGGGTGCCAGGAGCAGCGCCCAGAGTACAAAGTCGGTGTCTGCCCGGCACCGCTTCCAAAGCCAGCGAATGTGGCAGAGTCGGTGCCGACACCAGCACCAGCACCAGTACCAGCTCCGGAGCCAGTCCCTGTGCAGAGAAATAAGCAAGACACGGCTGCACCCCCCGTCGCCGCCTCAGACAGCACTGCAGCAAAGGCATTGGACCTTGTGGCAGCCGAGGCAGCCATTGAGCTTTCTGACTTGCAGGATGATGTCAGCTTTGCGAGTCTCGGGGTTGATAGTCTGATGAGTTTGGTTATTGCAGAGAAGCTGCGTCAGCAGTTGGGGATTACCGTGAGTGGGAGTCTATTTTTGGAGTACCCGACTGTTCGAGACTTGCGTGTGTGGTTGGATGAGTACTATAGCTAGATTGAGTAGCACCATGATAGATTATGTTATTTGCGTGATATTTGTAATCAACTTGCTCCGCATGAATCACGAGTATGTGCTTTGTCAGAAATGAGAGGCGTCAAGCTTTCATCCAGGAAGAGTAAACCGGCAGGAGGATCAATCCCGAACGACGAGAATGGTCTAAACATGGGAGAAGGCACTTGATGGTTCTATGAGCACTATGAAGGAGATAAAAAGAAGCGCGGCGTGGCTGAGACATGAGGGTCCATTGAAATATAGGAGTACCAAATCATCCAGATATATATATGCATAACAGAAACATATGCCTTTGATAGGGAAATGTCTGAGTCACAAAGGGTTTGAGCCAAGTCCATCCTATCGGGTTTGAATATCGGGACTTTCCCAACTTGGCATGAAAAAGTTCTGTGACTTCGACACCATCGGGTTCGCATCACTCAGATCGATGAGTGTATAGCGACAAGAGAGCACTGCTCTATCCATTGACACCAAGTCTTCTTCAACATCTAACTTCGCATCATCTCTTCATCTAGTCATGTAATTCGTTACCACGGGGTCTATACACCCCACCCTTAACTCTGCCGCAGGATATTAATAATCTCTGAAGACAGGGTAGTCAAGCGCCTGCGCAAATCCGTATTCATCTGGTGGACGGTGGTGGGCGAGAAAGCGACAGGCGATGATGAAACTGGGCACTGTTGGCCGCGCCTGACACAATCTTCCAGCGAGTCCTCCTTGAGTAGGCGCTCAACCAGGTTCACCGCCCCCTGCACACGATGCAGCTCGTTGAGGATCAGCTGCGCGGTCGTCCGGCCCGAGCTGTGGTCGTCATCGACCGAGCTGTTGAATGGTCGATCGGGGTCTTTGTATTTGCCGTCCAACCCTAGGTCTCCGGCGAGCTCGCGCGCGGTCAGGGCGTATCGCTCGAGGACCTTCACCACGGCGATCGACAACATGGGTATTAGATAGGTCATCTCACCACATTCGCATTTCAGGATGGTGTGGACTATCTCCATGGACTCTCTATTCTCTGCCAACAGTGCTTCTAGCAAGGAATCGGGGCGGGTGGGTGTGGAGCCTGAAGCGCTGTCGCGTGGAAAGCCTGATGAGGAGGAAGACGTGGATGAGGATGCTCGCGAGGAAAAGAGTGTGTTAATGAGGTTTAGTGCTCGCATCATGCAGCCGCAGATAGCATGGCACTTTGATTTGTCGCTGCATTTCGGCCCGCCCTCCGCGAGAGACTGATCCCCCGACGATGAGGGTCTAGGTGAGAGATTGAATTCGAGCTGCGACTGCCCTGACAGCAAGTCCGGATCGGTACTGGCGCCATCGGACCCAAAGAGGCACGCAATTTCATGTTGCTCCTGAGCGAAATTTGATAAGATGGGGTCTATTAACCCTAGTTCTGAGAAGTTGATGGGCGTTGCGAGAAGCTCTGTGAGACAGTCCCTCATCCCGGATAAACCAGGAGATAGAAATGAGTCAAGGGGAGTTAGAGGGCCCGCAAACATATCCATATGGAAAGACTCGGCAGGTTCCGATAGTCTGGGGGACGGTGTCGGATCCGGAGGGACCAACGATAGATCTGCATGTTGTACATCGCCGGGAAGAGCTGTACTTTCGAAATTGCGGGAACTGGATAGTCCGCTGCTGCTGCTCCTGCCCTCGTGGCCGTTGTCTTTCTCTCTCTTGCGTCCAGGACGCTTCATAATAAAATACTCGCAGGTAATTCCCCGTTTCTCGCACCGGGAGCAGGTTGGTTTCTCCTTGGGACATCGGACTTTTGCCAAGGCGCAAGCTTGGCAGCTGCCACGAATTTTCGATGTTGAAGAACTCATATCTCGGCGCGTCGATGTTGTCAAAATGCAGGTCTTGTGATTTGCTCATTCAGTAGTCCCGCATAATCCTAAGTCGTTACTAATGGATGGGCGTGGCGAACAGGAGTGCGCATAGAGCATCTCCAGTCTCGGGACTCGCTATGTGAAGTTGAAATGATCGAAATCTTGTCTCGGACAAGATTCTGACCGTGGCGGGCTGATGTCTGGGCGTTCTTGTTGTGAGGACTATGGCAACGGAGACATGCCAATCAGCGAGAATTGATGCACATAAGAAGAGGACAACCACAGTGGGGGCGGCCCAGCCTTCCCCTCTCTATTTATCCAAGGTTGAAAGTCCAGACATTATTAAGAACTATAACTCTGCCTCGTATTAGTTATTACGGCTTACCCATTTAGGAAGATTCAGCATGGCCCTCCTCCTCGTTATATCTTCCCTATATGGCAAAATGATCAACCAGTGATCTACTCTCTCTGCTATCAACAGGCTTGCTGATCTACTATATGACGTTTCAGATCACGAATACCAAGGGGTGAAAAACATCATACACGCCACAGCCTAGGGTATATAGACCGCCTAAATAGGCACTCGTTAGAAGAATCAGACCTTTTTTGAGTTTTGTTGATATACTTTACTGCTTACCAACCTTATTCGGAATTTACTTTTCCTGCCTATTAGCTGATATCTTCTCTTACTACCGCGATATCCGGAGGATTGCGTTTGATACCCCTAATCTAACCCCTGGGATGCGATTCCGGTAGTATATATATACGTCCATCAGATACTGATTAGAAAGGATCAAATCTTCGTTGGTTTATCATTTGTGTGCGAAATACTGGCGATTTCGGAGCCGATATCCGTACGAACTTTTCAACAACATCTTATCTAGTCAGCCAGAGGTGTAACAAATACCTGGGGTGAGCGCCGGGGCCGGATCCCCCAGGTCGATTGTGGGAAAGGTGGGTAAGAGAATAGCCCTTCTGAAGCGCCCTTCCGGGACCCAGGCATGGATGTCAGCCACCTAGGGGGCGATAAATATATTACTATCAAAGTACGTCAGGATACAGAATGAAGGAATCATTCATTTCCCGTATTCATAACGGAGCCAAGAGAAACAAACCATTCATGTCATTAAAATTTGCCCATTTTGAAGCAGCATGTCTCAGGGCGTATCCCCTCACCTCGTATCAGATTGCAGGTCAGCTAATCCACTAGGCTGATTGGCCACTATAAAATAGTGGCGTATTTAGTATCCTCTGTATTAATGTTCTGTCCAATCGGCTTAAGGGATCGACGGGCCCGCAATCTGATACGCATTGACCTTTTGACACCACTGCAGAGTCTGCAGGCGAGAGGATAGGCCTGTCCCAGAGCTCGACGGCTGTTGGTGGGACCGATACGGATTTCCCCGTAGGGCCTTAAATGTTAGAGTTACGGCGCTAACAATCATCCAGTTAGTTGCTTAGGTGTCCAACCACGGAGTAATAGCTACCAAAACTAAGATATGAAGTAACCAGATAGAACACATCTAAACCTTGGGTCCTTAACTCTCTGACTAAAGGTGAAATCAATCAGATTTAGCTAGAGTATAATCCAATTGATTTAATTAATTCAACAGGCGGATGAGACACTAAAATCTGACAACATTTAGGCATCAGCGAGGGGGGTGATCCTGTTAGATACGACCCTACCAGTAGCCTGCCAGCCGTCAGTTGGAAACTCAGATCTTATAGGGTCAGTGGGAGGTGCAATTCACTCAACTCGTGTAATCCTAGACACATAAGGACACCCATGCAATCTCTTTCCACAATGTAAAGGCATTGGTCAGCCAAGCCCCGTTTCGCTTTGGGGGCCCCAATGCCCTTAGGCTGATTGACATCCACACAAGCGCATCAACTACGTAACATACAGGGATCTGGCCATTCAACGTAGGCAAATGACGCCATTAAATGAAAGCTCTAAGCGATATCACTGATATTGCTGAGTTTTCCACGAAACTTCGTGTTACGACCCCGCATCGTCATCAACAACTCCAACGCTTAATTATGTCTAGGTTACATCTTGCTTGCGAAGCCAAGGCGCTAGCTCTATACTAGACATGCCCTGGGTTGAGTCTGCAAGATGTAAGAGACCGACTCGTCCCAGGGCCAACCCGCCCACCGTGGGAAGCCCGAGGGCAACATCAAGTAGGCCATAAGGAGGAACGAGACCCGACAGTTTGTAATATGGCCATGACTGTATAAGCTCCAGCGCTGAGGATAGTAGCGAGACAGGCCCCTGCTGGTTCTCTGCCGAGAAAGCAAACGGGGGTGCCATACACGTCCACCGCGTGGCCACCATGTATTCCCGGGGGTGCTATCAGAGTTCTCGTAAGACATTAATATCTAGACGAGCTGACATGCAGGAACTAGTGGTGGAAAGAATCTCACTGTCTACGCGTTGCTAATATACACACCCTATGGGAGTGCAGGAAGATGCCTTTGCTAAGCTGGCCATTATCAGGCTTGTGGGTGGGGATCTTTTGATCTCACGGCCAGTATCAGACGAATGAACAGTGCCATCAAGGGTTTCTGGGGGATAGATAGGCTTGGGCAGTGGCGTCTTACCAAGCTCCCGCATCTCACGGTATTTTTCGGTGCCTACCTTCCCTATCAGGGCCACTTGGCAGTGATATTTTCCCAGCAGAGCTGAGGCTTTCTGTGCTGGTTCCGCCATGTTCTCCAGGCTGAACTCGGAGATGTCAAGGGTGGTATTACTAGTGATTAGCATGGCGAAGGGGGATTGCAGATCAGTGATGACTTTCTAGGTTGAAAACTGTGAATACAACCAGTGAAAACCCGTCCCCATGAATGTTTCTTTTTAAAAATTATCCGTCAGCCCCCTGTCGGGGCTGCCGTCACTGGATGCTACATAACTATGCAAGCCTTAGCGTCGGGGATCTTTCCCGTTAGCAATGTTCAGCTAAACTGTACTTTGTGAGGTATGGCTAACAGCCGCAGCACTAGTTAACTAACTCGCGTCTCTCCATGCTGACTTGTCCCGTTGTCCGTCATTGACCCGATAGCTGTTCTCCAACCGCTGGGAAGAATATGAAACCATTATCCAATGGCGGCCTCACGGGGTAGTAGAAGGTTTCGGGATGGCTACATTGTCTAGTTTTATCTCTGGATCATGTTGGTTATCTAGCCCAAAAGTGGCGCCTTCTGAGTTCGAATTGACTTTGGACCTTATGCGTCGCCCTACTGAAGGGTGGTAATTACCTAAGGTTATCCTTGTCATCACGCCGAGTTGTACCGAATATTGATTGATTCGATAGCAGGGTATGACGGCGAGGTATGTTTGATGCACCGCCTTGTTGGTGTCTTCTGATCTAGTCAAGGCCTTCTAGCGCTTACGAATTTTGTTCAGGATGTCTGCAAATCAAGCTCCGATTCTTGGAATCATGGAGATGAGCATGCTTGGTGGGAATAAGCATTACCCAAGTCGAGCGCCCGAAACCCGGGTGGAAAGAATTCTCAGTATCTTGTCCTCACCCCTCTTAAATTGCTTTTTCGGCCGACCAATCAGCCTATGGGACTGTTCATGCAAGGTAGACTGGTTGGGGATTGGATATGGATTGATCTGTATGATGTTCGATCCAACCCATGCAGATTATGGGCTGATCCTCTAGCTATCTGACCCACCCTTACATTCACGCAGGTTGGATTGCGGATAAAAAACATATCCATACTACCTAGTAACCAGGTTAGTTGACCTCTAGTATTTAGATTACTAACTATTTCTCTAGAATTCTAACCACACTCCTAGGATACTATATACTTTATGTGATAATATGGTAACTAATTATATAAATATTATATATCACCTATTATATGAGCTAAAATAGCCTTTATCCACAGTGGTAGGGGTACATCCTAAGGTTAGGATGAAAGAAGTGCAGGGCTATGTACGTCTTTTAACACCATCTTAATTACCCTTATCTAAAATCCAAAGTCAACCATAACTCTAGTTTTTCTTAGATGATCTAATATTTTATTTTATATATAGATAGATATAATCATTCTCTATCTAATATAGGGAAATAGATGCTATGCTGTCTAGCCCTAGATATGGTTAGATATGGATTTGCGGATTAAGTTGGGTAATAGGTCTACAACTCTACCAGTCTAATACAAGGACCAAGATGCAGACCCTTAGGCAACTTCTTCTTTCTATCTTATCATTATCAAGCTGTTCAAACCTTAAGGTTCAATGAAGGACTCATAGAGCACTCAATAGATCATCAAAATACTGTAAGGGTTTTATGCTACTGGGTCGTACGAGATCCGCATAGCCACTTCCAGTACAGACATGAAACTTAGACTGCGTATATGATCCCAAAGATAGTTCTTGTATGTACCTGTCGAATCCCATATAATATTAGTGATTTACTTGTCTATAATGATGTTTTGTCTCTTTCCGCGTGCATTCTACGCGACTGTCCATTCCAAATGCCAGATTGATCCCTGCGGAATGTGACTTCACCATTGACATGTGACAGTGACTGTCTGCCCCCGGAAGGTACGAACAAATCAGAGCGTCGAGGACCCGTTTCCAATTGACCTGCATAAGATCAGCCTGTGTCGATGATGCTGATCGCTCAGTTGTGTTCCCAAATGTACGACGTCACAGCGGCGCTCAGGTCGACGTGGCAATGACAATTCAAACACAATGTCTGCCGCGTCTATTCACTGTTCTCCTTCAGATTGGCATAAAGAAAGAATGACGGACCCAGTTGATGGTCTGATTGATCTGACCATCCACACTCTTCTATCGAGTATGGGCAATTACGAATTCGGCGTCACAGACGTACCCTTCTTTGTCGCAGATCTAGGGCAGGCCATATGTCAACACCGCCGCTGGTAATCGGATTTACCGAATGTTCATCCGTTCTATAGTATGTATGGTACGTCAAGCATCGGATCCATTACGAGTTGTGGTACTAGACCCAAACTGACGATTGGTGCCCCAGCGGTGAAATGCAACCCGGACCCTACGCTGCTCCGACTGCTCGCTGAACTCGGCACTGGTTTTGACTGCGGGTCGTCCTCGACCTCGGAGTCGATCCATCACGCATCATATTCGCCAACCCGTGCAAGTCGGCCTCCTCGCTCCTATTTGCTGCCAGGGCGGGAGTTACTCTGACTACCTTTGATAATCTGGACGGACTGGAGACCATTCAAACATTTCTTCCCACTGCACGGCTTATGCTACGGATCTATGCCTGTGATAACGATGCTCTCATCAAGCTGGGCGAGAAATTCGGCGCTCCCGTTGAGCGTTCATTCGTTATGTTGCAACCTGCGCGAGAACTGGGCTCGGAAGTGTGCGAGGTGAGCTTTCATGTTGGTAAGTTCTTTCAGTGACACTTCCTCACTTCGTAGTATTGATGTAGAGCAAACGTACAGGGGCTTCGAACGCGTCGGCATATGCGAATGCCATTCAACATGCCCACATGGTATTTGAGCTGGGCAAAAGCGTGGGATATGTCATGAACCCCCTAGATATTGGTGGCGGCTACCAAGACAGCAATTTTGAGAAGATTTCACGGTCAGTACGAGAAGCCCTGATGGAAGGCTTTCCGTTCCAGACACGGAGTATCGCAGAGTCAGGGCGCTACTTTGCCAGAAGTGCCTTTACGCTCGCTTGCAAGGTTCTGTCCAGCCGGTGCGACATCGCCGAGGCAGCTCAGGAACGCCCAGATATTCTTTACCAGAACGACGGCGTGTACGGGAGCTTTATGAATGTTCTTCTTGAGAAGGAAGTGGTGCATCCGTCGTTAATTCCCTGCAGCTCACCATACATCTCGGGGACACAAAGCGAGCGCGCGGACCGCATCGTTACTCGATCTGGGGTCCTACCCGTGACAGCGTCGATTGTGTTGCACGAGAAACTACATTAGAGGCGGAAGTTCGCGTGGGGAACTGGCCTACATCAGTCTTCGCCAGAATTCGGGTCTATGTCGATGATATGACTTTAATAGACTCAGGCGCTCACGCCCGGGTAACCCAATGCGGTTTCCGATCAACGTTTTCAGCCTGCGGTGGATGGCAGCGAGACTTCGTACTCTTTGCAGCTCAAGTTTATCTAGTGACATGTTAGCAATATCTAATGGTCAGTAGAGTGCTTATGAGCAGCCTTGACTGGCGAGCTGTCTGATCGAGTACGCTGCCGCTCTCCGAATATACGCACCACAGGTCAGAGAAGAAATTTACGCTAGTTATTACACGAGCTCAATTGTATCGCATGCTGCCATAGCCCTCTACCATGAAAGATGCACCGACATAGCTTCCGCGAACATCCATCGTTTCTAGAAGCATTCCAACCGACGGATAGAGGGGCTGAAAGTTTCAACAAGAATAGTCCCGACAAGCTCGTTCGGCTGAATTGACGCCGAAGACAACTGGACTACCCCACCACAGGCCAATGTAATCCTAGCTTTGTGGGATCTTGTCCAGCCCTCTGCGCATACTGATGGTATCGGCATACCCCAAGCCATCCTGGCGGTTACTCTGGATGGTCTTAGTGCCTCTTCGCTTTTTAACTAAAGCCAGTACTATAGGATCACCGCCGCCGGGCTAGATTGACAATGAGGGGTACATGCACCAATTCCAGAATGACCCCGCAACGGGGTTACTTGGCTAAAAGCATGATAAACAGCCATATGGACGTGAAGTTCAGCATAGCCTTTCTATTATGTACTTGTTAATACTCCACCAACCATAGACCCCTTATGCTTGGATGTTTACGGTATGGCTGTGACTGAGGCGGCTACTGAGATTCCTCCAACCAGGCTTGGACGATCCTACATGCGGGCCTATATATGGTCAATTCTGTCTGCATGAAATGCTTTGGATTCTGGTTCTAAATCAACTCAACAGGCAGCGACGATGAAGTTGGCTTTTACCCTGCTTGTGTTCGCCCTGACACCCAGTGTGGCAGTCAGCGCGCCACTCCAGCAGCGTTCTCGAGCACTACTAAAGAAGTTCACTTCCCTCGTGGTATTCGGTGATAGCTATACCGATAACGGGGTCCGATCATACAAACCGCCAGTTGCAGCTGAGGTACAGTCCCCAAAGATTTTATTGAATCGGGGTGCTCACGATCTCTCCACAGTCAACGAAGAGAAGCACCGGCGGTCGTGTATGGCCCAGTTATATACGCCAATACACCGGCGCGAACATATACGACTACGCCTGGTCAGGTGCGGTCTGCGATGCCGTTGTCGCAAACACTGTCCGCAACGGCGTGAAGCAGAATCAAATCAATACCTTTCTGGAGGATAATGACTATGTCAGTAATACAACCGGAAAGCCCGCCCTGGCCAATCCGCCAGATGAAACCGTCTACGCCGTCTGGATCGGCACCAACGACATCGGCTACGGAGGCTTTCTCACCGAAGTACAGCCAGCCGGAATGCCTCTGACGTATATGACCGACTGTGTCTATGCACAGCTTGATCGGCTGTACGCGATAGGCGCGCGAGCCTTTGTGCTTATGAACATGGCGCCACTAGACTTGACTCCATTGTATGCTCTTCCGCAGAACGGTGGCTCGTTGAACGCGCAGTACTGGACCGATAAAGCGGCTTATGATTCCAATATCACTCGCTCCAGCGAGAAGATGCGCCAGTATGTGACAATGGTCAATGCTGTGTATGACTATCAAACACCGTATGATGTTGTCATCGCGGATCGATATCCACACAGCCAGTTTGCTGTCTATGATGTGCATGCATTGGTGAGATGCGATATGCCAGTACCTCTAGGCTGTGGCACCTTTGGCTGATCAATTCTCAGATGACTGACATTTGGGCAAACCCCTCGCACTATTTGAATGGCACGGCGCCGTACAACGTCACGAGCTCTGTCTATCGCTGTGGAAGCCCCTGTGCGTCTAACGCAGTTCGAGACAGTTACCTGTGGTATGATGATCTTCATCCGTCGGAGCAGACCGACCGCATCATTGCGCGTGAGTTCATCAACATCGTCAAGGGCAAGAGTAATTGGGCAAAATACTGGAGAAGTTAGACTTGCCAGTAGAATAGGTTCTGCATTCCCTTTGATATTGACTGGATCCTTTTCAATTTGCGGCACCTACTATAGTTGACTGCCGTCATGTCGGTAAATATAAATCCTGTTCCATTTAGGATCCTGAGCCTCGATTTAGTGGCATGAGGGTTCTTCATCTCGTCATGAATATGGCAACGCCTTCTTCCCTCATCCCTCGGCGATTCAGGTCGAGTTCAGCGATATATCAGCCTATAGACAACATCCATACTGACATTGAATTATGCCGTGAGCATACCTTTTTTGGTTTTAATGGTATCTCTCTGCCATCGTCCTCGCAGGCAGGTTGCTACTGCTGAATATTTAAGATTGGACCGATCGCACGCGACGAGGAATAGATTGTGCTTTTAACAGCACTCATGATTGAAAGAAAGACCTAGTCCCGTATTCTGTCATTTCTGTTTAGTTAGAGACCAATTCATTCGACAGCATAAAAGGCCAAAGGGCCTAGAATAACCTGGCATCCTCTGACTGACACGACTGACACACCCTCGCGAATAAACACTTGTTCTGACAGCCACTTGGCCATTCATGCAAGGGGTTGACGCAGTCCAGCTAGCTGGTCACGCGCTATATCCAGTTGTTACGGAATTTTATCGGTTCAGGCCCTTCTAGCAGCGAGTAAGTTCGGGGATTTGCGTCTCAGGTAGGGCGCGTCCCCGGCTTGTGAAGGAAAGTCCGGCTTTCTAAAGTATGGTTGGCTTATTGACTTAAATGCTAGGCCTGAGCCCACTTCTTTACCGACTCTGATCACTACATAGACGTTTGAAAAGGGTTTCTGCTGTCATGTAGCCGCATGGATATTGATCCACGCCATCCTAAGCAGATCAACACCCTTATCATCGCTTCCCTGGCTGCGATGTGACCTGTACAAGGCCACCAGCCTTAGCGATAATGCTACAGTACCGCTTACAGAAACCGCTCTGCCTCTGGAAGACATTTTCAGAGCATTGTATAACGAGATCAAATAGCTAAAAGTATACTTCAGTCACATACAAAGACCACCCATGCAACAGCATTTCAAGGCGGAGATACTGCACCCGGTCGAAGATTTCCAGGCTGCTGTAACAAGGGAATATACCTTCTTACTCAAAGACGCATTTCCTCATCGGATCAACGAGGCTGCTGGACTTCCAGGGCCACAGCGCGCACGAGCCCGCGAAGGGGTAACCCGGCTCCTTCGGAAGATGGACATGCTGAATGGGAATATGAATATCACCGCGTGGGCCTATCAGAATGCCATGGTTGACCTGCGGCAGGTGGACGCCCGCGAGAACATATTGACGCAAGGCAAGGGCGATCTCGGCTCGTTGGTTCAGGAGCATTAAGGATGATATCGACGCCGTGCTTGGACAATTCTCATGCCATGGCCATCCTCTCCAATACGTGGGGAGTCTGATTAGCCATTCAAGGAGCTCATAAGGGAAATTCCGTCAGCAATCTGGACGACATCGATGTCGACCTCTTTGTGGCACATGCTGAGGAGTGGCGCAGGCACCTGCCCGTGATACGAGAACAATTCCGGGGAACTTCAGCAATGGGAAATTACACCCAATAGGAATGCATATGCATGAGTTACAGAACCTCGGTTATGCGGTAGGCTGCGAATCTTACAGGCAGGGTCAGAAAGTCGGAGATTTATTGGGAAGACGGAAATCGTGCTTCGAAATAGAGCGCGTATTAGTCAGTCGTGGCTTGTACCATACCAAATATAGCAGAACTAGCCACAAAACGGAATCAAGCGCCACAAATGTTCATTCTCCGCCTATCTCAATTTTCCCCAACATTCCTCTCCCCTTCCCCATGAAGAAGGGGAAATTGGTACTTTGAGTCAATCTCTGATCAAAGAATTCAGAGACAAAAACAACGCATGCCTAGGAGTTGCAAGGAGCTCGGCTATGAAATGGAATTTACATGAAGCCAGACCTATGCAAGTAGTGCACGGTCACCTGCCTAGAGAGATATTGACCTACGCACGAATGGATATTCATCAGCTACTTTCTAAAAGAAAGAATGAGTAACTTTGTTGGTGCAGGTGCAAGGCCTGCAGAAACAGCGAATTTGCATCTTGAGGAAGAAACAACGCTCTCGCCAGGGACAATCTCCAGCTCAGATGAGTACGCAGCAAACCCGCGATTCCTGCAGCTCCAGGAAGAATTGCGCGATGTACTGTTCACAGCAGTGGCCAGTCATGCTCCCACGAGGCATCAATCACCGAGACCATTGGATCCGATCGAGGACTCTGCGTCGGGGCTGTTGAGGAACAGTCTGGATTTCGCACAGGTCTCGATCCCGAAGGTCAGACTGATCCACTACCTGAAAAACTGGATTATCGAGTGCGCTCCTCATCTGGATAAGTTTGATGAGCAAAGCCATTTCGGTGTGCATATCCCCGTCCTCGCTCAGAGCTCCCCTGCTTTGTTTTATGCCATCTTGGCGTTTTCAGCCCGACAAACCGAACGCAAGGCTTGCCTGGACAAGTCGTATGACAGTCTGGAGCTCTACCAACAGTCGATTCGGCTGCTGAGCCCGTATCTGCAAGCAAAAGATCCTAACGTGCTCGTAACGGTCTGTATCCTGGGGTGTCTGGAGCTGATGTCCGTCAGCCCTAGAGACTGGAGACGGCATGTCGAGGGCTGCGCGGCTCTCTTCGACGCGTATAACGTCAATGGGTTCTCTGGTGGTCATCTTCAGGCGGTCTTCTGGTGCTATGCGCGAATGGAACTGTGTGGAGCGATCATTTCAGAAGGAACAGAAGGCACTATCCTTCCACTTCACAAATGGGTCCCTCCGCAGGCCGCTGACTCCGAAGAAGAGCGAGACATCATCATCAAGAATCTGTTTTGCCAGGACGGCTGTTTGAATCCTGACAGACATGCGAACTGGGCGGTGTATCTCTGCGCGAAGACGTGCAATCTGGCATGCCGGCGATCACGGTTCCTAGAACTTGGCGAGCTGGATCAGAATGACACGAGGCCGTTCTCCGAACAATGGAGACAGCTCTGGGAAGAACTGCAATTCTGGAACGACCACCGGTGTCCGGCCATGCTCCCGATCAGGACCACGACTACTGGCGGCGATCAGATATTCCCTGAGATCCTCTTTGCACACTGGGCGGCAATCTCAGGCAACCAGCTCTATCACACGGCCTGCATCATGATGCTGCAGATGAAACCGGCAAACACCCCGCTTGTTTCTCCAAGCCCGCACTCTTCCCCTGTTTGGCATGCTCGGAGGGTTTGTGGGATCTCATTGACGAACCCTCACAGTGGCAACCTCATCAACGCGATTCAGCCACTCTATATTGCGGGAAAGCTCTTGAGCCATCGAAGTGAGCATCTCGAGGTCGCCAGATTATTCAAGAAAATTGAAACCAGCACTGGCTGGGGTGCCCTGTGGAGACTGAGAGATCTTGAGCGAGCATGGGGATACGAGACTGGTGAAATTCTATCTGCTATCTGAGTCTGTTCTTCTATGTAATATGATGCCTCGGATAAATATAGTTGTATTCAGTGGATCCGTATAGAACCACACTATCCTCAGGCTAGGTATAATGTGAGGAACATGTGTATAATTTACATTATTCCAGCGTGATTATTACCACTTCTGAGCCCCAAGTCATTCCATTCAATAGAGGCGTTTCGCTACCAGTCGTTTTATGCGGGAGTCAACTTCCCCGGATTCTAGATGGCTCTAAGATGAAAATAATACATGAATCATTGGGACGGGAAGAACCGCGTCAGTAAACCGGTATGCCAAGTTGGCCCGGGAAACCACATCATGCCTCTAATCCCGCAAGTTACTAACGAGTGATGTGGGGTCAGTAAATTTCCGAGTCACGAGATGTCTTGAAGCAAGGATGGGTGGAGCTGTCTGCTAAGCTTTTGCATGAAGTATAGGCTCTGATACCCCTTTATGGATAGGGCTTACTGTCGGTGGTCTCCGATGAGCCCGAATAGGAAGTTATAGCCTACGTGTCTAACCCATGGCACCATGTTTGTGCGGGATCCCCACATTTTCCTCCCCCCGACTGGGCCAAAGCAAGAGATTTCTCTGGGGAATTCCTGGAGTGAGCCGATCTTCATGTGGCCAGGCCGTTTCCTGTTCCTTGTGTTTATTCTGGAGAAAACCTCGCAAAGTTAATGATCGATCGGAGAAGGGGAAATGGTTATAAAGTCATGTTCCCCTCTGTCCGGTCCTTCAAACCCTGTCTTCAAGGCGATTCATTTGCACGCAATAATCCCCTCTGAATTTGGGTTTACTGACCAGACCTCAACATGAGCAGTCGTTCATCTTCTGACCTGGAGGCACCTGTCTCCCAGCAAGCGGGCTACGCGGAACATCGCCAAATGGAGAAGAAATCAATGTGGCAGTCGTTGCGGGAGAACCCCAAGGTTCTATTCATTGCCTTCTTTGCCTCGTAAGTGTCACGAGCTGCAATATCAAAAGATTTTCATTGACTGACAATGGGTAGGTTTGGTGGATTCGAGTATGGCTACCAACAAGGAGTGCTCGGACAATCCTTAGTGATGACTCGGTTTACCGAAAACTTCCCATCGGTCGTTCATTCCTCTGCGGCTACCGGATGGCTCACCTCCGTTCTTCAGCTCGGCGGTATTGTGGGATCGCTATCTGCCGGCGTCTTTGGCGAGATCTTCTCGAGGAAGTACACCATGTTCGCGGCCTGCTGCTGGGTCATCTTGGGAAGTTATCTGTACGTTGGTGCTTCAGCAGGAATGGCCTCGCTCCTGTACGCTGGGCGATTCTTTACCGGTCTCGGAGTCGGTCTTTTCAGCGGTGTCGGCCCCTTGTACAATGCCGAGCTGGCCGCTCCGGAAATGCGCGGTCTCCTGGTCTCCTTCTATCAATTTGCAACTATCCTCGGGATTATGATATCCTTCTGGGTGGGCTACGGCAGCAATTACATTGGCGGCACTGGTGAAACACAATCGGATCTGGCATGGCGTCTGCCCTCCATCATTCAAGGAATTCCGGCCTTTGCGCTGGCCTGCGGCATCTGGTTTATGCCCTTTTCACCTCGGTGGCTGGTCAAAGTCGGACGGGACCAGGAGGCTCAGTCCACTCTCGCCTGGATGAGGAAATTGCCGGTCGAGCATGACCTTGTCCAAATGGAATATCTCGAGATCAAGGCAGAAGCATTGTTTGAGAAGAGAGCCTTCCCCAACACGGCGGAAAAGGGAATTCTGAAGAACCAGTGGGCGCAGTATGCCAACTGCTTCTCCACCATGGACAACTTCAAGCGTGTTTGCACCGCCTGGCTGGTGATGTTCTTTCAGCAGTGGAGTGGAATCGATGCCAGTATGTCTTCCAACTCTGTGTTCCTTGTTCTGAGCTGACATTCTCGCAGTCATCTATTATGCGTCCAACGTCTTTGTCAGTCTGGGACTGACAGGCGGCACCATCGCTCTCCTGGCAACTGGTGTCACTGGAGTTGTGTTCATCGTGAGCACTGTACCAGCTATGGTAAGTCATCTATCTCGTGCCATCCATTACTGGACGTCTACTAATATTCAATAGTTGATCATTGACCGGGTCGGTCGGAAACCCATGCTGCTGGTCGGCTCGGTGGTAATGTTCCTGAGTATGGTGATTGTCGGCGTGATTGTTGCCAAGTTCCAACACGACTGGCCGTCTCATGTCGCAGCCGGATGGACCGCAGTTGGTAAGAGTTCCTCGATAGTCTCATTTGAATCACAACACTGGCTTACACGCTACAGCACTGATCTGGCTCTACATCGCTGGCTTTGGCGCCACCTGGGGCCCAGTCTCATGGACTCTCGTCTCCGAGATCTTCCCTCTCTCGATCCGCGCAAAGGGAGCTTCCATCGGAGCCTCCAGCAACTGGGTCAACAACTTTGCCATTGCATTTTTCGTCCCGCCTATGCTGAAGTCATGGCAATGGGGCACATATATCTTCTTTGCCGTCTTCCTTCTGGTCGGCATCTTTTGGGTCCAGTTCTACCTCCCGGAGACCAAGAACGCATCCTTGGAGGAAATGGACCGGGTGTTCAACAGTCATACTGGCGAGCGCGACGCCCAGCTCCTTCGTGAAGCCCAACGCGATGTGGGGTTGACGGCACTGCTGGCCAGGGCGGATGGAGGCAACGGTATGTCGAAAGGGCCAATTCCGGAAGAGAAGTTTGTGGAGAGTGTCTAGATGGTGCTCTCTATTTTATGAGGGATGAGATTAATGCATTTGTTTGTAATTATTATATTTTGCTTGCTGCGTGGGATCTGTTTGCGGAGATATATATCCGGATGTTGCTCTATCAGCAGAGTTTAATCAAAAGATTCGCCACGTTTATCTCAAGGTCCCTTGTAGATCCCTTGTAGCACTCAATCATGTTATATGTAGTCTACACATAAACAGCCACATTACAGTATTGATATCCTGGAATACTTAGCCTGTCACCATACTACGACTATATTGAATTATGTTACCGCTTGCCCTATTTGGAAGCATATGAATTGGCAAAGCACTGCCACTCTTGGCCGAATATTCAATAGCATTCAATCATTTGGAAGCCCCGCAATCCGACCCCTATCAAAGGCTTAAATAGGAGATAGATAGTCATTCGTTTAGAAGAATCAGACCTTCATTCATTTTCGATTGGCCATAGAAATTGCTAGCGATTCATAAATCAATACAGTATTATCATTTTCAACAGTTATGAGCCCGGCTTGTCCTTAAAGAACGCACAGATCAACTTCTGCTATCATTCTTCCAAGGCCTGTATATTAGAGAGCTCTATCTCATAGTATTAGCGAGATATCTCATTGGAATTGCCTGATTCAGAAGAATTAAAGATATATCAACACCGCCGTCACCCTGAAGCCAATATAGACTATTATACTAAACCAATCAGATCCACCACAAAGGTCTCCATCATGCTAGATAAGCCCAATGATTAGTGGACATGGGACTCACATATAATCAGCCTAGCCCAAACCCATAGAGTACTTAATATACTCTAGGGAGAAAGGCCTTACCCCATTCCACTAATTTAACCAACTCATCCGATGGTTCTAGCCAATCAACAGGCAAAGTCAGCCTTAGCAGAACCCCAAGCAATAGAAGCAAGCCAATCAGATAGCTTATTAACTGCTGCAGCCGCCCTGAAGGCTCCAGCAAAGCCAACCAATATTGAACTAGTGATATATACTAAAGAACTAGCAATCTATAAGGAAGAAAAGGAGTAATATCAACTAGATCATCAAGGCCTCACAGCTATCTGGACCACCATGGAGCAAATAGTAGCCAGGGAACATCTCTAGTAGCTAACCAGCTAATCAGATAATAAGGTTAAGAGATATCAAAAGCTTAAGGCTGACCTAAAGCCTTTAATCAAAATATAAATAAACAATATCCAAGAAAGATATTAAAAGCTTGCCACTAAGCCAGCTAATTAGAATGTGTCAAGCTAGCTAAGTAAATAGGAGAAGGTGCTAAGCATGTGTACTAAACTAAATATAACATAATATACTAGATATATAGGCACCAGGACCTTCCTCATAGCATTAAAAAAGATCAAACCCTAATATGCTAGCATTTAATTAGATCATCTACTAGAGGACAGCAAGCTAAGTGTCTTTAATAAGATCTCTTATTATCAAAAACACTAGGAAAGCCTTAGTCAGAGAGAATAGAAGAACATCTTTACCACATTTAAGGGACAATCCTCTAACTAATTAAATTCTAATTCAGCCAATCAGAATCATGGATTTAAACAGCCTAAGCAAGATGACTGCCCCTATAGAGAAAGGCACTTATTTGATAAGTGCCTATATGTGATTAAATTAATACAGCTAAAAGGATGGAAGCTAAATCCAGGTATTATAGAATAATTTAAGAAGATTAAGCAAAACCTAAGGGTAAAGCACACAATGGATGAAGTAATTAAGCAAGCTAATTAGAATTAGAATCAGGATGCATCTCACACAGCTATAAGTATCATCCAAAGTGATTCCATAGTATTCTCACTAGGAAGCAATGTATATAAGCTGTGAGATAGTTAGATCATTAATTCAGGAGCAGATATTAATATCTATAATAATCAAACTTAGTTCCTCACCTATGAACCAGTAGAAGATAAGTATGTGCATTTCAGTGCAACAAACATGCAAATCCTTAGATATAGGAGGGTTGAACTAAAAGCAATTAGAATAAATAGAATGCCGCATATCCTAGAACTAAGTAGAGTAGCCTATATACCTAAGTGCCATACAAATTTGCTTTTAACCTTTCACATGAAGAAACATGGATTTTATCTTAATCAACACACCAATATCATAGAAGATTAGTATAGGAAGCTGATTTGCCATACAGAAATGAGATGCAATCTAGAAGTGGTGGAATATAATCTAATATTAAATATCTTTACAATAAATCAATATTCAGAGAGGCTGCATGAATCCACCAAAACTAGCAAACAATAGCATAAATAGCTGGCACATTTAGGAGATGAAGCCATACAGCATCTAGAAGAGGCATCTATTGGTGTAAAAGTGTTAAATTATAAGAGATCAATCTGTAAGACGTGCAGGCTAGCAAAGGCAGCTAAACAGATATCTTAAACACCCAGAGAGAGATCAACCAAGCTATTTAAAAGTATTCATTTTAATATGATTCCAATAACTGTTGCCCATAATAGTGATCACTAGGCCACTCATTTCATATACAAATCAACTAGATAGCATGTCATCTACACACATCCAGATAAAGATCAGCTTAATAGCCTAATAAAGCAATTCATCTAATGGGTTAAAACATAATTTAGCCTCAAGCTAAAGAAGATGTTCTCAGACTGCAAACTAACACTTAGGAATAAATATATACACACTATAAAAGATAAAGGCATTGAGATCTTCCATTCAACACAATATATCAATGAGCAGAAAGGGCTAATTAAACATTCTGGTAAGATAATCATTAAGATGGCCTAAAGCATGCAAATCAGTACATAATTACTAGAGAAGTTATGGCTGCATATATTCCACACTGCTATTTACCTGCAGAATTAACAGCCGCGCAGAGAGGCAGTAGAGGAGAATAGGCAGAAGGAATGGATCTGGATCACACTATATAAGAAGCTCTATAGGAGGAAGCCATCATTAGCAAATCTATGTGTATATAGATGCAGAGCTTACATTAGACACCATAAGATTCCAAGATTAAAGAAGCTGGATCCGCGCGCCTAGGTAGGCTATCTAGTCAGCTATACAGCATCTAATATATGGAAGATATAGAATCTAGTGACTAGAATAATCACTGATAAGAGAGACATGACATTTAATAAAGACATCCTATTTGATCCAAATCAGCCATTCCACGCTGAAGCAATCAAAATATCAGATCTGCCAGAATTACCTATTGAAATCAATGAGCTGCTAGATATTGATGATTTGCCCAGCTTAATGGGAAGTGCAGATGATGAGTTGGATGAGGTTAAAGCTCAGGGGGTGAATAAAGCAATTAATATAATAAGTAAAGGAATAAGTAGAGGTGCTATACTAGATAAGGAAGGTAGTCAGATAGCAGAATTACCAGAAGCAAACCTCACACCTCTAACTCCCCTTACTACGCTAGGAAGATCTATCCAACATAATAAACCTATTAAATCTATTAAGCAAGAAGGTGATCTTATACCACACCTATAGCATACAGATACAGGCTAATATGGCATTCCTAGAGGCTAGATTAATAGCCCGCGGAGAGAACAGCCTGTTTAACTTAATTTAATAACTCTGAGATCTCCTATAAGAATCAATGATTCCCCAGAGCCTAACACACCTGTAAGACTTATAGATACACTTCCTAAGTCCCTAGATTAATTATAAGCAGAAGATTCGCCTTTAAAACAGCTATTTAAGGAAGTCAATAGACTGAGTATTAAACTAAATAATTAAGACAAGCCAGACAATATTAATAATATCCTATAGAAGCCAAAACATAGCATAAGCACTAATTTTTTACTAGATAATATTATTAAAGGAAAACAGGAACATCAAGCTCTATAACATGCATATACTAGCACTTAGATAGATAGCTTAAAGGAATTCCACTCAGTATTTGTATCATTCAGAATAGGCCTATAAGATAAGGCATCTATAAAGAAGCAACTTCATTAAGATGAAATACCACCTGCACCTAACAGCTGGAAGGAAATGCAAAAGTATCTACTAAAGGAACTCTTTAAAGCAGCTACAGAGTTAGAACATAATACATTATTAGCTTAAGGAACTTTTCAGAAGGTTAGAACACCTAGAGACAGGCAGATCATTCTGCTACAATAGGTTTTCACATACAAATTTAATCAAGAAGGATATTTAATTAAGGCTAAGGCATAAATCTGCATACAAGGAGACATACAGTAGATAATACATAATAATACCATAGCTGCTACTCTTGCTGCACAAATGTTTCAGACATTAATAGCTATTACAGCAGTATTTAATCTTAATATATAGCAAATTAACACCATCAACACCTTCATTAATAGCGAGCTAGACGAGGAGGTCTATACCAGAATGGCAGAAGGATTCTCTAAATATAGCTATATTTACCTACTAAAGCAAGCTCTCTATAGCCTATGCAGGGCACTGCACCTTTAGCAGAGGGATATTTTAAAAGCCCTCAATGAGATTAGCTTGCAAAGAATTAATACAGACTCATGCCTTTATATAGATGATAAGACTGTCGTCCTAGTGTTTATGGATAATATACTATTTCTTTACTATCCTAAAAGCAAGAAGCATGCTGACAATCTAATTTGAAAACTGCAAGAATAATATAAATTCTAAGATCTAGGCAAGGGAGAGAGCTTCCTAAACATTAAGATCACCAGAGATCAAATGAAATGGAAGCTATAGCTTAGCTAATAGGCATATATTAAGAAGATTATTATAAGATATCATTTAGATTCCACTAATTAGAAGGCATAAACACCTGTAATAACAGATCATCTACGCCCTTATGATGGAAAGGCTATGGCGCATGAGATATACTACTATTAATCTAAAATTAGATCAATTCTCTATGCTGCAGTGATTACTTACTTAGATATTGCTAAGATAACATCCAATCTATCAAGATATCTATTGAATCCTGGACTAGCGCATTTTGATGCAGCCAATCAAATTATTCTATATCTCACTTCAACAAAGGACTACGCATTGGAATATAGAAGTAATTTAACAGGGAATATCTTCATTATTGCTAGTAATGCTGCCTATGCAGATCATTTAGATCATAGTAGCAGCGAAGGATATCTAGTAAAGCTATTCAGCGCCGCTGTGGATT